ATGTTTTTAAAGAATTTTGTGTCATTGTGTCAATTGCCTGTCTTTGAGCTTCCAGTTTTCTTACATATTTATTAATTTGTTCATGTTGTATTTCAGTTGTATAATATATGATCAAGAAGATGTTCTCTGTTTCCTTGGTGGTATTCTTCTTGCCTGTGTTCAACATGTTTTTGGCCTTGGCCACAGAAGGACACAGGACTGATACATTCAGAGAAAAGTTTACACTGAACCCTGGCTGGCTGTGTTGGGTCATAACTCAGATTTGTTCGAGTATTAAATCCAGTGGTACTTACTATACTGTCCTAGATATTTAATTCAGAAGCCTGCTATTTGCGATATCCTATGACTGTTGGACATTACCAGCAAGAACTAACATTCCAAGAGGAATTCTTTTAACTGAAACATGTCTAAACAGATTTGCAGCAGGCCTTCTGTCTTAGAAAAAACAAAAGTACAAATACCAAAGGTTACAATGATATCTACTTGAGACAACTTAAATGGAAACTAAAAATCATTTCACTAATCACAATATCAATGCTATTTAAAAAAAAATTAAAGTCTGCTTTAGTGCCTTATCTTAGCCCCAGTTACATTCCTGTCATTGTTGTCAAGGAATTTCAACAAACCAGCTTTTGCACAAGGGAGAAAAAGTCATAAAACTGCCTTCAAAAAAGCACCTATAAAGTAAACCTGAAAAACACTTTGAGCCTGCAATAAAAAATATGACAGTATAAACATTATGGAGGCCTTATTGATCCTCAATACCTAAACATTACATTGCTTTTAATAATAAATGAGAAGGATATAAATATGCCAAATAACAGTACATTACCCTAAATAACACCAGTAAATTGTGAGACTTGGTATAAAAGTGAAATAAACTAATGGAACATTGTGTATATTGTTTGCACCATGATCCATCAAGAATGTAGTATGATGTTAAACCAAGGCTAAGCTGAAAGAGAGAAATTAATTAATTTTTAGGAAAATTATTTATCTCCATTTTACCATACATTTTTACAACCTTTTCCTTCAGGCATTTTGAGTACTGAGCCTGATTCATTGTTTCAAGGCCTGAACCAAAGACGATGACTAGTCCATGCAATCTTACCTCTCCTCAGGTAATTTTTCCTCAGTAAGGATAAGGCAATGCATTAGGCCTTCCTAGTTTCCTATTTTACAAGCTAGTATAGTGACTTGAACATAGTGAGCTCTCTAGGGAGGGGAACTGGTCCTCATTGTTGAGCGTGTTTGTTCCCAACCTGCTGAAAGCCTGAGGTTTGATAATAGCATGGAATAATGCAGTTGAATGGCAACCCAACACTCACATGTGACAATTCTGTCATAATCACCACAAGGTAATAATTCAACCAACTCCTTCCAACTGACTACTTAGTCCAGGATTCCCATCAGCAATTTCAAACTTGGCGCTATCCTAAGGTTCCTTAACAACACTTTGTAGCAGTTGGTAACTGTGTGGTAGTAGATGAATTTAAATTCTGGGCAAAATTTCAGAATTATCTCCCCATTCCTTTTGTTAATTTAAGTTAAGCTGATCTTCAACAGAGACAGTCCACTTCTTTCATGAGTGCAGTGTTTTCCCTCCTCCATCTCCAGAAATAGACTAATTTCTCTGTGTACATGACAGCCTGATTTTTTTGTTATTTTTGTTTCTTTTTTTGTGATCTGACCCTTTCCTTAGACTGAAAATTAATCTTTGGTCCTCTCTTCTTGGAGAAGAACCAAATCAGGCCTTTTCCCTATCTGTGCCAAAGGCAACAGCAAGTATAATAATTATTCAGGCTTGGAGACTATATACCAATCACCAGGGAATTGATTTTCTATTTCCCACTCTTCTTATTTTCTCACACTCCTTTATTTCTGCTTTTTTTTTCAGTTTTAATTCTCTATCTCTGCTGTCATTATCTTTTTTTGTTTTGGTGTGTTCAATGTTCCTATTTCTCCAATTATGGAATTTTATGTTGTTGTTCAGTCATTTTCAATTTACTCTAACCCTTTGTGATCTCATTTGGGGTTTTCTTGGCAAAGATACTGGAATGGCTTGCCATTTCCTTTTCCAATGGATCCAGTGAATTCATTTTGTCAGGCAATCAGAGGTTAAGGGACTTGCCCAGAGTCACACATCTAGGATTTGAACTCAGGTCTTCCTGACACCAGGCCTAGTTTCTATCCACTGAGCTACCAGCTGCCTCTACTTATGGAATTAGGGGACTACAAAAGAACAATGACATCATCCACCCTGTCTCTTACCGGCCCTCCAGGGAAAGGCAGAACATATAGAAAAGTGAAATGTGTGATTCTTGAGCTTAAGGAGCTTACAGGGAAATGAGGATATACTATGTATCTGTCTCTACACACATGAAAACAACTACAGAATATTAGCAACTACAACATAACATAGTAAAAATTGGAGGATTTGGTTGTAGGTTTAATTCCTAAACATACTTATTCATCCATCTATCGATTGATTCATTGAATTAAGAAAGAATGCCAGGCTAAATATTAATAAGAACCCATCTTGGGGGGAATGGCAAATTTTGAAGGAGAAGAACAGTCTGGATCAGTATGGGAAGATGTACTGGAGGAAGTGGGATTTGAGATGAACCTTGAAGGGTGAATGTGATTTGAACAGATGAGGGAGACAGAAGGGTATTCTAGGTGAGCAAAGTATATAATTTGGGAGTAATGTTAATAGATTTCCCTGGTAAGACCAGAGCTGGGGAATGGTGGAAAATACAGTGGAAATAGGTTGGATGGAGCCAGATGTTGAGGATCTTGAAGGTGTGATAGAGAAACTTGGACTTTGTAATGTAATCAATGAAGAACTTGAAGAGAAGTGACATGATGAACTCAGTATTCTAGAAATATTAATTTTGCAGTAGTATATAGGATGTATGGGAAGGGAGAGAGAAGGTGTTAACTGTAATTTAGAGAGGATCTATTGGATATGGAGGTATTTTTTGAAACCTCAATAGGTATGAGGGTGATGTCTTCGATAAGAAGCACATTGAACAAAAGCAATAGATAAGCAGTATATCTTACTGGGAGCCATGTGCTTATAGATAAAAATCTTAAGGATCACATAGATGAGTAGTGCTGACTAATTGTCTAGAGACCTCCTTTAGCCAAAGAAATTGGACCTTAAATCCACAGTACAGGGATATGGGTCTGGAAATATGCTAAAACTGAGCTTAGAGCACATGTTAACCCATTCTTTCAATGGTTCACATTCCTAGTAGTGATTATTGCTGATACCAAATGACTGTATCATAAAGGATGTGGCTTGTAGGGTTATGACTACAGAGGAAGGATGTAATAGTCAGGAAGATTAGTTAAGGAGACCTGAGGCTAAGGAATAGGCAACCATCTGATGGCACAACATTATATCTTTATCTGTATCTACATCTATATCTATATTACACACACACACACACACACACACACACATGCATACACACACAACTTGAGATTTGGTATTTGGTATTTGGTAGCAGTAACACCAGCAAGAACCTTAAATTAGATGGTGGCTTCAAAGGTGGGAGACTTCAGGTATGGACTTGGATGATATGTGGGTTCAATTTGCTAAACTGCTTTCCCCATCTCCCATTTCTTTTTCATTATTTGTTTCTAGGCATTGATTACTGAATGAAGGAAGGGAGAGGCATTATTCAGAGATAAACGTGATTTCAAAAGAGAAGGTTTCAATAAAAGTACTTAAGGTAGATATTATCACTATTGCTATGAGAAAAGCACAAGAAAATTCCATCTAGGGGCATATAAAATAGAGAAATTGTAAAGCAGGGCCGAGAGCCAAGTTTGCAGGTAAACTGAGAGAGCAGTTGTCTATCTGGTATGTTTTGAAAGGACCAGAGAAGTGCCTCTGTCCCCAAATATCTCCTCCATCCAGATGTTATTGAGACTGAAAGGCCTCCATTCATTCCCTTGGGAAATACAATGCTGTGGCCAGGAATTCCATTTTAGGTTGTGTAGTGCTCCTTAAGGACAGCTAATTGGCACAGTGGACAGAGCACCAGGCTGAAGTCCAAAAGACTCATCTTCCTGAGTTCAAATCTGGCCTCAGACACTTACTATCTGTGTGACCCTAGGAAAGTCACTTAGCCCTGTTTACCTCAGTTCCTCATCTGTAAAATGAACTGGAGAAGGAAATAGCAAACCTGTCTAGTATCTTTGCCAAGAAAACTCACAAAATGGGATCGTGAGGAGTCAGACACAACTGAAATTTGTTAAACAACAACAAAAGTGCTCCTTAAAGTTGTCAAGGAACATCACAGATACAATTACATATGTGCATGATGGAGTAAGGCATGAGGAAGGAACAGCGGGGGGGGGGGGGGGGGGGGGGGGGAGGGAAGGAGGAAAGAAGGCAAGCCATGTCACAACTGCAAATAAGCTAATCTGATTACTTCTTAGCTGATAAAGCAGGGTAGAGAAGAGGATTAAGAAACCTGAAACCTGGAATTTATATAGAGAGGGGATGCTGTAAGCAGGAGAAAAGACACAAAAAAAGAATCAAACATAAATGTAATAAACTTTGAAAATATGACCCATAGCTAGTGCTGCTGGGTTATGTCTTCAGGATACTGATATCTACTGCATGGTCACCCACCGCATCCTAGGCCATCATTAGTCATCTTGACTTTCGTCCTGCCATGGACTTCAATATCTCTAGAAAAGAGAATAAGGCTGATGAATTTGCACAACTCTGCCTCACTTAAATCCAATTCACAAGCAAGTCAAGACATCACCCTTGTGATATCATTGTCCTCTTTGAAAACAAGGGACGAACAACAGCAACAAGTGACAAATATTGATAGTCATAGGAAAACCAACAGATTTTAAAAAATCTATCTGCAAAATTGCTAAGTCTTGTATTGACGCTATTTGCTCAGATTAAGGAAAATTGAAATCAACATTTCCATTGTTTGGATTATGTATCTAATAGTGGCTTGCTTTTTTAGGTTGGAATTGTACAATATAGTGAAAATGTGACCCATGAATTTAATCTTAATAAGTATACAACAACTGAAGAAGTGCTCAGTGCAGCTAACCAGATAGAGCAGAGGCAAGGGCGCCAAACAATGACGGCTCTGGGAATAGATACAGCAAGGTACGTACATCAAAAATGCTTCACCAAATTAGAAGTCTCTCCAAGGTACATAATTTAGGGACTGCTCCCTTTTGTTTTTTAGTTCGTAGTTAACTGGTTATGATGTTATCTCAACTGATTGAATGATTTTAAAGGATCTGAAGTTGTTAATTAGTATGATCATAGGATGATGGATTTAGAGGTGGAAGGGATGTTATTGGCCATCCAGTCTGACATCTCTCTCTCCTTTTATAGATGAGGAAACTGAGGGAAAGAACACTGGTCTGACAACCAGCAGATTTAATGAAAAGGGACTAATTTTTAATTATTCTGAATTTTTTCAATGTTTAAAATCATTTAATGTGAAAGAAGCTTTATTGATAGATGCTTCTATGGGATCAATTAAATATCATCTTATTCTAAATTGTTCTCATTGCTTTAAATGCAAAACATGAAAGGGCAACAGTTATTCAATCGACAAAAATTTTCTTTCATCCACTTCATATTTTCCCTTTTCTCCAAAAACATCATTTTAAAGACATAGAATATTTCATAGAATTTTAGAGCTGGAATCTCTGTTTCCATGTACCACACAGGGCCTACAGAGGGATTCTTTGAGTAGATATAGGCCTTAAGGATCTGAAGAAACTGTTTCCTTTCCTTTTTTTTTTAAACTCTTCACTGTTCTCTTCTATTTCTTTCCCTCAGGGATAGCTCTACACATAACTTTGATGTACATGCTCTGTGTTTTGTATTCCCTACCTCATGTTTTCTGTACCTAAAATGAGATAATATTTGAAAAGTGCATGCACTTAATAAATGTTTGTTCCTTTCTCTCCACCCACCCACCCCTTTCTCCCACCCTTCACCAGGTGCCACATTGGGACAAGAGCAATGAAATGGGAAGGGAATAAAGCATTTATTAAGTCCCTACTATGTGCCAAGCACCATGCTAAGTGCTGTACAAATATCCCATTTTATTTTCTCAACAATCCTGGGAAGTAGATGTTCTTATTGTCCCCATTTTACAAATGAGGAAATGGAGGCAGACAAAGATGACTAGACCCCAGGTCATACAGCTAGGGAATCTGTAAGGCCAAATTTGAACTCAGATCTTCCAGACTCTTGACCCAGTACTCTATCCACTGTGCTTCTTAGCTCCTGGATCCCTGAAGGTGAAATTTCAGGCACAGTGGCATCTTGGTGGAGAAGATATTCTGGGAAAAGGAAAGGCTTTCCCCCAAAATTCCAGAAAAATACCATATATACTGTCTATAAGTAATGTTAAACCTGATTTCAGTGCTGCAAGATTTAATATACGGAAATATGGCAAGCAAACTTTTCTGATATTATCCCTTTGTTTTTGTTAATTCAGTTCTAGCCCATTCTGACAATGAGATAGAAAGCACTATTTTTTTTCCAGTAACCAGGCAGCTAGGTAGGATGGTATAGTGGGTAGAGGGCTGACCTAGGAGGCAAACCTAGGTTCCGATCCTGGCTCTGACACATACTTGCTGGGTGACCTTGGATAAGCTTACTTTTCAGTGTCTGAGGGAACCATAGCAAAGAAGGATATGATTTTAAGGAATTGAGATTAACAATAACTGACATCATAGAGTACTTTAGAGTTTACAGAGCCCTTTACTTGTATCATTTCATTTGCACATCACAAGCACTTTGTGAAGTAGATACACCTGCTATTATCTCATTAGCCCTAATTTATTAATGGGAGAAGATTAGTGATTTTAACCCATGTTCACATAGCTAGTGTAGGAAGGTAGAGTTGAACCCACACTTTTCCTGACTCCTAGTCCAATACTCCATTCACTATAACAATAATAACTAACATTTATATAGTGTTTACTATGTTTACACTGTGTTAAACACTTTACAATTATTATCTTATTTCATCCTTACAATAACCCTAGGAGGCAGGTACTATTATTATCCTCATTTTGAGATGAGGAAACTAAGGCAAGCAGAGCTTAAGTGATTTGCCTGGGGTCACAAAAGCTAGCAAGTATCTGAGACCAGATTTGAACTCTAGCCTTCCTAACTCCAGGACTAGTTCTCTATCCACTGTGCCACCTAGCTGCCTCCCTTTCCCCCTTCAATAGTAATACACTGGCATGCTTTAAGTGGTCTGCAAAACTCTGGAGTGAGACAGGAACAAGATTAAAATATATCTGGAAATGTCTAACTAAGTAAATAAAAAATACAACACAACATAAATAATGTTAATTTGTGGCTTACTAAATCAATGTATACCCTGGCACATCTCTATTTCAATCTGACACCATATTTCTCAGGTTCAAGAGAGTTAAGTGGTACAGGATGCCAATTTCTAGGCCTTTTAAAAAGGGTCTTGCTCTTTCTTTAAGAATTCTCGACTGTTAAGTATATGGAGAATAGAAATCATAGAAGTGTACCTTTGATGGAAGTGGGAATAGGTTGTAGTCATCCTAGGTGCTTTTTTGGAGGGGGAGGGGTATAGAATAGTAACATCATTGCCCCCCAAGTTATAAATGATTCATCTTTCCAGTTAAGGTTACAGATGTTCTAGGGAGCCATTCATTCTGTGAATAGTCATATCTCTGTATCCCAAAGTTTGAAAATATATGGGTATGTATATGGGTGCAGTTGTATGTAACACACCCTCTTCATTCCTGAGTCTTCAGAGAGAAGGACAAGAGAAAGAAGTGAAACAGGAATGGACACACCCATGCAAATAGACCCCCCACATACACATGAGCCCACATTGCAGGTGATCAATAAATCTTTGCTAAATTCAGTAGGAATTCCTTTCTCATCCTGTGCATATTTCTGCCCCAATTTCTCTTTCTTCTTGTCTCTTGACCCATCCCCCCCCCAACAATCTGTGTCCTAGATCACACTAAGCATTCTTTACACAATCATCACCCCAAAGTCTATCTCATTTTATCTTGCCATCTAAAGCCACTTTTTAAAATTATAAACTGAACACTCTCAGAAAATATTAGTAAACAATTATTGAACTAAATTTGGAGTACATCTAAAATGAAAACTATTTGTTTTCCTTTTTTAATATCTGATTTATTTTCCCCCTTATCCAATGCTGACATTTAAGAGCTGGCTGTAAGGGGAGGCTGGAGACTATCTGGGGCTTAACAAATTCTATTCTCTCTTGTCTCTCCTCCTCATCTCAGCTCTGCAGCCAAGGTCAAATTGGTGAGACTGTTCTGTGAACATCAGAGTAGGGGGTGAAGGAAGGTGAGAAACAAAGCAGATGCTTCTGCCAAAAGGCCAGAGGAAGAAGCCTGCTGATATGGAAAAAAAAAAAATACATTCCCAAGGGAAGGGGAAAGGCTGTTTACAAAGCAAGTAGTGGGTGTGGAGAATTATTCTCCTCTAAGTCTTATGGTGAGCTTGGGACCCACCTTCCCTTTGATATCTCCAGGAGTACAATGTCTCCTCTGGCTTTGGTATGTGAGAATATGTGGTGATTAAGCAAAATGGCAATCTTTCTACCATCTGGGATAAATCAGAAAATGCTACAAATAGTGGTCATCAGGCTACCCAGCGTGACTGTTGGGTGCTGCTGTTGTTGCTCTTGGCTCCAAGGCAAGGAGCTACCTAGAGCAATGTTTTGCTTTCACACATTGCCTTGAAGCTTTTGCATGATCTTGGGGATGGTGTCTCATTTGTGTCTTTTTTATATATAAATATGTTTCAGAAAAGAGGCCTTCACTAAAGCCAGGGGTGCCCGAAGTGGGGTGAAGAAAGTCATGGTGATTGTGACAGATGGGGAGTCTCATGACAACCATCGACTGAATAAAGTCATCCAGGACTGTGAAGATGAAGACATCCAGAGATTCGCCATAGCTGTAAGTGAAATGTTAGTTCCTAAGATAAGAGATTTAGAGGTAGAAGGGAACTCAGAGGTCATCCGTTTTCTCCCTCATTTGAACTCAGGTCTTTTGACTCCAGACCTTGCATTCTTTCCTCTACTAGAGGTTCCCAAAGTGGGTGATAGCACCCCCAGGGGGTGCTAGGAACAATCCAGGGGGCATGGTAGTAGCCTCAGGTACAATTGGGGGGCATTGAATAAAATAAGGGGGTGGTGGAAGCATAAGGAAAGAAGAGAAAAGAACAAAATTTTGAGAAACCATTTGTACATGTTACATCTGTTGTGTAACAGAGTTAAAGTCATAGCAATTACATTATTTTCCAATTAAATACACAAAATTCAAGTTATAGCCAATCAGCGGTCATCTCCACTGACGGGTCTTAACAAGCGAGTGTTGGCAGGGACTGAGTCACGCATTGCCAGGAAGTCTAACATTCATCAGCAGGAATGTGTGCGTGTAATGACTTATTTACAATACAGTATTATATGGTTACATGACTATTGCATCATCAAAATTTCAATACAGGAAAAAACCAGCAAATTTACAATAAATTATTAAATTTAAGATGTGTCATTTAAAAAATATTTTGTATTTTTCTGAAATGACACATTTCAAGAAAAAAACATTAAAGGGTTAAAGAAAGTAAATTTCCAGGGGGTCACTGAGTAATTTTTTTTAAAGGGACAGTAGGCCAAATAAATTTGGGAACCTCTGCTCTATACCATAGTGTCTATCTTTCATATTTGGCCCAGGGGTAGCCTCTCCACCCCAACTTGCAGGATAGGTCTTTCAGACAGCAGTTATATCAAGTTCAAGATCTTCTTTGAGACTGCACTGCTACACTATAGCTCGCAAGCCTACACTGATATGTTTACCTTGAATAGTCAGCCGGAAGACAAAATTAGCTCAAAGTAAAGGAATTTACTGAAATGGCATAGTAAGAAAAGTCACAGCAAAATATTTCATAAACCTGAGCTGGATTCCACTAATGATACAGGAGTATGTGTCAAGTATATTCATGATCATTTGATGAGGGCAAGACACAACTGGAAGAAAGAAAAGCCTGCAGAGCCCTGCTTAGCAACTAGTATAGAAGCTGGCAGACAGAAATATCCAATGATCCTTAATTGTCAATAATGAGATTCCCTCTACCATCCTCAGCATTGCTTACAGCTATACCAACAATTTTGATGTTGAGGCAATTGGTGGACAATATATCTATTTTGCAATCACTCTTGGTGAGAGGAGATGTCAGCATATTGGTTCCCTCTCCTCCTCTTTCTCCCCATCCCAAGAAACGTGAGGACCACTTCTAGAAAGGTTTCCCGCAGGGTAGAGGCTCAGAGTGGAGTAGAGTACTCACCTCGCATAAATTTTTGAGTTCCTAAATTTGGGCCAAAGCCCCAGTTGCCCCATCCTATTTGAAATTTAGGCAGCACTGTGAGGCTGGATAAGATAATGAACCCAATCCTTTGGAGCTATTTCAGCATGGGCAGCTCGGTGGCACAGTACATAGAACTCCTGGCCTGGAGTCAAGAAGACCTTAGTTCAAATGTGACCTCAGACACTTACTAGTTGTGTGGCCCTGGACAAGTCACTTAACCCTGTTTGCCTCAGTTTCGTCATCTGTAAAATGAGCTAGAGAAGGAAATGGCAAACCACTCCAGTATCTTTGCCAGGAAAACCACAAATGGGATCATAAAGAGTTGGACTTGACTGAAAAACAAAGGCAATATGGAGGCAACAATAAAAACTTTCATTTTGGGGAGGGTGGGGGTGAACTCCACCTCAGTCTTCAGGGTGTCTCGGTTACCATATATTTCCTGGGTCAGGCAGCATTGAATCAGAGCAGAGTAAAGAAGAGAGAAACCTGAGGATCCTTATCTATCATACAAAGAACTTTCCCTTTCCCTCAACTGTACAAGCCAAATTTAATTTCTCAAAATTACCAAAACAGCCATCCTCTGACAAGCATGAGGTAGGCTGGAGAAAACAAAATTGAAATTGTTCAGTCAGTGTTTATAAAGCACCAGACGTTGTGCTAAGCACTGGGGATACAAAGAAAGGAGGGAAAAAAAACAGTTCCCTCTCTCAAGACAACATGCAAATAACTACATACAACAAAAATATGTATGCTGGGTAAAATGGGATCAGTCTAAAGGCACTAAGATTATGGACCGAGAACAGCTTCCGGAGAAAGGTAGTTCAAAGCAGAGGGAAGTTCTTAGATCTAAAAGGAGGCCCCTGCCTGGTCTAAGGGACACAGGCTACACAATACACAATGTACTCTGTGCTCCTCTCAAGAGCAACCGTGTAAATACACGGCAGTATGCTTATTGTTATTAACAATAATATTTAAACACACATTGGCTCAAAGTAAGCTGCCTGTACAAAAACAAAAGACATCTGTCTGCCTACAGACCTCATTATAGAGATTCTATCAGCAACCAACAGCTCCTAGGAATATGTTGGCCAAATTTTCCCTGATGCTATTCCGCAGAGGGGGCATTCCAAGCTCTGGAGGGGAAGGGGCGACGGATGGAAATTCTGCTGCTCAGAATATAAATTGAGTTTGAAGCAAACTGCAGGTCTCTGTCCTCAAGCAGCTCACTGCATCTGACTGCCCTCAAAGTCTGGACATTCTCCTGACCCTTCCATTAGGACAGCTTACTGCCTTGGCCTACCCCAGTGCTGTGGCTATGCAGTCTACTCCGGGCCTGTGTTTTGAACAAGAGGAGGAAGAGGTGGGGCTAGATGCAGATAAAGCATGGTTGCCACACACTGCCTTGAAGAGTTGGATAGATGGAGAAAGGGAGGTTGAAAACTAAACTTAAGGCAGTGCCTATCATCACCCTCTGTTCCAAAAGAGCCAAGGGATGATCCAACCCTGGCTACAAAGATAATGTCTCAAATCCTTCCTGAGTTATCTCATCCAGTCTCTCCCTACCCCACCCCCTCAATCCATCCTACACACTGCCTCCAGGTTAATGTTCATCAAATACCAGTTTCATTATGCCTTCACTCATTCATTCAAGAAATATTTAAAGCATGACCACTATGGCAAGTCTCTGTATTGGGCACTATCATCAGGTGTTGGGGGTTATCTTAAGTGGGGGGAGGAGAGGAAGAAGTTATGAAATAAATGAGATACCTCTTCCCTCAAGAAATCTACAATCACAGAGTAATAGCAGTTTGGAGCTTGGAAAGGACCTTCCAGAAGAGGAATCGTGCCATTCTCTCAGTCACTCTGTGACTGATATAGTATGGGTGGTACTGCCAGCTTAAGGAGATTTCAGAGAGACAAAGAAGATTTCAGGGAATTATTGCCTCCCTCCTCCCCCATATACTCTCTATGTTATAGTCTAAATTCCTTAACCTGACTTTCTAGACCCTCAACAATCTGTTCCAACCCACTTTCTAAACCTTATTCCCCAATACGAAATTTCTTCTATAGTCAGGCTAGACTCAACACTGCCTTCAAAATAGAGACTTTGCTCATTCTTGCCTGCACACCTTGATTAGTTCAGGTTTCCTATCCCTGACATTTCCTCCCTCCCTCTTCTCTCCACTTATTCCTAAACCTTTTTTTATTTTTCAAGGTCTAGCTCTCACCCTTCATCTTTCCAAAAGCCTCTGACCTCACAGTCAATGATCTCTCTCTCCTCTGAACTCCTATGACATTTCATTGTCGCTTAATCACATACAACCTTGTTAAATTCTTCCTGGGTATGCTTTGTTTATGCCATCATGTCATGAGATCTTTGAGGGCAAGGACCATAATATAAACTTCCTGGTCATCCTCTCAGTGCCCAGATACTCTCAATAAAACTTTCTGAACAAATGAATTTTAGAGGAGCTTGGCATTCTTAATAATTTCTTTTTCTCCATTCATATCTCCTTATTTTCTTGGATTTTATGAATAGTAAATTCAAATTAATACATAGGTTTAAAAAGAACTGAACCCTTTATGAAGAAAAAAAATCCATTTGTGGGGTTATGGGACTAAAAATATCAGAACTGAGGTTATATTAACAAATTCACTGATAAAAAATATCAGAACTGAAGTTATACTAACAAGCTCACTAGTAAAATGAGAGAAATAGAGAGGATATAATTCTCATTGGGGAAAAATGCAGAATAAAATACTTAGGTAATGAAAATGAACTATATGAATACTGTGTGGGCAAGAAAGAAATAATAATAATAGCTAACATTTATATAGAGCCTACTATGCATCAGACACTATGCTAAGTGTTTTACAATTTTTATCTCATTTGATCCTCAAAATGCCCTTGGGAGGTAGATGCTATTATTATCCTCATTTTACAGATGAGGAAACTGAGGCAAACAGAGATTAAGTGACTTCCCTGGGGTCACAAATGCTAGTAAATATCTCAGGCCAAATTTGAACTTAGGTCTTTCTGACTCCAGGCCTGGCACTCTATACACTGTGCCACAATAACTATGGCATCATGGTGGCCCACATGCTTTTGGAGACAAGTCTGTGGCAATGAAAGAAATATAGTACGAAGAGATGGGGCAGACAGAGTCTTCATCAAAGTGCTTGTGTGCCCCTTTTTTAAATCCATTTTTGTCAGGAAAAATTGACTAAGAAGGAAACATTACAAAATAACACATAAATTATGTATACTGTTTCAATCAATAGAAATACGACAGGCTCAAATGCTTGGCATTCAGCTAATGTTCACCTGAGGTAGACATTGCAAAGCTGCATTTCCCTTGGGCCAGGCATGTCAAATGTAAAATATTTAATCCATTTACACTTAATATACTGTCTGCTGTCTGAAAGCAACCAAGGAAGATTTGAAAATATACTGTAATTGCTCTACTTCTATTTGAAGATTGTAGGTTTAAACTAAAAATTAGGTGAATTTTAAAGGTAGCACTGACCAGTGATAGATTCACTAGATGTATTCTTTTTACCAAAATCAAAGATTATGCACGATCTAAAAGAAAAACCTCCATATTTTCTTCATGTGTTTTCAACTCTATCAATTTGTGAATGGAATGAAAATTCAAAGTGTAAGGGCAAGAGAGGATGGGGGGGGGAAGTTAAGTGTGGAGACATTAAAAATATACAAAAATGTTTTCTATGTAGTGCCCTTCTTAGGGAATGCTCAGGGTGACACATCTATAAAGATGTCTTTGTTTTTCCTAAAGGTCAAAGGGCTATGCATGAATTAGGAAAATCAAATGATGGCATCTTGAAGGACTGAGGACATAACTCACAGGAATCCAGGCAGGGATATGCTGGTAAATATTTAACAGTTGGCTCTCCAGGAAAAAAAAAAAAAAAGTAGCACAGCATACTTCTAAGTTTAGCTCCATATGCAAGAAAGTCTTATCTTGCCCTGCGTGACAGCTCATGCATGCAAATCCTCCTTCTAAGGAAGGTGAGGCTGGTGGATTGTTTAAATTCTGGAGTTCTGAACTGCATCAGCCTAAAGGTGACCAGGTGTCCACACTAAGTCGGGCACTAAATTGGTGAGCTCCTGGAACAGGGGAGGGGGAGACTCACAAGGCTGCCTGAGGAAGGTGAACAAGCCTAGGTCGGAAATGGAACAGGTTAAAGCTCCCATGAGAATCAATGTTGGGGTTGAACTTGTGAGTAGTTGCTGGGAGGGAGGGAAGAAGGGAGGGAGGAAGGAAGGAAGGAAAGAAGGGAGAGAGGCAGGATGGAAGAAAGAGTGAAGGAAGGAAGGAAGGGAAGAAAAGGAGGAAGAAAGAAAGGTGATGGAGGAAGGAAGGAAGGGAGGAAGATGGAAGATGAAAAGATGATGGAAGAGAAGAAGGAAGGGAGGGAGGGAGGAAGAAAAGAAGGAAGGGTGGAAGGTAAGAAGAGTCTTACCTAGAAATAAAACTTCCAGACACTTGTTGCCTCTGCCTTTATCTTCTTTCTTCTCATCACTCAATTCTACTGAATTTACCAAGAATATACTAAGTGCCTACTTCATGGAAGAAATTGTGCTAGGCACTGAGGATGCCAAAATGTAAAGAGAAGCAGGCCCTGCCCTTGGAGATCTTTTATCCTACATGGCAGTGGCAACATTTTCAAGAATAAATAAGTGAAAGATAATTTGAGGAAGCCAAGAGCACTAAAACTTAAGAGGATTGGAAAAAAAGCTTCCCCTAGGTTGCAGTGCTGTACTTGAGGCTCAAAGCAAGCTAAGGATTCTTAGAATCAACGTAGAGAAACAAATGCTCTTCAGGGACCCATGAAAGGCTTGAAAAGGTACAGAAGTGGGAGATGGTATGCTGAGTTAAAAAACAGCCAATGGGCCGGTTTGAAAAGAACAGAGTGCATGAAGAGAAGTGATGGGAAAGAAACCTTGAAGGATATGCAATAGTCAGACTGGGAAGGCCTTTAGGGGCTGAGCCAAGGAAGAATGACATTGCCAGGTTGCTGCTTTAGGAAGATTCTTTTGGCAAATTTGTGGCAAATGGATTGGACGGAAGAGTCTGAAAACATGGATGCCAATTTGAAGACTACTATAATAGTCCAACAGAGAGGTGATGAGGGCTTTAATTAGGATGGTGTCCATGTGTGTAGGGGAGCAGGATGTGGAAGAAGTTACGGAGGTTCCTTCTATGTGCATTTTGATTCTTTGCTGTTGTGCTGGAGCCAGCTCAAACTGTCTCATGAGAGATGATTGTTAAATTTCCCATGTCAGCATTTATACCTCAGAAATTGGCAAATGCTAGAAATCAGGGTCTGATTTACTATTTCCTTTATTATCTAGCCTTAAGAAAATGATGAAGAAAATGTTAATAATGCAGATTAAATTTTAAATTATGTCCTTTGTATAATTTTTCCTAGAAAGCCACTTGTTAAACATTTACCAGCACACCTCTGCTAGCCTCCAGTTTCTTAGTCCAATGCTTTCTACTATATATCACATTGTAAATCTTATTATTACAGATTCCTAGAGTCCTGCTGCTTTCCCTCTTCTGACAACTCCCTTTCCCATTCCCTCTTCATCCCTTCCACTTACCAGAACTGGGAAGTGGATGGTAGTAGTCACTGTTAACATATAAGCAAAAAGCCCTGACCCTTTTCACTTCTCAGGGAAGGAAGCAGGGAACTGTATTTTTTTCTGACTAGTGTAATTTGTACAACCACCCTCCACTTCCACGTTTTCCACAAGTGAAAAACTAGACATCTTAACATTAAATAAATTCGATGACCTGAAAGATATCCAAATGATCTCCCCATTACTTTGTTGTCTGGTCTGTTTGTCTTTTGTAGAACATTTCTTCCAAACAGCTCAGAGTACTTTGCAGACATTATCTCATTATTCCTAGCAACATAAATGGCATTTTACAAATGAAGAAATGAGTGAGCAGAGTAAGTACTGGAATTATTCACCTGAGGTCAGAGACGATGTCAGTGATGGAATCCCCTAGGTCTCGGCCTGACTTGGGCTCTGTTCCCCCTTAAGCTAACATAGACTTGGCCATGCAGGCCTGGAGCAGAAGGGTAAGAAGCTATTCAATGATGAGAAATACCTACCTGAGGAGTATTCTGAACTAAGGAAAAGTTTGAGTACCACTGCCCTAGACTATGTCACCTGCCTAGCCAGAAGGCCCCTGGCTTCTTTTTTCTCTTTAAAAAAAAATGACTGATTATAAAGAACATACAATCAGCTAAACTTGTTTTGCAATTATTTCCATTTAAACAAATGAATAATTTAACCCATAAAAGATCACAACACATTTAATCGCTTCATCTCCACCAAGATTCTTTGAATGAATTAATGAGAGTGAGTGAATAAATGAAAGAAGCATGTCATAGCTGGGTTAAGCACTAGGATACAAATATAAAGGCAAAGACAGTCCCTGCCCTCAATGAACTTACATTCTAATGGAAGAAAGAAAACAAGAAGAGAAGTGATGGCCAATGAGAGGCTCTTTGGGTTCAAAACGTGCTACTAGTTATTTTAGTAACTTTAGGGGAGGCATTTAACCTCCCTGGTCCTTAGTTTACCATCTGTACAATGAAGGAGTTGGATCAGGTGACTTCTAAGGAAACTTCCAAACCTAATTTTCAGAAAATGCCAATGTATTTGTGAATGATACTGGTTCCATCTCATAAATAGCATCTGTCGCTTCTGCTCTTTGTGCAGCATTTGCCCATCTCCAAGATCTGGTTCTTAACAGGAGCAACCAATAGTCTAGCTCCCAGATCAGCTGTGCTGATTACCACTCAGTCCTAATGCTGCCTAAACAACAAATGGTTCCGACATCCCCTTACCTTCCCTCAATAAACCGTGTTTTCAGGAAGACTGGCCACTTCCAGATCAAGCAGTTCGATTACTAATAACTGGTTTTGCAACAGATGCTGATGTCACCCACTGGAAAGACACCCAGAGACTCCCTACTTTCAAACTACTAGATTCAAAAGATCCAGCTGTTCAGAAACAGCAGGGAGCAGCCATGGTTAGGAGTAGAAATATGGTACAGTGAACAACGTTGTCCATTGTCTGTTCTAGACCAACTGCTACATTTCTGCAGCAACTCTTATGAAGTAATATACACATTCTGGAAAGTCCCCTTCCAAAAGAATGTAGGAGTGCATAAAAGTCACATGTTAAGTTATGCTGTTCTCCTGTTTACTGACAATCTGTCTGAGAGCTTTATTTAACACAGAAATAAAACATATTCTCAACTTTCTTTGTTGTGCGTTAGATTCTTGGCCACTATAACCGAGGGAATTTGAGCACTGAGAAATTTGTGGAAGAAATAAAATCAATTGCAAGTGAGCCTACTGAAAAACATTTCTTCAACGTCTCTGATGAATTTGCACTAGTCACTATTGCAGAAGGCCTGGGAGAAAGAATATTTGCCTTGGAAGGTATGAAAATTTCTTTAAATCAGAATGCTAAATTCATAACTCAAACCCTCAAGAATGTATTTTCTGTAGTTCTGTCTTCCTTATTCTTAATGTCTTTTTTCTTAACCTATCATGGTATTAGACTATTTTGTACACATCTCATTCAGATAGATCTTTCACAATGTATCAGAGTTGCTAGAAAATATCTTCCTAAGGGCACAGCACAGGTGATGTAGGTGTTAAGGGGGACAATGATGGAAGGAGAGGTGGGGCAGCAAAAATATCTTGTGTTTTTCACATTTTTTTTGGTATTTTGGAGAGATAGAAAGTAGAGATACCAGCAGTGGAAAGACTGAGTTTCAAGACTGAGAATTTGACTTGAACCTTTATCAGTGTAGTTTCTCAGTCTTTTAAAGGTCTCCTGAAAATGGAACCTTTTGTATCAGTACATTAAAACATTGTCTCACTCACTACATAGCAGTAGAAGTTTGTCATCTCAGCTAACTATTTGAACTTGACACTTAACATTCTTGGACTTTAAATGGGGCTGGGCTATAAATGATGATGAACATGGGTGCTTTCTAGGTTAACAAGCTACTTTGGAAGTAAAAAGTTATAAACTTTTCCTTGTCAAAATGTCCTGGAATTAGTGAAGATGCTTGGTACAGAATCTAGAGTCTAAAGTTAAAACAATATTCACCTCTTCTTGTTTTACTACTGCAGAAAAGGTGGCGTATGGGCCCTGTGCTCCAGTGAGGGGCCTACTGCTCCTGGCCACTACACTAAAATGACAACAGTCTGAAGGGTCTATGCCTCCTATGTATGTTACCTAACATAGATCCATAGACTGTTTCTGCCAGAAGGAGAGGTATGCTGGTAAATGTTTAACAGCTGGTTGGATTATTACCATTTTCTTAATCAACAAAACTATAAATCAAGTCCAAATATGTAATATTTGCCAATTTCTGAGGCATAAATGCTCACAGTGAATATTTAACAATCGATTTTCAGTAGCCCACCAGTTTAGTTGGCTCTAGCACATTGCTGGCTTGAAGAAACTTTAAGAGATCATAGGATCAGAGCTGTAGAGTTGAAAGGAACCTCAGGGACCATGGAATAGAATTCTTCTATATTTTTTTGGTTGAGGAAACTGAAACTCAAAGAAATTATATGATTTTGTTTTTGTTGTTGTTTAGTCATTTTCAGTCACCTCTGACTCTCCATGTTGGGGTTTTCTTGGCAAGGATACTAGAGTGGTTTGCTATGTCCTTCTGCAACTCATTTTATAGATGAGATGTGGCAAACAAGGTTAAGTGACTTGCCCAGGGTCACACAGCTGGTAAGTGCTTGATGCCACATTTGATTCCAGGCCTGGTGCTCTATCCACCATGCCACCCAGCTGCCCATATGCTATGATTTACCCACTCTATAAATTGAAACTAGTCACTGAATCAATCTCCCTAAGCTTGCCATACATATCAACTTTTTTACTGAAGAAGAGAGAAGAAAAGAAAGAAAAGTTCACTTCAGAAATGGACCGTGATACAGTGGAAAGGAAATTAACTCTAGAATCAGAGGGCCTGGAATCAAGTCCTACCTCAGATGCTTACTGCCTATGTGACCTCAGGCAAATGACTTTAGCCATCCTGGGCCTCTATTTCCTCATCTGCAAAATGAGAGGGTTGGTTTAGATGTCCTCTGAACTTTTTTCCAGGTCTTGGCCTGTGATCCTTTAATTATAGGATCATGGTAATATAATCTAATTATAAGGAAAGAGATGAGGGTAGAGATAGAAATGTAATCAAGGCATTTGAGTCAGGTAAATTAAGACCTGGGTTGGAATCCTGTCTCTGACCATTGATAACTCTATGATTCTAGCCAAGTCACTTAAGACCTCTGAAACTCCAGTTCCTCATGCATAAAACAAGAAAAACCAAATATGCCCTACCCACCTTACGGAATCATTGTGAGAATTAAGTGAGATAATGTACGGAAAAGTACTTTGCAAGCCTTTTAAAGCAATATATAAATGCCTGCTGTTATTATTGAAAAGAGGCTGAACACTTTGCCAGAGCACATAGGTTCTAAGAAAGTGTGGGGAACAAACATAATGGGAGAGGACAGGAAAATGAGCAGGGGAAAGGGAGAACTTGCTTAAAGAATTTGGCGAGCTCCACAGGCCTGACAGAGTACATTTTGTGCATTACTTTCACTCAGCTTTTAGAAACAGGATGACTCCAGTGATTTATCAATAAGAAGTTCTACCCTCTCCTGAAAGACCCTACTGCTAGAAGAGACACCTCTAACTTTTATTTTCCTTAGTTGGGAATGTTATTTATGGTTGGCCTAAAGGGCACTGCTGAAAGTCATTCAGAGGGAAAAATAGTGTAATGTCTTCATGAAGCCCTTATATACTTTAAAATTCTAACAACCTAGGCTGTAGGCCTGAGAGAAACAACTTGTAACTGGCATTTAAAAGCAAATTTATTAAAAATTACAGTACAACATTATCTACTAGGTGTTTTCATTTAGGATCCTGTGGCAAAAGGAAAAATAGCTACTATAAAGGAAGAAGTAAACTGTACCCTATGGAAAGCAGAACTGAAGTCTCTATCGATTGTGAAAAGAAAATTGAATTTGCTTTCAAATGCCATGTGACTATGAGCTATTTATGTTTATCATGCTTACCACTAAAGTTAAAGCTTCCAAGTTTAAAAACTGTGCAAAATTCTTAGGAAGACATTACACTGAAAAAATAAATTGTCTTCACACAAGTCCTATCGACCAAAAACTTTCCAAAAATCTTTGTTGGTTTTTTAAATTAAATTTTATTTTTTAATTAATAGAAATCTGTTTTTTCTCCCCTGACCCTCACTCCACTTTAAAAAAAAAAGGGAAAAGAAAACAAATTCCTTGCCAAAAATGTGCATAGTCAAACAAAATTAATTTTTTCATTGGCTATGTTAAAAAAAAGAAGTGTCAGAAGTAAGTGCCCCCTGAACCCATCAGGAATTTTTCAGAATGTCAGGAGATGAGTAGCATGCTTCATCAGAGAGCCTCTAGAATTATAGGTGGTCAAGCATTTTTGTCAATGGTAGTAACTAACTAAATTCTTTCTGAATTTTACAGTATCAGGTCAGAAAGGGCTATATTTCCCTGCCATTTGGAAATTCTCCATTTCCCATAAATCTTTACCCTTTGTGAGGGCAACTGCCAACTAATGTGAAGGCTGCATTGTTCTTCATTTTTGGCACCAGTTCAGCCTACCGAGTAGTCAGTGCCAGTGACTTGCTTTGGGATATCAGGAAGTCATTTAACATTTCCATTTCCCTTATGAACAGAAGAGATAACAACGAAATCCCTTCTAGAGGTATGGGCTGTAATAATGGTCACTGTGGACTTGCTTGAGAAGAAACTAAAGGAGAGGTCTTGAGCAGGGTAGGCTGGGGCTATTCTTTCACATCTCTTTGCCTCTACTCTCTACTCAGCAGTCACCTGAAGACAGAACCCAGAAGTAGGGGGAGACTTGGGAAGAGTCAGGGCTTCCAAGATTAGAGGAGGTGGTTTTTATTGACACTTTGGCACAGTTTCTACCTGCCTGTTAGGGAGACTATAAAGATAAATTTGATAATAAGTGTAAAGTGCCTTGAGCTCTTAGAGTAAAATGTTTTAAAATAAAGCTTATTTTAGTTGCCTAAATGAAAGGGCTATTCCAAAGCATGATTGAAATGTAATATGTGACTCTTGACTGTTTCCCCTATAAAATTTAGCCCTATAAAAGCCATTTGCAAACCTATTCACTGGCAATTTATTCCAGGTAAGTAGTAAAAAAGCTTGGAGCTTGATTTCATTCATTTGACTACCCTATATTTCCCTGCTGGGAGAGCAGGTCAATTTTTTTTAATATAAATTTTGGATTACTTGTGGGGTTTTTTCTCATCTGCAAAGTAACATTAATAAATGACCCATTGATTAGAGGAAAATGAATGGATATTTTCCAACTTCCTCAGTATTATGTGATTCTGCTAAGTTTGGAATACTGAATGTTTTCAAATGTATTTTTATGGATAGATATATAGAAATATATGCACTCACTACATATGTACATAAATATGCAAGTATGTATAAACATATAAAGTGTGTCCCAGAAGTCTTAGTGTAATTTAAAGCTTTAATATCATAAAACTGCACTAAGACTTTTGGAACACCCTGTACCATGTTGAATAGTGGATAAAGATCTGGCTTCTGAATTAGAAAGACCTGGGTTCACGTCCTACTTTTGACTCATACTGGTTATGTGGTCAAGTCATTTAACCTCTAAGGGTCCCAGACAACTTTCTGAGGCTAAATTCTAGAGAAGATGCCAATCTGTGCTTAAGGGGGATATTTCTCACCAGTATATACCTATGTAGGTAAAAACCAGTGTTTTGGTCAGTATGACTAGGTTCACCTATGATGACAAGGTGACATTGGAGAAGAGGCTGGTCATGTAGCATAACGACAATACTAGTGTTTGGTCATATAATGTGTGCCTTGTGTGTGATTTGGTGCACATATTAATGACTGCATTTCTGAGTTATGCTACAACTTCATAATATTGTTTTTTTCTATATATTTATGTATTCATACTAAGATTATACATATAGTATAATTGCATTTATGTTTTAGTTATTCATTGTGGTGAGGCAGCTGTGGGGAAGTGGATAGAGTGCCAAGCCTAGAATCTGGAAGACTTCTCTTCCTGAGTTCAAATACTTCTGAGTTCAAACCTCAGACACTTACTAGCTGTGTGACCCCAGGCAAATCACTTAACCCTGTTTGCCTCAGTTCCCTAATTGGTAAAATGAGCTGGAGAAGGAAATGGCAAACCACTCCAGTATCTTTGCCAAGAAAACCCCAAATGGGGACATGAAGAGTTGGACATGTCTGAAAAATTCATTGTGGTACTTTATGCAAGTTCCCAAATTTTTGGTAGTCTGTTATGTGAATGGCCAAAGGCAGGTTACGTGTTTGTGAATGAAAAGACAATATGCTTACAAAGAACAGAGTTTAAATTATCATTATCATTATTTCAATAACAATCTTCCATGTGTAACCTGGGCTTTTGTGGTAGCAGGGGACAAAGAGGTCTAGGCAATCTGGACATGCCCCAAAGGACCCTCAATGGCATCTCCATGTTAGAAAAACTAGGCATACCCAGAGAAGCCTGAGTTACATTTAAAGTGATGCTGTGACTTGGAAGCAGCTAGGTGGCACAGAAGATCGAATGTTGTGGTTGGATTCGGGACCAGAGCAGCATTGAGAGATGTAACTTACAGGAATAAGCAGAAGCTGTTCCCATAGTCTTCTTCCATACCAGGGTTGGTTAAAGGAACTGGAAATGTCGAAGTATGGAAAAGAGAAGTCTCAGGGACAACATTGGAGCTGCCTTCAAGTATTTGGAGAGTTGTGGTGTGAGAAAGAGATTAGACATTATTTTTTTTTTTAACCTAAGAAAACAGAAACAGGAGTAATACGTGAGTAACATCAAGCTTGATGTATTGAAAACTTTTCTAATAATTAGGACTATTCCTAAGAGTGGAATGGATTGCCTTGGCCTCACTGGTAGTAAGCAGCTGCTGGTTGGTCACTTCCAACCTGAAATCCTGAGATTCTGATACCTGAGGTCCAAGATCTCTCACTACCTTATTGGAGAAATTAGGTCTTAGAGACCACATGTCTGAAAGCTTCTTAGTAGAAGACAATTATTTGACTAGTCAGAACCACGAAGTCTCAGCCCTCAAGAAAGAATGATGCCATTGGATTACAAAACACTGCAGTCCTCCTATGTTTCTCTGAGAAAAAATAAACTTGTCATTTTTGTTATTTTGTTTAGTACAATAATTTCCATCAAATGAATATACTATAATTTTATCAAAATGCTGTGGGGGATTTTTTTTTGATGGTTTCTAAGTTTGTAAAAAAAAAAAAGTCTATTAGAAAAAAAAACTACCTGTAGTTCTTAAAGATAACTATTTCCTATTTTATAGCCACGACTGACTTGTCAGCAGCTTCATTTGAGATGGAAATGTCCCAGACTGGCTTTAGTGCTCATTATTCACAGGTAAATTGATCACTTGGTGATAGAAACTCTCTCCAGTTAGGTGGTGTAGTGAGTAGAGTTCTGATCCTGAAGTCAGGGAGACCTGAGTTCAAATCCAGCCTCAAACACAATTGTGTGACCATGGGCAAGTCACTTAACTTCTATTTGTCTTAGTTTTCTCATCTATAAAATGAGAATAATAATACCATTTATATCCCAGGGTTCTTGTGAGGAACTAATGAGATAGTACTTGTAAAAACACTTTGCACAGTGCCCAGGAAAAAGTAACTACTGTATAAATGTTAGCAATTATTATTATTCCACAAAATTATTCTTTTACTTGATATTCAATGTTGCACAAATCAGAAGTTTCTGATATGGGGATTGTCTGGACTACATTCTAATGTTTTCTGATCCAAATTTGAAAATAGTGTTCCTTAGGCCTCTTATTAGAATTGTATATGAATTTATTACATATTTAACAAGAAATGCAAACTGTACATAATAGAGATTTGTGATTTCAGGTGCAATCCTCTGTAGTTTTAAATATCCCTTTCTGTTCTACTATGCATATGCAAATGCCTATTCCATTTGGGTGTTCATTGAGTTCTGAACTTTTAAAATAGAAATAATAATAATAATAGCTAACATTTATGTGGCACTTTAAAGTTTGCAAAATGCTTTACAAATGTTATCTAGAGATAGAATATTATCTAATTCTATCCTCACAACAACCTTGAAAGGTAGATGCTATTATTATCTTCATTTTATAGATAAAAGAAACTGAGGCAGACCAAAAAAAAAAAAAAAAAGAAAGAAACATGTCATCCTGCACAGCTCACTACAGGATGTCAATAATTATGCATCAGGCATATTTGGCTTCTCATCTTCCAGCCCTGCAGGGCAGAATTGTGAATGTCATTCATTTCAGAGGTGCTATTTACACAGAATTCAATGAGAAAACTCATTTTTAATGTTTTGATTAGTATATACACTATTTCTTTTCTCAGTGGAAGGCAAAGTAACATAGAAACTGACTTTCAAGTATGAGAACCTGAGTTTGAATCCCACCTTTGACAGCTGCTACTTATGTGACCCTGGGCAAGTCATTTAATTTCTCTGGGTCTCAGTTTTCTCATCTATCAAATGAGGGGTTTGGGCTAGAAAGCCACTAAAGGCTCTTGTATCTCTAGAGCTATGATCCTACAATCAGTGTCAACATATTCAATAACAATATTAGAACCTGAGTTCTTAAGGGGACCAGAGACCCCCATCCCCTCCCAAGTACCATATATGGAAAAGAGTAACAAAGGCAAACTATAGTGATCAGAAACAGATGTCTGTTGTATTTCACTATAAATGTCTTATGGGGCCCACAAAGAAGTACTGACCTTTCAGTGTGTATATTAACATATAAGATCCTTAAGAGTGATTGATGATTGTTCCATTCTTTGTATTTGTATCCCCAATACTTAGCACAGTGCCTGGACACATAGTAGGTGATGAAAAGATGCTCATCAATTGATTGGTTGATATTTATCTTTCTATTTAAACATAAGGACTGGGTTATGCTTGGAGCTGTAGGAGCCTATGACTGGAACGGAACAGTAGTCATGCAGAAAGACAGCCAAATTATAACCCCATCAAATGACTCCTTTAATGTTGAGTCTACTAAGAAAAATGAACCACTTGCTTCCTATTTAGGTGAGTATATTTATATTCTTTAATTATTATTAAAGTTCCTTCTTCTGGGGATTTCACTTCACCAGAGTCCTAGACTTCAATGTCATTAAGTTAAGATCTTGCCTTTTATTGTCATCTGATCATGTCATTCGCCTGCTCCATAAGCTGCATTGGCTCCCAATTAACCCTAGGATTAGGTAGACGCTCCTCTGGTTAGTATTTAAAGCCTTTCACCATCTTGCTTCAACCTACCTTTTTAGTCTTATTATACTTTACTGTCCTTCACTTTCTTGATAGTCCAGGCAAACTGGCTTTCTTGCTGTTCCTAGCACCCCACGTCCTATCCCTTGTCTGTCTTTACGCCAGTTTTTCCCTATACCTGGAACATATTCCCTCCTCAGCTCCTCTTTTTGAAATCCCTACCTTCCTTCATAGCTCCACTCAAGCATCACCTCCTACATGAGGCCTTTCTTTATCCTCATTCCACTACCCTTCCCACCAGGCCCCATCTGCTGGTATTGTGCTTCCCCCACCCCTGGAGAAATTACCTTGTATTTATTTTGCATATGCTTTGTATATACTTGTGTATAATATAGTATGATATGTATACTATATCATATATAATATATATAATGTAATATATCTATATACAATGTATATAATTCCATGACAGAATGTAAACTCCTTGAGGTAACTGTTGTTTCATACTGTCTTTGAATTCCCAATGATTAGTAGAGCGCCTGGCACACAGTAAGTGTTTAAGAAATATTTGTTGCCTGGAATAAAATTACCTCAGAGACTTAACTAGGCCCTTTGAGATGGTCACTAAGTGTATCAGAACTCAGCCCATACCTGAAGTATTGTGCTTAGAGTTATAATTGACACATTTTGTGAGAGACCAAACATACCCAATGTGAAGATTGGTCTAAAGAAATGTGTATCTTTGTCAAGAAAACCTCAGAAGAGGTCATGAAGAGTCAGATATGACTTAAAAATGACCAAATAACAAAGGGGTGTTTAGCTTGAGAAGGGGAAGGGTTGATGGTGTGGGTGAAGAGTGGGAAGGAAAGACACTGGTAGAAGCAACTAGAAGCAACAAGTAGAAGCTGTTTATTCTGAATAATGGTAAGCTTGCTAAAAACGCAAACTCTCCAACTCTGGAAGGGCTGCATTTTAAACAGAGTCTACATGGACACCTGTATTTGGTAGGATATTGGACGTGATATAATTTCTAAGATTTCTTCTAAGTCATAGATTCTATTTTATATAAAATGTGGTGAGCTTACAGGCTGACTCATGTGTATGAATTACACTCCTGTCATATAAAAGGAAGGAAACAGGCAGAACAATGATGCTAGCTGGAATATCTAGGTGACAAAATTTTGGATTGAAATATACTCCAATGGAATCAATTTCTTGATCCAAATGAACAGCTATTTGTTGAGCTCTTGTCATGTGCAAGGTATTATGCTAGGTTCCATAAGACATCAAAAGTTGTACAAGCTACTGTCCCTGCCCTTGGTGATCACCCACATTTTAGCTACCAATGGCCATGCAAGTGTTGGAAGCAGGTGCTGTGGAGTGCTTAGAGCTCAGCCAGATGTCACAAATGCCAAGATCATCCACTGCATCCCAAGCCATTGCCAGTCATCCTGACCATTATCTTCCCACTGGAACTTGATGATTCTGGAAGAGAGAGTGAGGCTAGAGACTTTGTACAGCTCTGCCTCACTTAAATCTAATTCATGTGCAAGTCAAGACATCACTTTGTGACGTCATTGGTCCTCTTTGAAAACAAGGACAAATAACAACAGCTACCAACATCACATATTAGCTAATAGCTAAATGACATCTGTTGCTGATGAACCTTTTAAGTAAAAATCTCCTATTCCAATCCCTACTAGTTCCCAGGGTTATCTTCAGCAGAGTCAGAGATCTTGATCATAAGATATTATTGGTGGCACAGAATAAATAACAGCTTCTTCGTTCCTGGCTATACAGGCTAGAATTTATGACTCTTCTCTTTCCAGGAAAGGAAAACTATGAATGTGCTGTCTACAATGTACAGGAACAATGAGGTTTTCGTCTGTTGCAGCAATCATTCAATTAACTCAATCAGAAATGAGACCATGATACCCTTTGCCAAAATAAAGTCTAACTTACATAAGGAAATTTCTTTCCAGGAAGAAATGTGCCCAAAAATACCAGAAAAAGAAAACTACCCAGTGCTTTTAAGGTGGTCTCTCGATCCATAGAGACATTTTACAAAGGTTCATTAGGAAGTTTACAAGCTAAGAAAAATTTGAATTTGTGAGCCTAACACCTGCCTAGGTTACAAACTTATTATATTAAAAAAATCTTTAGCATAGGCTCTAGAAAAATATCTTATGTTAATCCATAATCCCTTGGGAATAGCATACATTCCAATAGCATGTACCTCTATAGCTAGACATGCTGTCATTTTTTTTAAAGAAGATCCTCATTCGGAGCAGCTAGGTGGCACAGTGGATAGAGCACTGGCCCTGAAGTTAGGAGGACCTGAGTTCAAATCTGTTCTCAGACACTTGGCACTTACTAGCTTTGTGACCCTGGGTAAGTCACTTAACCCCAATTGCCTCAGCCAAAAAAATAAAAAAATAAAAAAGATCCTCATTCCTTGTTCCATGCAGACAGATCTACACTACATGAATGGCTGGGTTTTGGTGCTGTTAATAGGAACTAAGCCGTTTTCTTGAGGTTTATTGATTACTAGACTATTTTAGGCAGAATCAAAAGTAAGGACTCATGTAGTAGAACCATAAAATCAAGACCAATCAAAACAACTTTTCCCTTGACCTATCATATCTTGTCACTTTATCAAAGAAGAAAATTAGAACAATATCAGGATTCATTTCTCATCAGGATTGTAGTTACCTTAATTTCCTCCTAATTTCCCACCACTTTTGTACATAAGATTAGCATTTTATTTTGCCTTAGGTAGTGTTCTGGATTTCTTTGTATTTTATACATCTTCCTCATTGGGTCTTTTTAACTCTAAACCTCAACAATGATTTTCAGATCAATAGATCTCTCTTTGATGTAAGCCTATGTCTCTGAGAGTAACAACAAATGATTATTTTTCTCTTTCCAACTACTGCAACCTCCTCAAGTTTAGGAAGTGACAAAGATGCCCTAATATGTAGAGTACATTGTTATGACCTAGATAGTCCCTGGTCCTTACATTAAACTCTCTGAGGTTTTGGGTTTTTTTGTTTGTTTGTTTTGGTTTGGTTTGATTTTAATATGCAGTTACAACCTAATTGTTGGTAATTGCTGCCTCCCTTCCTCCAGCTGCCTAGTCAAAACCTTTTTTACCCTACAAGTGTCAGATCAAATGCTATCTTCTCTGTGGAACCAAAGATATTCCCTAGTATCTCCTTCCTCTATACTGCTATGATACTTTGTACCCCCCTTAATCCATTATTATTAGTATTATTATATTCCTTATCCCACTTTAGCACTGTATAGTCATTACATCAAAATTATTTCAATACATATTTACGTTCCTTCTCCCCACAGCACCTGGCAAACTCAATAAATATTAATTTCACAAAATGAATATTCCACTTTGTTACCTCATAGTGACTTGGAGGTGGCCTGTGTCCTCAAAATCTGTGTGACTAAAGCCCTGACAAATTTTTAATCAAACTGGAAAGGGTTTGAGTAGAGACTTGGTGACACAGAATACATGTTCACTTTCCGAGGATCACCCCAGTTACTAACAGAGAAGCTCATACTAGAAGGTTTGATATTAAATGATGAATAAAAAATGTCAATAAAAGCCCCTAGTTCTATGTGATCCCTGCCCCCCCAGCTTCTCAGCTGTGATGGTGGAAATAACATTTAAAAAAAAAAAGACCAACAAACTAAATATTGCACAAGTTTTAATCTTAGGGCATTGATTTAACTGCTAATATGCTTAATGTGCGATCTTTGCCCAATGATTCAATTCAATTCAATAAACATTTATTAGCTACATACTATGTGCCAGGCAATGTGCGAAGTGCTGAGGATACAAAAGAGGCAAAAGACCCTTCCTGGAGACATAAGCTTCATCTATATTAACATTCTAACTATAAATGAAAAAAAAAACCATAAAAAAATCAACACACTGAAAGAACAGCTCATAAGAGACAGGCCCTCATTGAGACAATAGTATCTTAAGTGCCAATAGACACTACAAGAACAAGGCAGAGAAATTCTATGACAAAAACTTTACAAGGTTTCTCAGACTAAGCCAACATCTATTCTGATGCTTGGTAATTTCAAGGCAAAAGTGATTACTGAGGAGCATATAAAAAACTACTTAGGAAAATATGGTATAGGATCCAAAAAAAAAAAAAAATGAAAGAAACCAACATTTTTTAAACTATTCCCAAGTCTTTTTTCACCTGGAAATTATGAATGCTTTGTTTAAGAAGTGTTGGAAGCAGTAGACAGAGAGAGAGAGAGAGAAAAAATCAGCCAAGAAAGAAAATGAAATTGATTATCTTCTCAGGCAGAAAAAGACTGGTTATAGTTAGAGCAGCTCTATCAGAATAAACTGCAGGCATTCAAATTGTTTATTGTCATCCTTTCTTGGAGAAGTTTAACCAATGCAAAAGAATCACCACAATAGAAAACTCCAAAAGGCCTAAAACCACCTCAGTCAGCAAATATTTTCTTTAACTTTGCCAAGAGAAGAGACTTGTCAGCCAAAGGCAGGGGTGGTTTAGTACATAGGAACACTTTCAAAACATTCCAGAAGAGGAGAATGGAAGACCAGAAGCAGCATTATCTCAAAATAAGACAAAACAAAACAAAAACAGCCAAAAGCAATTGAGAAGAAAACAAATCTTTAGAGAACTTGGTATGAGCTTTAATTAGCAGTAAGACAACCAATAGGTAAGAAATGGAATAGCACAGAAGGCATTTCTCTAATGATCTATTCTACTCAGTGGCTACAGTGAAACCATCATATTTGGAGTTTACCACCACAGTATCACAAGGATTATGTGAAAAAATTGAAATGGCACTTAAGAAAATAAATTTAGGGAGAGCGTCTAGCCTCGATCAAATACATCATAATCATATATTCACCAAGAAATGTTTTTACCAAAAGGAAGAATGCAAGAAGGCATTGAAAACTCCTGCCACAGATGCCTGGTTTTAATATATATATAAAAAAAAAACAAGAATCGGCTTCACACAAATTGAGGTAAATCCTGATGAAAATATGAAGGCAAATTTCCATGGATGGTTTTCTACAGTAGACTATATCTTTATCATTGCACAGTTAACTGAGAGCTGAGGTAGGGGAGGGGAAAGGTGTAAGATCTGATGGTGTCTATTGTTTCTTGATTAAAAAACAAACAATTTTTGACCCAGTAGGACAAAATATAGCTTTAAAGATCCTCCTCCAACAAGATATCTTCAACAAGCATGTTAAAATCTTACATGCTTCTATGAGAGATATGACTAAAAGGTAAATTTATGAAAGAGAGCAGGATTTGGAGTGAATACTTAGGGATCACATCTGAGCTCTATTGCTTGCTGGCTATTATTTAACTTCTCTAGGTCTCATTTTCTTCATATATAATGAAGCAGTTAGATGATTAGCTGTTCAAGGTGTGGTGGAGGAGCCAGAGAACATTCTAAATCCTATTTTGGAGACCAAAAGCAGTGTTTTTGATGATCCCAAATAACTTGATGCTGCAAAAACACTTAGCTATCACACTAACTCCTCTCAATAACACTTTGTGGTTCTAAATTATGGACCATCCAAATATCGGAAGAATTAAAATTCCAAGTATCCCAAAGGGAAATGAGAAGATGCATGGGTGGCAGGGAGGGTTATATATTAGGCTATATCATAGTACATTATGTATTCTCTACAAGTAATGTAAGAATGGGGGCAGCTAGGCAGTACAGTGGGTAGAATGCTGGGCCTGGAGTCAGGAAGACATCTTCCTTAGTTCAAATGCAGCCTCAGACAATTGCTAGCTGTGTGACCCTGGGAAATTCACTTAATCCTGTTTGCCTCAGTTCCTCATCTGTAAAATGAGCTGGAGAAGAAAATGGCAAATCACTCCAGTATCTTTGCCAAGAAAACCCCAAATGGAGTCAAGGAGACACAATTGAAACAACTGAACAACAGCAACAATGTAAGAATAGATCATAAGACCATGGATGCCTATAAAAGAAGGTAATTTAGTCATGTAGCAAAAAAGAGACAACAGATACAGAGCCCAAATGCTACAGTGAAACTTCCAGGACATTACAGGAAGCAGTGGAAAGCTTCTAGTAGCCTCCAGATCTCTAGACTGAAGTGGGTCTTCTTTGGGAGTTTTACAGCAAAGCCATATACAAGAATTATAGAGAATGAGGTGTAGGAAGGTTGGGACCTTCACCATTGAAGCTGAAAGTATGTCTAAATATCTAATTAGTAGTTCTCAAAAGGTGTGTCCTTTAACACAAGGGTTTCATGAGTTGACCTTAAACTTTTAATTGCATGAGCATGTGTGAGTTTCCTAATTCCTCAAGGCAAAAGACAATACTGTGATGACTGGCAAAAGAGAGTCTGGAAGCTTTAGGTCAAAGTAACAATAAAAAGATGAATGAAAGAAATGTGGTTTTTAATCTCCGTGTTAAAATTTTGTAATACTCTTCATAATTAGACATTGTAAGAAGCTCTACATTTGAAAAGAAAAAAGTTTTATAGTGTTATTTTTTAAAGCAGAATCCAAATTGAGACTAGAGAAAAAAAGAAAAAAAAATGGAAAACAGGGACCAAATATTTTTAAAGGAAACCAAACCTGAGTAGTTGCTTACCCTTTAATTAGAAATCTCAACCATTTGCAGAGTAGTATTTATAAGAATGAAAGATATTTTAATACTAAAGACCTTGGTGTCTTTTCTTATTTGACTGTGAATTTAATACAATGAATATTGTGTGAATTAACTTACGGTAAAATATTTGAATCGACAAATTAGCATATATGGTCTAATCTTTCTCAGGAAATGCTATTCTCGTGAATTTGTTTTCATTCACGTACCTTAACATTTATAGTTAAAACAAGTTAAAGGACATTGGAGCCAATTAAACAGAGGGCAATATCAAGTTTTATGTAAGTTAATAGTCACTGTTCTCCACATGAGGGTTTATGCCAAAACAAAGTCTAACATGTACAAATACAATCTGTCCAAAAATGATATATAAATGGGTCCAACTATGTAAAATTCAAGTCATTTAACATTTATTCAGCATCTGCTTTTTGAGGACCCTGAGTTACAGTAAGGTCTGAGGGGAAAAATAAGGATGTATAATAGTCTCCGGATTTAAGGAACTTAGAATCAAGAAGAGTAAAAGCTGATTTGAATTCATTTCATATAGAACTTTAGATTAACAAAACATATAAGATCTGAGAACATTGCATCAAGACACACGACAATTCTGAAACCCTCATGTCTGCACATATTCTCTTTCTAGGTTATATGGTCAACTCTGCTACTATTCCTGGAGACGTGATCTACATTGCTGGGCAGCCCCGCTATAATCACACAGGTCAAGTCATTACCTATACGATGGAAGGCCAAGAAATCAAGATTCTCCAAACCCTCAGTGGAGAACAAGTAAATTTGTGAATTACTATTAATAAAAATCTAAGTGTACCCAGTTAACTTTGAAAATCATTCCCCCTCATTTTTTTAATAAGCTTAGGTCTGTCAGTTGCTTAACAATTTTTTTAATTTCTTTTTTCACTAAAATAAGTCTTCCTTCATTGGGGGCCTCTTTGTAATTGGGAGGTGACCCTGGATTTTTGAAGTCTAGGCAGTAGAGCACAAACTCTGGCAGGTTCTTCCAAACCAGAAAAAAGTTTAGTATAGGCTGACAGTGGATTGTTTTAGCTAGGTGGCACAGTGAATGGAGTAGCCTGGAGTCAGAAAGACCTGAGTTCAAATCCAGCCTCAGACACTTATTAGCTGTATGACCCTCAGCAAATCATTTAACGTCTGTCTGCCTTAATTTGCTCATCTGTAAAATAAGAATAACAATAGCACCTACCTCCCAGGATTCCTGTGAAGATCAAATGAGATAATAATTAAGCATTCACCCCAATGCCTCACACACAATAAGTACTATATAACTTAATTATTAATTATCATTACTGTTTGTTGTTCAAAGAAGAACCTACTTGTGTTCAGAGAAACTTATCAGGAGAATGTTAGCTGCCTGGAAATAAATTATTTTAACAATAGTAACTCAGGAAAACAACTATTTCCTAAAAAAAAGTATTCCATGTCAGAAGTGGCATTCAAACTGATGAAATCATGAATGGAGTCTTGAAATACTATGCCCCTACTTATTATTTGTGAAGTGCTATTCTAGGTACTATAGCATAAGATCCAATATTCCAAGGAGCTTCAAATCAAGTTCAAGAGATGAGACTTCAGAAGATAACTTTCAGTACAAGGCAAGCAGAAAATGGTTCCAGACCAAAAAAAAGTGCTTTAAATGGTAAATTCTTAAAGATCTCAGAGAAGAAATAAGTCCTTGCTTGCTAGACTTAATCAGTCATGGAAGGATGAAAGCTGAGCCTTAAAGTGTGGGTGTCACTTAAAAGAAAAAGGAAGGATATTCCAGAAAACAAGAAGGGAAAAAATAAAAGTGCAAGATGGGATTAGGAGAGAGTGAAATAGAGCCACTACAGCAGGAAAAAACAAGGAGTTCATGTAGGAGAGTAGTGGGAGATAAATCTGGAAAGGGAGATGGGGCTAGATGGTACAGGATTTTGAGAGAAGCTGGTAAAAGTTAAGAAACTATGCTACTGGGACCAGTACACATTTGTGTTATTTAACATCAACTCAGCACTATCTCAAGGCAATGCTTTTATACCTTCTTAATTATCACTATTCCACTAAACCTTGAGGAAAGATGTAAAAAGATGTGGCTCCCTGTGAAGGAATCAACCTTCTCATATGAGTGAGGGTTGGGAGAGTAGTCCCAGAGCACATGCTACAAAAATATGTATTTGGACTTTTACTGAACACAAGGCATTTTTTTGTCTCTATCATTTCTTAGGAATACATACTATCCTAAATATGGAGGGTAGATGAACCTTAATCTAACACCATTCCTCCTACCACCAAAAACAAAAACAAAACAAAACAAAAACACAACTCTTTTTTCTCCTTGGTCAAGATCATTCTATACAGCTGCTGGGACAGATCTTATTAAATTTTGCTCTACCTTGGAGCAACACAAAATCATTTGGTAGTAAGAGACTTCCAGATCAGTCTGATTCCCTATTGAGTTTTAATTTCACTTTACTACTTCTAAGTATGTGAAAATTCCTTGTTTTGTTTTGTTGATGAAAATGTTCAACACAACAATACCAAGGATAAAGCCTTGGGACATTTGCATTAGGGACCTAACTCCTGGTGAACAGCAACCCATTCTTGAGGTTTGATCTTTGAACCACTGCTTCATCCAGATAAATGAACAAAAAATGTGAGCCTCATGTCTCCACCTTGACTACAAGAATTAATGAGAGATTATAAAAACATTCCCCTTGCCTCACAGTCTCATAATCCTTTCCAAAAAGGAAATCAAGCAAATTGGACATGACTTATACTGGCCCATTACCATTCCTTTTAATTTAATGCTATTTTTTCTTATAAACTTAACAAGCTAAAGAGAAAATATTGCAAGCAACAGGGAAAAAAAATCAAATATTGCAGAAAAACAATCAGGATTTCACAAAACCTAGCAACTTCTACACTAAAAAACCATGGGTCTCGGAACGTTATATTTCAAAGAGCAAAGGAACTAGGGTTGCATTCAATTATAACTTATTAGGTGCATAATTCTGAATGAAAAAAAATAGACTTTTGATAAACTAAAAGACTTGCAGGTATTTGTAACAAAAAGACCAGAACTTGATGGAAAATTTGATATAAAATATCCAGAAGAAATATGAGGAAATCTTTAAAGACTATTTGTAAGGCACTGAAAAAAAAAACTTAGCAAACACCAACATTTCAATATACAACAAAGAACAAGAAAGAGAATTATATAAGAAACTGTGAATTATGCCATCCATTTTAAAGAAGTAAATATATATTTACGTATTACAATAAATTAAACACAGTAGATGTATCCTTTCTACACATTTTTTCTTCTGTCCATTTTTAAAAACTGCTTCAATTGTCTTTTTTGTTTCTATATCTATTACTGTTCATTAATCTGCCCCATATCCAAAAAAGAAGTGTTCTGAAATGGTTTCCATTACTCTTTGATAATTAATGGTTTCTATTACTCCTCCCATGGATGAGTACTTGGGGTTATGAGGTATAGGGAAAAAGAAAGAACTTTGTAACAGTATATATGTAACAGTATGTAACAGTTAACAAACTTTGTAACAAGTATGACTAGCCCAGCAAGACAAATCAGTACACTGGTCATGTTTGAGAATGCTTGTCTCCTTCTGCCTCTCTAATTAATTACCTTCCTGTCAAGATGACAAAGAAGGAAAATCATAATTATTTCTAAGTATTCAGAAAGCATGCCCCCCCCCCCATTTTTGGCCACTGCAACTCATGGAGACCATATACTAAGATAGGAAGTGATTATAAACTGCCCTGAAATCACAAATCATTGAGACAGTGAAATATGGATGAAATGAAGTTAAAATGAAGGAGGAAAGTACCAACAATGTAAACTTGAGGGATATGTGTTGGAGAAGGAAGAAGTAGGGCAATTATAATCACTTTTCTTTGATGCAGTAAAAGAAACACTATATTTACAATCAATGATCTGGGTCTGAATTTTCCATGTTCTAATAGTGTGACCTTGGGCCAATCATTCCTCCAATCTTGGAAAGAACTTGGACTAGATAATATCTAAGGTTACTTTCAGCTGTAAATTAATAGGATGCCTCCCTCCTTTTTTAAACCCACTGCTTTATTCCCTCTTTGGGGCTAGTAGATAAGGGAAAGAGGTTTGGAGGAAGGATAAAATCTGTTCCTTTTCCTTTTGGTTATCCATTATTAAGCCCTAAAATCTCCACATCTATGCTGTCAGAGTTCTCTAAGCCCACATATATCCATTCTTTTGTGGCTGTGAGGCCCAGAGATCACTTCTGTTCCCAACTCCAATGTCAAGATTCTTCCTCCTCCTTGTGATGACATATAAGAGCATCCATTGAGGGAATTGGATACTATTTGTGTTGTCCATTAGGGCAGTTTAAAGCTATTAAGGCTTCAAAATGCCCTGAGTCTTTGGAGATATCTTGTATTTAGTTTACTTTAACCTCCAATTCAAAATAATCAACCTTGGGAGGGGCTAACGGAAACATTTCCAGAGTAAACTCTTCTTCTTCTTTCTCCTCCTTCTTCTCCTTCTCCTTCTCCCCCTTTTCCTTCTCCTCCTCCTCCTCCTCCTCCTTCTTCTTCTTCTTCTTTTTCTTCTTCTTCTCCTCCTCCTCCTCCTCTTCCTCCTTCATTGTCTTTGTCTTCATCTTCATCTTCTTTTCATATTAGAAGGAACATTGGACTAGGAATCACAAGTCCTGAACTTCAGTCTTAGTTATGTCATTTACTACCTAGGTGATTTTGAGAAAGGTACTTAACCCCTCTTAGACTCAGTTCTATCATGTATGAAGTGAACATGATAACACCAGTCATAACACACATTCCTACCTTGAGTTGCTGTGATTATCAAACAGGATCAGAAATGTGAAAGCAGTTTTAAAATGGTAAAGTATGATGTAAGTAAGGAGCCATAAATGCTAATTATAATAATAATTTTCCACATCTTATTATAGGTATAAGAAAAGTAATTTGATGTTAAGCTTCCTGGGAAATTTTGATAATCACTGGGACTTCCCTTTATGTTTTCTAGATTGGTTCCTACTTTGGCAGTGTTATAACAACGATTGATGTTGATAAAGACTCCTTCACTGACATCCTTCTGGTTGGTGCTCCTATGTATATGGGAACAGAGAAAGAGGAACAAGGAAAAGTGTATGTGTACACTTTAAATCAGGTAATGACGACACTAATATCTGAGTAATAATCGAGGTTATCTCCTCTTTTCATGCAATGTTAACAAATGAATTTCTCCACTCTACATTATTCATAGAAGAAAGAAGCTGAGGAAAGAAATTTCCAGGGCCCATCAATATTTATTAAAAGAAGAATTTGAACTCTTAGTATGGAGGTACAAACATCAAAATATCTTATGTTTGGTAATTAGTCATTTCTAAAATGAACAGAGTATGTAGGAGGTACAGCATGTCATACATGGCTAGAAGACCAGCTTTGGAGTAAGGACAATTTGGTTTCAAGACCTACCTCTCACACATACCAGCTAGATAGCCATGGGCAAGTCCCTTAAGCTCTTAAGTGTCCCAAAGAACTTCCCTAACTCTTTAAGTTATAGGTGAGTTGCAGAGCCATAGAGGCAGAGAGAGTTTTCACATTGGAATTTCCTCACTAGCCAAGTGCCACCCCTGTCCCTCCAAGAGAGAGACATAGACAGACAGGGAGAAAAGAGAGAGAGACAGAGACCAGAAGAGAGATTGAGAGAGACAACAAGAGAGACAGAGAGAGACAGGTGGATATACAGACAGAGACAGAGAGTGACAGTGATTTTCCCAAGGTCACTTAGCTAGTGTAGCAGAAACAATATTATAACCCAGTTCAATAGACTCCCCATCCAGAAAACTTTGTGGAGCATCATCATAAGATGTGTATTCTGCTCAGAGCTCTAACTTTCATTTGTTGAGTAAATTTTGCTTCGGTTTCTCTACCTGTTGAAAGTTTAAATATTATTTTGAATTATTATTTAAATAGTATTAATTTTGTATATAAGATTATAGTATCACAGATTTAAAGCTGCAAGGGACCTTAGAGAACATCTATATTATAATAATATAATTAAATATTACTAATAGCATGTAATGTTAATAATATTTAATGATGATGAAACTGAGCCTCAGAGAGGTAGTGATTGACTCAAGGTCACACAGTACCCTTCCCCCTTATTTCTACTTATACTAATATTAGTAGAATTGTTGCTAAATATTATATAAAATATAATTTTTAGAATAGATCTGTCATTCCATTGTTGTAGGGAACTTCCAGGGAGGAAACTCCTTCTACCAATGTGTGATCTGCAATTTATGGTCTTAGAGAGTGCCTGGGGGCACTGAGCTGTTAAGTGATTTGCCCAGAATCACACAGCCACTTCATGTCAGAGTCAGCTGTGTGAGAGGTACAGCGTGGCACCATGGATAGAGAATCAGCTTTGCTGGGTCTTGAATCCAGGCCTTTCTAATTCAGAGAGCTATTCTCTACTCACCACAGAACACTGACTGTCCACCCATGCATATAAATGTTATTATTCTATAATTGCATTCTAATTAATGTTATTAAATTTTAGTGTTCCTAAAGGTCTCAGTATCTCCTGATTAAGTGTACAATGCAACTGTTATTTTATATGACTAAATGACCTCCTGTTTCTTTTTCCTATCACCTTCCTTTTTTCCTCTCTTTTATGCTACTTTTAATTTCTTTCCATATATATATATTTTCTTCTACCTCCTACTTCCTATTGATTACTAATTCCCTTCACTCCAGACTCAACATTTGCAATAAAAGTTGTTCTTTGAACAGAGTAATTTTTATCTTGGTTCTACACAAGAGAATCTGTGATCATATTTTTTGAGGACTTTTCTAAGGAGTGTGGGATTCAGTAGAAAAAAGATAGCAGGATGAGCGAAGATGCCTTTAAAACATCAATTTGTTGATTTTATCAAGATGTTATGAGATGTCCACTGACTCAGTCCTACTGATGAAAAGCTAGTGATACATTTTCAGCTGAACTTCTTTCCACAGCCCTGTGATCCACTGTGTGAAATCCTTAACTTGCTCACACAGACTCATTTCACAAACTTTTGCAGTTATTGTGGTCATTACTAGCACAGATTTTGATACGTACTTTAAAAAAGTCTACTTATATACAGTAATGATAGATATCCATAAATATCCTTTTTCCTCTTTCTCGCAGACAAGGTTTGAATACCACTTGAGCCTGGAACCCATTAAGCAAACTTGTTGTTCGTCCCTCAAGCACGATTCTTGCAAGAAGAAAAACAAAAACGAGCCGTGTGGGGCTCGTTTTGGAACAGCTATTGCTTCTGTTAAGGACCTCAACCTTGACGGATTTAATGATGTAGTGATTGGCGCTCCCTTAGAAGATGATCATGGAGGGGCCGTATACATTTACCATGGAAGTGGCAGGACCATAAAAAAAGAATATGCACAAGTAAGAAGTGAAACCTTGGGATGAGACCTGGCTGTTAAGCTTCCTATTTGCACATGTTGAGTTGCTTGCACTGATTTCTTGATTGTGATTCTTTGGTGGAAAAACCAGATTCATGATCTTGCCAATTTGGGTGCTGATGTTGTTGTTTTTTACCAAAAGAAACCACACTGTGATTTTTTCTTTTATCTAAGTCTCATTCCAGTTTGGTTTACTCATGTCTCCATGACCTAGCCTTTTCTAAATAATAACCATAAGAACAAAATAAATGTTCAAATGATGCCATTTAACATCTGTAATGCATTTGGTCTCTCAATTAGGGTTCTGCTTTCTGGAAAAAAACAACAGTAATTAACTGACTTAATAAAGGAAACTAAATTATTATTTAATATGTAATAACCATGCCATTTTAGTAAAATTATGCCAAATTTATAATTATGTATCCTAGAGTCATAATCTTCTTATTAACGTCTATTTGCAAAACCTCATGATTTACCTTTAAGGAATCCTTGTTAAAAAAAAAAAAAAAACAAACGAAAAACAAACGAAAAAACAGAACCTGGCCTTCAGGGGGGATTGATATTAAAAATGTTTTTAAAGTAAAATTTTATAGACAATTAACAACTCATAATCCATAAAACATAAAGTGCCTTCTCTGCCTGAAAAAAAAAAAACCACCACCACAATGGTCTTTTACAGCAGTGTTTACTACACAATAAACACTGGAGACTTTTAAAAGAACATTATAATTTAATGTTTGCTAAGTGCCAGGGCTGTCTGGGTATTGAACAACTACACAGAACATAAATACAATGCAGTTCACTAAACTTACATAACATGAATACAAGACTGACATTGGCTATTCATTTCTCTTTTTTTAAAAATTAACTTTTCTGTAATTTTAATGTCATTGAATTTGCAGAGTGCATTATATTGAGATGTTCATTTTAATTAGGCACTGGACGGTTTCACTTTTTCTAAAGTCCCAATAATATTCTTTGAAATATGACTTTATACATACACAAGTAGAGAATTTGAATAGCAACCTATTCATTTCATTCAGTAAATTAGTGGTCTCTTTTAAGTTCCTAATGGCATTATTTACAAAATAGTGTTTAAGTGGAAACAGACAGAATGTCATAGAATAATGTAATTAAGGAATTTTAGCACATTCAATAAGAATTTCTTTTATATGTTCTGCTACTTTATTACTTCAAAATTAATCCAATAAATCTAAAAGAGATGCATTTGAGAAGCCAACACATATTGTTCTACAATAGAAAGGAATCTCCAAATATCAACAGTGTTGGCAGGGATGGGGCATTGTTCAATTATTTCACTTCTGTCCAAATCTTTGTGACCCCATTTGGAGTCTTAGCAAAGACACTGGAGTGGTCTGCCATTTCCTTCTCCAGCTCATTTTTACAGATGAGGAAACTGAGGCAGACAGAGTTAAGTGACTTGCCCAGGGTCATACAGCTAGTAAGTGTCTGAGGCCAGATTTAAACTCAGGTTGTCCTGACTCCAGGCCCAGTGCTGTACCTATTATGCCACCTAGCTGCTTCACATGAGGCAAATAAGTTGTTAATTTTGCAACGCAGAGTTTACAACTTAAACTCAAATTTCATTTGAGTCAGAGTAATGATCAACATTATTTCCACCTACCATGAATGTTTGTGTTACATTCTGGGTAGATGTTGTTAATGAACCATATTTAGATTAGTTTGGCATGCAGTGTCCAATTCTGTGCTCAATTTTTTAAAAAAAGATATTGACAAACCAGAGACTGTTCAGAGGAAGTTAATCAGGATTGTGTGGATACTCAACATCAAGATGAATAATGAAAAATGTAGAAATTTATTAGTAGGTATTGTAGGAATAGAAGAGATGCCCTATACCATATAATACTCACTGAAGGAAGTGATAAAGTTTAGTCTATAGAAGAGAGGACTTAGGGAGACAGGATAGCTGTCTTCATGTATTTGAAGTCTGTCATGTGGAAGAGATATTAAACCACTGGGGCTCTTCTCCAGAGGATAGAAACAGAATTATGCTCTATGTAAGGACAATTCTGCTAACAATTAGAACTTGCAAAAAAAAAGAGAATAGATTGACCCAGGAGTTACAGGGTTCCCCCTCATTCGATTTCTTTACGGGAAGACTGGCTCACTTGTTAGAGACATTATGGCAGGGATTGGTAGTCAGGTATGGCTTTGATTGCCAACCACTACAGCTTTTCTGATCTCTGAAATCTCTATCAATTTTTTGATTCCATGATTCTGATACTGTCAAATAATTGGATATGGGATAAAAAGATCTAGATTAAAATCCTAGTTTTACTGCTCATCGCCTACAGAATCTTAGGCAAGTCACTGCCCCTTTCTGGGGTTCATAGACTGTTCATAGCATCATAGAACTAGAGCTTTATGGGACCTCAGAGTTTACCTACTCTAACCCCTTTATTTTTTAGATAAGAAATCTGAGGACCAGAGAAGTTAAGTGACTTTCCCAAGGACACATAGGTAGGAAATAGCAGAATGGGTCCTCTGACTCCAAAACTAGTAGTTTCCTCATCTGCAAAATGAGGGAATAGGACCACATGATCACCACTGTCCCCCCTAGCACTTACTAGCTGTGTGACCCTAGGCAAATAACTTAACTTCCGTTTGTCTCAGTTTTCTCATCTGTAAAATGGGGGAACTGATGATGTGTACACTTTAAATCAGGTAATGACGACACTAATATCTGAGTAATAATCGAGGTTATCTCCTATTTTCATGGCTGTTATGAGGATAAAATGAGATAATAATTGTAAAGCACTTAGCACAATGCCTGGCACCTAGTAAGTGCTATATCATCATTATCAAAATCATCATTATTAGCTACATAGATTTGAGAGGACCTAAAACAAACTGTATCTATTTTGTTTCTGTTCAAATGTCAATAACCACCTCTTCAACATCCATGAGGCAAAAAAAATCATTAATTTTGCTGACAAAAAAAAGCACAATTCAAAAAACCACAAATTCTAAGTCAAAGGAAAATAACCTCTCTGTTTCTGATTTGCTTTTTTTGTCTCTTTACTTGCTTGACTTGCCTCATTCACCCTGTGTAGCTGAGGATTCCATAAGTTTAGAGAAGGCTCCTAACCTTTTGGTCCCATTCTCTTATATTTGTCATCAAACAATACGATAGAAAGCCAATGTACCAAATGCCCTGCAGCTCATAATTGTTAGCTTGGTGTCCCAGTGTCTAGCAAGCATTTGTGACTGCTGAAGGCAGTGGCCACATCTCAATACTGATTTGTTGTGCTTGTACCCACTTAAAAAAAGATTCTGTTTCCAGAGCAGAAAAGGAAATGATCTATATGAAAATGCCCATGATTAGAGGTAAAATGCCTTAGATCCCTCGTGACTGCCCAAGCCCTCATTTGGCCTCCCTGGATAACTTCCTACTATTTCACCTGCTCTGAAATACTCCTTCAAAGTGCTCAGGACTTGTCAGTGTCTCTGTAGAATGAGACTAGACAGACAGAGGAAATAGAGTCAATCAATGGGAATGCTTTTCATGAGGTTCAGCCAGGGTAAAATGAGAGCATTTTTTCCTCTCTGGCGTCAGTAGCTCTGAAATGATTTTGTCTAGAATTATAAAAAGCAAATGTCCTTTAGTAATAACAGAGTGTTTCCTCTTGTCCCCACACAAGGGTCTATTTGGGCACAGTTCCACAGAAAACTTTTCTTTCTCCCTTTCTCTTTCTTTCTTCCTTTTCTTCCTTCCTTCCTTCCTTTCTTCCTTTCTTTCTTCCTTCCTTTTTTTCTTCCTATCTTTCTTTCTTCTTTCCTTCCTTCCTTCATTCTTTGTTTTTCTCATTTATTTTCCTTCCTTCCTTCCTCTATTTATTTGTTAGTTCATTCACTTGTAAATCGGCTAAAGTGTGTAATTTAGATTCATATTGAAAGTGCTTCTAGCATCCAGTTCTCCCATGGATAATACTATCTGGGGATTCTCACAGCGTATTCCATCAGGTGGAGACGGAGAGACACTGAAATTTTTTGGCCAGTCTATACATGGAGAAATGGATTTAAATGGAGATGGACTGACTGATGTGACCATCGGAGGCCTTGGTGGTGCTGCCCTCTTCTGGTGTGTATTTTAACAGCACCTAGTTGAATTTGTTTCTTTTTAAGTTCTTAACCTTAAGTACAAATGTTTTGATTTTCTCTTGATAATAGCTTGGGAACAAAGAGAATTGTTGATACATCAGCTTGCTAAATGTCGCATTCTCTTATATACCCAATTATGTAATACATGCCTATATATGAGTAAGCAGGAAGAGTCAATAAACCTGATGAATGAAGGGGAAAATGTAAAAATGAAGCAACTATAGAACTTTTTTTTTTTTGGTTCTGAATAGTTGCCTACGATTAGGGCCAACCTTGTTTGGATGGACACATTATTATGGGGCAAAATATAAATATTTGTATGTGCATATATATGTGTATGTGCCAGTATGTGTTTAAAAGAAGGAAACTATTTAGAGAAAAAATAGAATTAATTGATAATTAGGTATCCATCATGTACCTGGCATTGTCCTAGCACCACAAGGGGTTATAAGAACAGTTGGCACCTGCCCTCAAGTAGCTTATAATACAATCATACAATATTATTCTTCTTTAATTTGCTCTCAAAGAGAGCAGAGGCCTTTCCCTATCCCCCTCCAGCTAGTCCTCACTGGTTTTTAATATTTTGTGTTCCTTTGCATATATTTTGTATCTTGTGCGTCTATTTTATCACTCCCATATGATATAATACTCTTAAGGGTAGAAGCTGTTTGGGGATGCTTAGTAGCAATGTACCTATGGGAAATCACCTTAATCTCTCTAAGTCTCTGTTTCCTCAACTAAACAAAGAGGTTAAACCTCTAGTGTCTCTTCTAGCTCTAAATCTATGACCTCATGGTTTTTGTCTTTATAGTTCCCAGAACCTACAAGCATAATGCCATACACATGTGGGACTTGAACCCAGGTCTTCTTAAAACCAATTCTTGTGTGTGTGTGTGTGTGTGTGTGTATGTGAGCAGATATAGAACTATAGAGATAGATATATCTATCTATATTATACATATGTATATCTATATATAGCTCTCTGTCTCTGGGAAGGTAAAAAGGGTTGAGTTCATAGCTTAGCTTGGTTCCTATAGGGCACAGTTCTATTTCCAAGTCCAAACTTTCCCCTTACCCCAGCTTGAGTCCGAGGCACCCTGGCTTCTTTGGGCTTCCATGCCAGGATGACTGGCTATAAACTCTTGCCTGCAATCCTGGCTCCAAGGTCTCCATGGCTTGAACTCCCAGGTTTCTGGGGATTAGCTCTGAAACTGAGGAAGTTGAGTAACACAAAACAGAAACAAACACCCTCAGACCCAATTCTTGGAGCTGGAGTAAAAAGAAAGGCAAATCCTTTCCCTCTTACCAGTTCAGTTCCTGGCATCCATGCTGGGTGCAACAGATAGGAGTCCCAGAAAAGAATACAACCAGAAGAGGTGGTGGGAAAGAGTGTAGCCAAAAAGAGAGCAAAGAGATTAGTTTCACCAGTTTTAAAGATGCAAGTAGCCAATAAAAAAAGGCTACCCCCAACTGTGTGGTAGGGGGACACAGTAAGCTCCATGTCAGGCAAACTAGGAATGTTCAAAAGACTCCTCAAGGATGTCTCCATGTTAGAAGTGGGCATGCCAAGAGAAGTTTGTGTGTGTGTGTGTGTGTGTGTGTGTGTGTGTGTGTGTGTGTGAGTATGAGAGAGAGAGAAACAGACACAGAGACAGACAGAGACAGAGAGACAGAGATAGAGAGGGAAAGAGAGAATAGGATAACAGAGAGATTGCTATATATAGATAAAGCTATAGCTATAGGATAGAGATAGTTATATACAGATATAGCTATCCTAACCATCCATCCATCCATCCATCTGTCTTATCTATCTATCTATTTATCTATATATCTATCTATCTATCATTAATATACAATTTGGCTTCCACACCTATTACTATACCAAAAAATTATTGTCAATGGTCACAAGAAACTCCTGATCACCAAATCCAAGGATCTTTCTTTCAGTCCTAACCCTCTTGACCTCTATGAAGATTTGGAAATGATAAGCTCTTTCCTTATAGATATTCTTTCAGTCCTTGGCTTCAGGAACATCATAGCTCTTGATTTTCCTCCTAACTCTAGCTATTCCTTCTGCCTCTCCTTCACTGGCTCCTCATCTTCTTGAGAGTTTCTCAAGGTTCTATCATTGGTGCTCCTCTTTCTACACTCAGTAATCTCAATAGTTTCAACCATTATATTTACATAGATGACTCTGGTCTATATCTCTGCTTTTCACCCAAGCTCCAGATTTTCAAACCACCTTCTCCATACCTCCTTAACTGAGTACTTCACTTCCTATGAACCTTACTACAAAAATAGTGTCCATTGGCAGTGGTCATCTTCTCCCTTTCTGCTCTCATAACCCTTTGCCACAACCCCTTCATCATTCTTCTATTACACCTGTCTCTAATGAAAAAGTGGCCTTTCTCCTTGTCCACCTTAATACTACCCAATCCCTTCTTCTCGAATAGACTGATCCACAAGTATCCTCTATTCCTCTAATCTTCATTTTCTCCCTATCTACTGCTGCCCACAGACAGACTCAGATTTTCTCCAGCCTTAAAAAGTACTGTATCTCCTCTTTCTTTCTCAGGCAAACTCAAAGAAAAACAAACCAAAAAAACAAAAACAAAAAACAAAAAACAAAAAAAAAAACAAACCAACTACCTACATTTGGTACTTTCACATCCTATCCATTAATTTACTTCTTATTCCCTTGCAGTTAGGCTTCCAAACTTATGTCTCAAGCAAAAATGTTCTTTCTAAAGCTATCAATAATCTCTTAATTGCCACATCTGATGGCTTTTCCCAATCCCCATCCTTCTTGACCTCTCCACAGCTTTTCACACTGTTGGACACTATCTCCTCCTAGATAGTTTCTCCTTTCTGAGTTTTTGTGACACAGTTTTCCCTTGATTCTTCTCCTGTTTGACCTCTTCTTAGTCCCCCATGTCAGATCTTAAGCAAGCCTTGTTGTCCCTTAACTATAGGTTTTCCCAAGGCCTCTGTCCTGGGCTCTTTTCTCTCTCTGCACTCTCTCATTTGGTGATCACATCAGTTCCCATGAATTTAATAATCATCTACACGTAATGACTTCTAAATATATATATAAATGTATATTCAATTCTCGTCTCTCTCCTAAGCTCCAATCTCACAGCACCAATTACCTATTAATCATTCCCAGATTTATGTCCTGAAGGCATCTCAACATTGAACACATCCAAAAACAAACTTATTTACTTTTCCAAAAAAAAAAAACCTACTCCTTTTGAAAACGTCCTCATTTCTGTGGAAAACACCACCAAAATTCTACAAACTTCCCCATTTCCTTTGAAGGTGTCATTACCCTCCTGGTCACCCAGGCTCACAACCACAATGTAATCCTTAACTCCTCACTCTCATTGACCCAACATAACCAATCACTTGCCAAATTATATTGCTATAGTATCTCAACCATAAGTCCCCTCTCCACTCCCACAGCCCCTACCTAAAATAAGGTCCTTATCACCTCTTGCCTGGACTAGTGCTACAATCTCTGGTTTGGTCTGCTTACCTCAAGTCTCTCACCAATCCAGTCCATCCTACACACAGCTGATGCAGCAGGTCTGACTGTGCCACTCAATTAACTTGCATGGTTCCCTATTACCTTTTGGAACAAATATAAATTCTGTCTGGTCTTTAATGCTTTTTACAACCTGGCCTCAAAATACCTTTTTTAAGCTTGTTCCACATCACTGTCCTTCATGCATTCCACAGTGCTGGCAAACTGGCTTTGTGGCTATTCATTTCACTGGACATGTCATCTCTCACCCAGCTCCATGCCTTTGCACTAGCTGTACCCCACACCTAGAAGGCACTCCCTCCCTACCCCCACCCCCCCACCCATCCCCTCTTAGAAGCCTTAGTCTTCTTCAAGATTCAGCTTACGTACTTCCTTCTACACAAAGGTTTGCCTAATCCCCATATCTGCTAATGCCTCCCAAAAAAGATTACTGTGTATGTGGGTAATATAAATGCACACGAGCACACAAACGTCCATGTTGTTCCCCCTAATAGAACATAAGCTTCTTGAGTTCCAGATTTCCTTGTCTCTGTATTCTCAGAGCCTAAAACATAGTATACAGTGGGTGCTTAATTAATGCGTGTTCACTCATAGATCTATTGCCTTTTCACTTGCCTGCAGGCCATGTCCATCGGAATGTTACGTTAATACCTCCAGCTTACCACCCTCCAAATCAAGTTTATTTTTCTCCAAGAATACCTCTACTTTATAATCACTATTTTTGTCAGCAGTACCACTAATTCACTTAATATCCCATGCTCTAAAAACCATGGTATTAGATCTTTGATTCTTCTTTCTCCCTAACTCTCATATATATAATCAGTTCCTAAGCCCTGTTGATTTTTCCTCTATAATATCTCCCACATCCATTCCTTCCTTTCTGTTCCCACACTCACCATGTGGCATAGGCCTTCACTGCAGATACTCTATACACATGGACTATTCAGTAGCCTAGTAACAAATCTTCCTCCTTCATTTTCTCCATCACTCAAACCATTCTTCATGTAGCATTAAGACTTATTGATTATCTTCAGATCTGGTTACGTCACTTTGCTTAAAAATTTCAAAACCATTGATTTAGATCTGGAAGAAACCTTAGAACTCATCTCTTCTAAACCACTCCCACTTTATTTTACAGATGAGGAAAATGTGGCCCATAGAGGTTAAGTGACTTGCCCAAAGTCAGACAGTATGATTCAGAGCTGGGTTTTGAGTCAAGGTCTTCCATCTCCAAATCTACCATCTTTTTCATTGTAGCCCCAAAAGCTCCACACTCACTCATGACCCTTTCTTTCTGGACCTATCTCACAATATTTCTCTCTATGTACTCTATGCTCTAGCTGGGTATGATTACCATGGATGCCTTATATTTGACCACTTCCTTGCCTTTGCAAGTTGTTCTTTAATGTGCCTTTGCACACTGTTCTGTATAGCTAGAATGTTTACCATGACCTCTAGAATTACATTCCATAAATTTAGAGCCAGAAAAAACCTCAGAAGCCACCTAGCCCACCCCCCAATTGTGCAGATGAGGAAACTATGGACCAGAGAAATTTAATGACCTATATCTAATGTCACAGATAGCCAATAGCAAAGCAAGGCTTAGAACTCAGGTTCTGTCACTCCAAATCCAACTCTCTTTTCCAGCTGTCCCATGCTGACTCTCAATTTCCTACTTATTGAATTCTTCATCCTTTAAGGTCCAAGTAAGATGCCACCTACTCTGGGAAGCTTAATCTTATTGATTGGTAGTGAGCTTTCCCACCTTGGACATCACATGGCACTTTGTACTTTTCTTATGCACTTATTTTGTATGATAATATTTGTATATGTATTATATTCCCCCCCTGAGCCACATGAGGGCTGAAACCAAGTCTTCTTTAAAATTTGTTTCTTAGTCAGAACCTAGTACAATGTTGAACACGCAACAAACACTTGTTGAGTTGAATTAAATTTCTTTAAAATCAAATGTCTATTGGTTTTTATGCTTATAGGTCTCGAGATGTAGCTGAAGTTAAAGTTATCATGACTTTTGCACCCAATAAAGTAAACATTCAAAAGAAAAACTGCAAAATGGAGGGGAAGGAAACTGTATGCATAAATGCTACCATGTGTTTTAATGTCAAACTGAAGTCAAAAGAAGACACAATTTATGAAGCTGGTAAGTTTACTCTACAAAGAACATTTAGGTTATAGCTCAATGCCTTTGTTCATACAAAGTAGTATCCAGTAGGATTTTGCTGCACTCCACTACCTGCCCCTGGTATGGAACCTACCTGTGCAGTGGAAGTTTGGTAGAAGAATCTGATTATGTCATGAGGGGAGCCAAAAATAAACAAGCAGAGTCCATCACTTTACTTGATAGAAAATGGAAAAGGAACCAGAAAATAATTGACATCAAATATATGTGTGGTGATAACATTCCTCTACTCATAAATCTACCAGTGGTTCCTTATGACCTTCTAAATAAAGTCCAAACTTCTTTGCCTGACATTCAAGGCCCTCTTCAACCCGGAACAACCTTTCCAATCTTATAGTACTCCCCAGCTATGCATACAGATGTAATGTGATGTAGTGTCTGGAATGCTTGAAGTGGAGTCCTTCCTCTGATACTTGTAAGCTGCATAACTCATGGAAGAATCATAACCTTTTTTGCACTCAGCCTCCTCTTCTGTAAAATGGGAGTAATAGCTGTACCTATCTCTTAAGGTTACAATGCAGTTCAGATAAAATGATTCAAAAGAGGTACTTTGCAAACTCTTGTTAGTTGTTATTATGCATTCTAATGTTCTAGGACATGGGCAACTAGGTGGCACAATGGTTAGAGTGCTGGTCCTGGAGTCAGGAAGGCCTGAGTTCAAATGTGGCCTCAGATATTTACTAGTTATTTGACCCTAGGCAAATCACTTATCCCTGTTTGCCTCAGTTTCCTCATCTGTAAAATAAGCTGGAGAAGGAAATGGCAAACTACTCCTGAATCTTTGCCAAAACACAACTAAAATGACCGGACAGCAATCAATGCTCCAGGCAAACTGGATTTTTCTCTGTCCTTCAAACATATTATCTTATTTTCTGCATGTATTTATCTACACCATTCTTTATGCCTGAAATGTTCTCCAATCCTTTTACCTCATAAATTCCTATGTATCTTTTAATGTTTAACTAAAGCACTATCCCTTCCAGATTAATAAGAATAAGTAACATTTATATAGCACCTAGTATGTACTAGGTACTATGCCAAGATCTTTAAAATGTTTGTCTCATTTGATCCCCAGAGCAATCCTGGGAGGTAGGTGCTATTATTTTTCCCATTTTACAGATGAGGGAACTGAGACAGACAATAGTTCAGAGAATAGCCCAGGTTCATAAGGCTAATAAGTATCTAAGGCTAGATTTGAACTGAGGTCTTCCAGACTTCACATCCAACACTCTATCCACTGTGCCATCTAGCTGCCCCAAATTGACTTTCTCCATGAAGCATCATCTGCTTCTTATTCAGTAATGACCTTTCCCCATAGATCACATGCAGTAATTTGTTAAACATGCATTTAATGCCCTTACTATAAAATAATCATGTTTTATAGTTACCTCCATTTATATCTTGTCCCTACACACAGCAGACATTTAATAGATGTTTACAAAATTTTGAAGTTGAAGTTCAGTAAACCAAGACTCCATGGTTCTCTGGACCCTCCATTTATGATGAGGAGCTCAGGGGACAATTCTGCTGTCAGAAGTGGGAAACCTGAGAAGACAAGCATAAAGAGATTTTGAATATAAATGAACACAGTTCTTTTTAGGTTTATCCAGAAAAGGGACTTTTTTATTTCTATCTCCCCAGCAAATGGGCAAAACACAGGGCTATTCTGTTTTGCTTCTCCCAGCACCCCTCTAATCAAACATCTCCAATGGGATGAGTAGTCCAGGATAAAGAAGGTCAGATAAGTAGTTTTTTCATAAATGCTGTAAAATGTGTAAATCTGTTCATGTCCCTGATACTTTTTAATGCTACCTTTAAAGCACCATAGAGATATATGCTAGCAATATATTGGAGTTAACAGTCATTCAGTACAGAGGAGGCAGAAGGGCAATGTTTTCTTTAAGTCAAATAGAAGCTAAAAGAATAATGCTCACTGTCTTAAAATTTCCTTTTCTGTGTTTCTATAACACAACCCCAATAACATCCTTCCCTGATGTTTCATCATCATGTCAAGATAACCCTGAGCTCCTAAGGGTTATACCAACGGAGCACAGACCCTAGCAGGTCCTATTAAGATGGAAAGGTTTTGAGTGCAGGCCCCAAACAATATTGTATGTCTACCAACTGTAGATGTGGCTAACTTCATTTGGAGAAATTCATTACCAGAGGATTGGCTATCAGGTGATTAATTTGAGGGCACAGGAACTCATTAAGGAGTTGGAATTTACATTTGTGGAGGGTTTATTCACAAAGATAAAATCATAGATCTTTTGAAGAATTGAAGTCTCCAACATATATGCTGTATATGCTTTTCAAATGTTCTATGAACACAGCTATTTTTTGCTTAACTCATTTTTGTTATGTTATGAGAGAGTATAAGGGTGGAGGATGAGGTAGAGAAAAGTAGACAGATGAATATATCACAAAATAATTGGCTTAGAACAAGAAAAATAAAGGTATCAATCTCACCTTTTAAAAAGTTTTTAATGTTCCATAAAGAAAGTGAGGCAGCTAGATAGCACGGTGGAGAGCAAGCCAGGGTCCAAGTCAAGAGGGTCTGAGTTGAAATTTGACCTAAGACACTTACTATGTGACCCTGGCAAGACACTTAACTTCTTTCTGTCTCAATTTCTTTATCTATAAAATAAGGATAATCATAGCATCTACCTCCCAGGGTTTCTTTAAGAATCAAATGAGACAATAATTTTAAAGCATTTAGCACAGTGTCTCGTACATAGTAAGTACTACATAAATGTTAGCTATCATTATTATAATCATTAAGTTTTAATAATTATTTATGTCTTGTGGAATCCATAGCTTTACCAAATAAATGTGCAAAGATGAAACAGTATAATTTATATAGTATATAAATGCAGTTTAATTACTTTAAGTTTAAATAAACTATAAATTACTTTTTTAAAGTAATTTAATTTTAATTAATTAATAAACATTTTAATTTAATTACATAGAATCAATTATTCTCTGCTCCCTATGCTCATATACATATTTGCATTTTGATAAGCTTGGTGATACTTCAACTTTACAGTATAATAGAGGCTCAATAAATGTTTGTTGATGATGAGTGCAATCTAAAAAAAGGCCTTTTTATAACCCAGCTAAAGTCTTAATACCAATGTGTGTTCTTGGCTATTTTGTGTTCCCACACTTAGCACAAAGGCTTGCATATAACAGGCACTTATTAAATATTTGTAGGATTGATTATAATGTAGACCCGTATGCCAAGCAATGGCCTAATATGTCTAATTTATTGCAATGGAAAAGATTATAGTCAGCAAACTGTAATCTGATGTGGCCTGGGAATGAACTGAGAGTACCAGTCCTTAATTATTTGTTTTGTAGAACATTACCATGTATGTACCATACAAGGCTTAAGGATTTGGATTCAATAAAATATACAACTTTAAAACCATTTGGGCCTTAACTTAATCTTCCTTTGATCATTTACAAGCTCTCTCAGTTTGGATTAATTGCAATAACTAGTCTGGGTCCCAGAAAACACATAAAATGTGTCTCACTTTTCTCAGCAGTAAGACAGGTGACCAACAGACAGGGACATGGTGTTGCGTGCATCATCAGAATCAATCACTTTATCCAGTGTTTTTGTTTAACTGTTTTTCTTTGTTACAAGGAAAGATTTCATTCCAGTTGGGGTCAGGGAAAGGAAGAACAATATGTCCAGAAATGACCGTGATGTACAAGCAAAAAGTATCAATAAAACAGCCAGTTCAGGACCTCAAGGTGTTTCAGGGTCATCCTCATGAACATTCATTATCTCGAGTTCATATATTTCTGGGAATTCCAGTCAATGGAAATCTCTGATTATTTGAATAATGAATAACTGTGTCTTACTGTAATTCTCAATTGCATTACTGGGCCATGAAAATAATTATGGATAAATATTTTTTTATTTTTATAGATTTTTAATTTATTTTATTTTTTAATAGATCTGCAATACCGAGTTACATTAGACTCAGTAAGACAGATATCACGAAGTTTCTTCTCTGGAACGCAAGAAAGAAAGATTCAAAAAAACATCACAGTCCGTGGATCAGAATGTACTAAGCATTACTTCTACATGTTGGCAAGTAAATCATATATTACAGCTGCCTTATTATAAAGCTTAATTAAAATAGACATTTTTTCAGTCCTCCTTTCTTTGTCAAGAAATCAAGCTGGGGGGGTAGGTTCTTTCACTGTCAACTTCTATCTGCATTATTATATATGTCACTATATTCTTGTTTCCAAAAATAATTCTGGATTCATTTTAGGCCCAGATTCATATATTTGAGTTTTTCCTTAATGAATTGCCTATCTAGTTTTGTTTTTTGGTTTTTTTGCTCCTACCCAGATAACTGAAAATTTCTGAAGTTAATTTAAATCTGTATTCAATGGCTCACTATTCAAGCAGACCCATACTAGGAATGGCATTGAAGCCAAATGGTAAAGCAATAAACATCACCCACATTCCTAGTTGGAATAGTCTTGTTCTCTTCCCTCTTCTCCACCCATAGAAATCTGGGTCTCACAAAATTCTCCAAAAGCTCATGACTTTGATAAGCAAGGTCTCTGCCGGTAGAGCAAGAAGTTGGGAAGATCAGAGATCCCAGACAGTTTCAGCATCTCTCCACAACCAGGAGGTCTCCTCTCTTTATTCCAGGAAGCCTCAAGTATATTCCTGAACTCTTGAATTCCTTCCTAGATGCTTCCATAGCTCTCCAAGACACCTCCTCCTTTCCAGAAGTCCTTTTTTTGCCTCTCAAACAACAGCTATGCCATGGACAGGCACATGAGAAATTATATTCTTGCTGGCCTTCAATGAATGTTTATACATTGGGTTCAGGCATCTTAGCTAATGTAGCCTTTTCCCTATCAAATGCATCTGTTAAAATATATTAGGTATCAAAATATATTAGGTATAAAATATATTAGGCATTAGGTATCTACCTATTATAATAAACTATTATGGAAAAAGTGATAAGAATTTGGGAGACCTTAATTATAGTTTCCCGTCTGCCACTTACTAGTAGAGTTAACTTGGCAAAGTCACTTAGATCCTTTGAGTAATTTAACTTCTGTCTGCTTCAGTATCTTCAACTGCAAACTGTGCATACTAATAGCAACCATCTCCCAGGATTATGGTGAGGATCAAATGAGATAATATTTTTAAAGCTCCTAGTACAGTGCCTGGCCCATAGAAGGCACTAAATAAATACTTGTTTCCTTTTCTTCTTTCCTCTCCTATTTTTTTTCAAACAGAAATGAAATTAGCTCTGAAGATTTCTTGAATTTTCTTCCAACTCTAAGATCTATAATTATGATATATTGTTTATATTTACTGTTTCTCTGTACATAGACCGAAACCATGAAAGTTATGCTATACCTTGATCACCAGTTTTGTAAAATTGTAACTAAGACTGGACTTTATACTGTTTCACGTCACTTTTCCAGTAACATAAGCAAATTATTTTCCCCCTTGGGGTGAGTTATAACCAATTTGAAGATGTTGGAGTTTGCCATTCTATTTCCTAATCATTTTCTTGCCCTTTCAGTGTGGCAATGGTACATTTAAAAAGTCTCATGACACATTTGTAAATCAATATTTCGTGGTTACATTGAAGGATTAGATTGATTTATTATAGCCAAAATTTTATTTTCTTAAGTTCATGAATATACTACACCACAAAATGATTTCCTTAAAATCATTCCTAAAATTGAAAAACACTAAAAACAATCATAAAATGATTGTAGAGGTACAGATTTAGAATACAGACATTTAATGCAACAAACTATTTTTCCTCTAGCTTATTTTTATGTTTCTGATGTATTCAAGTTTCACTTTTTAAGAATTTCTCAGTAAGACAGTTATTAAAAAAAATGATTCTACTGTTCACAGAAAAAGATCATAGATCTAGGACTGGAAGAGACTTTAAATACTATCTAATCTCTCTCCCCCAACCAAGGGGGAAAACTGAGGTTCAGGGAAGTTCAATGCCTTGACCAAGATCACGCAATAGGAAGTATCAGAGGTGCAATTTAATTATTCTTTCACATGCCTTTGGTATCAGTTTTTCAGTGGTCCAGTCATTTTTCAGTCATATTTGACTCTTTGAGACTCCATTTGGGATTTTCTTGGCAAAGATATTGGAGTGGTTTGCCATTTCCTTCTCCAGCTCATTTTACAGATGAGGAACTAAGATAAACAGGGTTAAATGACTTGCCCAGGGTCACACAACTAGTAAGAATCTGAGGCTAGATTTGAACTCAGGTCTCCCTAACTCCAGGTTCAGTGCTCTATCCAGTGTGCCACCTAGCTGCCCTACACAGGGCATAAATGTTGTTATTTTGCAACTCAGTGTTTACAGATGAGGAAAGTGAAGCAAACAGTGACTTATTCAGGGTCACAGTTACTAAGTGTCTGAGGCCAGATTAGAACTCATGAAGATGAGTCTTCCTGATTCCAAACCCAGTGCTCTATACACTGTGTCACCCAGCTGCCCAGATATCACTTTTACTTATACATAAAAGTAACACTATTCCATCAATATTCTATTGATAACTCATATTTCTAGTATGTTAAAGCTTATAAAGTGTTTTTCTCATGACACTCCTGTGATGCAAGTGTCTACATTTTGCCATTGAGCAAACAGAGGCAAATGGACTTGCCCAAGCCTACACAGTGAATGTAGGAGGCAAGATCTGAACTCTGGTCTTTGGACTCTAAGGCCAGAGCTCTTTCCACTGTACCACTGCGAAGATCATTCTATTAGGAGCAGAGTTGGGAGATGGGGAGTAAAACTAGAGAGTGTCCTCCTTTTCAGTTCATCAGAACTCGAAACTTGAGAGCCAGAATTTAGCTCAGAGGGGAGGTGTGTGCTGCCGCACAAAGGGCAGAGGTTCAGGAGTCAGGCACCATTTTTCTTACTGCATCACCTTGGCCAATTCAAGGGATTTGCTCTCTGGTCCTCAGTTTTCTCATCTGTAAAATTAAGGGTTTAGACTTGACGTTCTCCCAAGTCCCCTCCAGCTCTAAATCTATGCAGCTTCTGTCAGCTTTTGGCAGCAAGGTTTGACCTTATCCATAAATTCAGTATCTTCACTGTGTCTAAAGAATGGGAACTGAGTGACCCAGAGAAAGTTGTTTAACCTCTCTGGGTTTTGGTTTCTTCGTCTACAAAAGGAGAAGATGGACTGGTTGACCTCTCAAGTCCTTCCCAGATTTAAATCTGCAGTCCTATCATCTAACTTTTTTAAAAAATTCTTTTTAGACCACAATTACCATTTTCATCATGCACCAGAAGTTAACCTTTCATCGCACAGAATCAGCCCTTCCTTGTATACTTAGGTATGATATTATATTAATGAATGGCCAGCTCAACCTAAACTTTAAGAGATCTACCTGTCTGAAATTGAAAAGATTTTCTAAAATTATTATTCCTATATTTTTAGTTTAATGAAACTTTAAGGTCAAAAATAGCTCCATTCTTCTTGCTTCAGTTATTATGTTGTTACATTATGCCTAGTACCACAAAGTGGGTAAGCTGAGAGTGGTCTGGAATCAATCCAGTTCTAGCTGAGTTATCAAATATCCCATGAGTTTAGTTGTATCTTCTGTCCTTTTTATGCCCCATTTCTTTCCCTCTATTCACCTCCCCCCACCTCCCTCACCTCCAAAGGTATAAGGCAAGAAGGAAGGGCAAATGTTAAAGCATCTGCCTTGGGAAAATGATATAAGCATCCACAAGTAATATATTTCTTGCTTTCTCTTCTAGGACAAACATGACTTTCGGGATTCGGTGAAGGTATCATTGGATTTTAATCTTTCAGATCCAGAAAATGGGCCTGTTCTTGATGATGATCTGCCTAACTCAGTACATGAATATGTAAGTCAAAAAAAATTTTTAACAACTTGGGATATCTAGTTATTGATAAGATATTAGGAACTAGAGTTGGTATATAAATGGGTTGCTGAAGAAAAAGAGATCCTGAATTTCCTGATAACAAAAATTTGCTCCTCTATGCTTTCCCCACTTTCAACTCCACTTTCTTAGCTTTTCTGCTAATTGCTTTACATTCCTAGATTGTTCAGAGTACAGAGTACTTCTACAGGCAAAGTAACACCCTCTGGAGGAATGATTCACATGACGAGTAAATTTTCTCTCCACACCACAAAAATAAATTAAAAAAGTGATTCATTGTGTAGATTACAGTAAACAAAGAGGCAGCCAATGGTATGGTGGGGCCAGGTTGTAAAGCCCTTTAAGTGATGAACAGAGGAGTTTATAGTTGAACCTAGAGGTAATAGTGAGCCACTTGAGCAAATATTTGTTATTAACCTGTAACCCTAGAGATTTCATGGGGTCGAAGAAATTATATGGAAAAAAATTACATCTTTTATTTTTACTATACTCTAACTGAAATTTAGTATTTCCTCCCATTATGATTTTAAAAAAAAAATATCCTGAGCATGGGTCCATAATATTCACCAGACTATCAAAGGGGTCCAAAACATACACACACACACATGCACACACACACACACACGCACACACACACTCACACACTCACAGTCAGATTAAGAAGCCCTGTCCTGGAGTTTTTTGAGCCCTGGGAGTAGTGTGGGGGTCAGAGGGTGAGGGTGCGGAGAGAATAACACACCTGTGCTTTAGGAAAACTGCTTTGGTTGCTGAATGGAAGACGGACTGGAGTGCAAAGAGATTTGAAACAGGGAAATCCAATAAGGGACCTCTGCAGTAGCTTGGGCCACTGGTGATGAGGGCTAGAACTAGGGTGGTAGCTTCTGAGAGTGAAGAAAAGGAAATTTATATAAAGATAGATACAATAAGATTTGGGAACTGATTGGATATATGGGGCGAGTGAGAATTAAAGGTAAGATGATAACAAAATTGAGAACTTAGGTATCTGGAAGGATGGTGGTACCCTTGATGATAAAAATGAATATTCTTTTGGAAATGTTGAGCTTGAGATGCCTACTAGACATCCAGTTCAAAATGTCTAATTAGCAGTTGGTGATGTGATACTGGAACTCAATAAAGAGACTAACACTAAAAATAGAGTTCTGGAAGTCATCTACATATAGAAATAATAACTGAACCCAAGGAAGATGATGAGGCTACTGTGTGAGATAATATAGAGAGAAAAGATAAGAGGACCACTGACAGAGCTGTAGGGGACACCTATAGTTAGGTGGTATGATATAAATGGAAATCCAGCAAGAAAGACTGAAAAAGAATAATCAGATTCGTAGGGGGAGAAGCAAGAAAGAATAGCATGACAAAAATCTAGAGAAAAAACATGAAAGTTACTTGAATATACAAATTACTTTACTTGAAAGTTTTGTAAAAAGTCTTTGCCCATTCCAAAGAAATCAGAGAGTTTAATTCTTGTTCAAGAATCAGATACTGGACTCTACTTTCCAGAACAAAACGACTGGAAATCAGTAGATCACATGTGATGATAAAAATGTTACCTAACCATTTGGTAGAGTCCATCTTTCAAAATAACAAAAATGATTTTGCAAATATTGAAAGATTTTTAGGAATAAGACAGGAATGAGGACTGGAACTGTGATATCATTGGTACAAGGAACTCCTAGATGATGATACTCTCTCTACCAATGTAGGTTGGCACCTTCTCTATACCATACTTTCTTAGCACCAAGGGTACACCAGTCCCTATCTCTGGGAATGGCTAAGTATGTGGAATCCTTTTCTCAAAAAGTGAGGAATGTTCACTGAGCCTGAGTCAGCCTTTGTAGACACAAAACTTTTTATGCAATGAGACATAGCAATAAAAGCCCTGGACAAAGCAATAGTAACAATCAATCAAATTATTTTGTGGATAAGAAGAGAAGAGAAGAAGATGCAATTCAAGGAGACACTACTTTGCCTCCTGCGGAATGAATGGAAGAATGAAGCTTTTGAGTCAATTACTTGTACTTTTTCTTCTGATCATTGCTAGGGAGCATAGTAGCAGAGTGGAAAGAACAGTGCATTTACATTCTTATCCCAGGTCTGCTTCTTGCTGCCTCAGTTCCCTCATCTGTAAAATGGGGGGCTGGACTAGGTGATCTTTAAGGTTCTTTCCACTCCTAATATTTTATGGTCCTCTTGATATCACAAAGTAAACCAAACATTTTTATTCTCTATTTTTTCTGCTCTTTAGCTTTGGCATAAAAAATACTGTTCCTTAGTTAATAAGTATCTGATAAACAATTGTTACATGAATGAATTAGTGATGAACCTGTGATTACAGTGCTTTAGGGAAATCCCAGATGAAAAAAATTCCTCCTATCAATGCAGGCCAGCATCTTTTCTGCAACTAATAGTATTAGAGAGTTTCCTAGAGCACTGAGATGTTAATTGACTTGCCCGAGGTTACACAGCCGGCCTGCATCAGAGGCAGGACTTGAACGTGCATCTCTTGGTTCCAAGTCCAGTTCTCTATCCACACTGCCATGGCTCAGGATAATAAAAAATTAATCAATATTTTTGCTAAACTACTTTTAAAAAATATTTTCTTTTTCTTTGTTATAAGGGATAGCTTGCTAGGGAAGGGAGAGAAAGGGTATGTATCTGAAATGAAGATGATGTTATATAAAAACAAAAGACATCTAAATATTTTTAAAATAATTTTAATTGTGTCTAATAGTAGCCATCTCTAGGGTGAGGGGGAGAGAAAAGGGAAAAAAGGAAATTTACATGATAACTTTATTATGTATTTAAAAGAATAGCAAGTTGTACATAATAGATTTGCCGTTTCATGTGCAATCATCTTTTTATTATATTATATTATAGAAATGCTTGTTTTATTCCATAAATTAAAAATTTAAATAAATAAAAATTTAAAAAGAATTTTAAAAGAATTAACCAAGTAAAGTTATAGGAGCTTATTTAAGCAACTTATTTAGAGCAATCTAAAAGAATTCTGGCTACAAGCAATTGTAGTTTTACTGGTATATATGGGTCAATGTCTGTTTGTGTTCTTCCTCAAGACCTTACTTAAAAATGTTCTCCTGGGTGAATGTAAGGCGACAATGAAACAGTCACTAGGTATGAAAGCAGATAGAGGACTTAAAATAAAGAGATTTGAAACAGGGAGGAGGAAGAGAGGGAATAGAAGGCATCTGTAATTGAAACAACTTATCCTGAGCAAGATGGGCCTGTTATCCCTTAATTAAGCCATCTTCAAAATAACAGTTCCCACCAGTAATTTAACAACAGCAGAATAAGAATTCACATTAGTTCAAGCTGGCAACGTGTGAGTTGTTATGTGAATGTATTGATACTTTTGAATAATGAATAACTAATTGAAAATATTTTGCTCTGAATGCTACAGATTCCTTTTGCAAAAGATTGTGGAAACAAGGAAAAATGCATATCAGATCTGGCCTTGACTGCAACAACAACAGGAAAAGACTTACTCATAGTTAAGTCCCACAGTGATAAATTCGACATGAGCCTGACCATCAGGAATAAAAAGGACAGTGCCTACAATACCAGAGCCATTGTCCAGGCCTCTCCAAATGTCATTTTTTCAGGAATTGAGGTAACTATTTGTTCATTTGTTCATTTAAACAGCCCTTACCTAACCCTTACTGAGCCCACTATATCAGCCTGGATATGGAGTGAGTTATTGACACAATTAACCAATGTTATTTATTAGGTTAGAGACAGTCAGGTAAAAGGGAATGGAGGGAGATTTGATTTTACATCCTGTGATTGATGATACATACTAGTTGTGCAAGCATGGGATTCACTGACATTTTCAGCACCTTAAGCAAATTTCTAAAATTATAAGATACCGAAGCATAGCTGATTTGCATAGGTGGAGGGATCTTCTGCACAGAGAGTTCTTTATACTGATATAATGTAATATAATAAGAGATATGAAAAAAGTATGATGTGGAGAGAAGACTGGGTTTGCATGGAACAAGGAATGAGGATCTTTTTTCTTTTTCTGGCTAGGCAATGGGGTTAAGTGACTTGCCCAGGGTCATACACTTAGTAAGTGTTATGAGTCTGAGACCAGATTTGAACTCAGGTCCTCCTGAATCTGGGGCTGGTGCTCTATCTACTGTGCCACCCAAATTAAGATAACTTTGAGATATCATTTTATACCTGTCAGATTGGCTAAAATCACTGAAAGGGAAAGCAACAAATGTTGGAAGGAATGTGGAAAAATTGGGACACTAATTCATTGTTGGTGAATCTGTGAACTGATCCAATCTTTTTGTAGAGCAATTTGGAAATATGACCAAAGAGTTATTAAACTTCCTATATCCTTTGACACAAAAATACCACTACTTGGTCTATTTCCAAAGATAATTTGGGAAAAGGGAAAAGAACTATATGCTCTAAAATACTTAGAACAGTTCTTTTTGTGGTAGCAAAGAACTGGAATTTGCAGGGATGCCCATCAATTGGGGGATGGCTGAACAAGGTGTGGTAATATGATTGTGATGGAATACTACTGTGCAATAAGAAATGATGAGCTCAATGATCTTAGAAAAACATGGAAAGATTTGCATGAAATAATGAAGAGTGAAAGCAGAACCAATAGAACATCGTGTACAGTACAGCAATATTGTTTTAAGTATGACTTTGAGTGAATAAGTCATTTTGATTATTATAAATACCCAAATTAACTACAAAGGACGTATAAAGATGCTATTTGCATCCAGAGAAAGAACTGATAAATAGAACTATGTATAGAATAATTTCACAATATATACATCTATTCATGTCTAATGATAGCCATCTCTAGGCCAGGAAGGGGGGAAAAAGAAATTTACATGGTAACTTTATTATATATTTAAAAGAAATAGCAAGTTGTGCATAATAGATTTGCAGTTTCATGTACAATCATCTTTTTAATGATTTTATGTTGTGGAAATGCTTGTTTTGTTCCATAAATTAAATTTGAAAAAATAATGAGTAAAGGACAATGTCAAGAGGCCAGGGAAAGAGGAGGGAACTCATTAAAGTGAGGCAAAGACCCCAGCTGAGACTGGGGTGAGGATGTATTGTGGGATTCCTAAAAAGAGAAAAGGTGGTTTGGAACATCCATTGTGATTAAATAAGGGCCCAGTGGAAATTAGATTACAGCTTTGTAGCTATAGAAAGCCTCACTTGTAGCAGAACCCTCTTGTGCTGTTTTAAAAGAAGGTAGACTAGTCATCTCTAACCTCTTCTCTCTCTACCCTTCTCCATGGGAGACTTTTATTCCTGCTGTGAAGAGAAACAGGAATTTGGGGTCAGAGAGAGAAAGGGTACTGGGCTCGAATTATATCTGTCTACTCCTTTAAATGTTATTAGTCTAAAGGATATGATCAGTTTCAAATTAACTTCTGATTGCTGTCATTATTGAGGGGAAAGAGGTCCCCAAACTCTGCATCCAAAGCTTGACCCTTTCCCAACACATATAAGTTCTACAATGAATAGTTAATTCACATAGTGAATAGTAAAGAAGCCCATTTATCTAAATCATAGCACAAGAGAAATCTGAGAAGGTATGTATAAGAGAATATATACCAGAGTGAAGGAGCTCTCCCACTGAGAGTGAGACAACTCAGCTCAACCAAGAGAAAGAGTTCTAGATCTCATCCAAGGGGAAGTTCCCCAAAATCTCTAGAATAGCAAGGTAGGAATAAGGACATGATGGAGACTGCCATCTCCTCTCATGCCTTCCCACATCCTTTTCCTTCAACAACCTGAAGTAGAGTTGGTTTCTTCTATCTTCCCCTTAGAAGCCAGAAGCTCTCAAAGTGACTCAAAGCTTGAAGAAGATCTGAAGAAAATTCAAAGACATCTGAAGAGACTGATGGTCTCTCCCACTCTTGACAACTCTGCCCTGTCTTTCACACAGGGCAGAGCATTCATGTTCACCAACAAAGAGAGCATTCCACATCAATGGACTTTGGGGAAGAGATTATATCAGGGATCCTATGAACATGATTGGGGGACATCCTCCAGCTGTTCAGCAGCATATGGGTAGAAATGAAGGAGGTAGAGGGGAGAAGTAATCCAGGGTTGGCCTTATAAGATAAGGAGGCAAGGGATTCCAGTGTGGAGAATAGTGTACCGTTGTACTAACTCATTATTGGGTCAATATTTTGAAGGGAGGAGAGTGTAGCTAGAATAGAAGTAATGACTTGGCAAAATACTAAAGGATAGAAAGATTTTTGTAGTAGTGAGGGCAAAGAGTTGTTAAGGAGGCAGAGATGGAGTGATAAGAGATTGTGATCAAAGAAAGGTTTTCAGAGTTCTTGATTATGCAAGTGGAACACTTGTGGAAGGAGGCAAGATCAAAAGTTAGTTAAAGTCCTTGCCCATCCCTATGTGTTTCTGAGGTGAAAAAGAGTAGTACATCATGGGGCTTAAGTAGATTGAGAAACTGCGAAATTAGGGTAACAGAAGAAACATCAGCACATATGTTGAAGTCCCCAAGTATGAAACCAGGAGTTGGGGTAAAGAAAGAGTCTATGTCAGGTATTGAACTTATTTAGAAAAGAGGGAAAATATCCTGGGGGTAAATAATAGCCACCAGGATCTAGATTGGGTAATCCAAGCAGAAGCTTCAGGGATACTCACAGTTAAGAGGATAGATGTGGATACTAATTCCACAAGAGAGACTGAGGAATAGCCATCAGACAGAAGAGGAACCAAAAGAGATCAAAGAAGAGTAATCCCTAACACTCTCAATTCAGCACCCTCTCCTGCACCACCTACTGAACTCATACAGGACTGAATAAGCTAACCCACAGTTTTTCAAGAGAACTCAACTTTGTCACTCCCTCTTCCCTAAAAGGCAGAAGCTTTCTATGGCTGGGACAGCTACAATGGTGCTCTATCCTGCATCAGAATTTAGTCAGAGAATTGAATGCCAGAGGAAGCTAGAGCAGGAAGCCAATGTGTATAGATATTTGTTCCTCCATTAAGTGTAAAGGAAAGAACCCAGAAGCCAGCTGTGGTGAGATCTCTCCCCCTAGAAGTCACTTGAGGCAGAGACTATGGCTGGTGAAACATTAATTGCCCAGTGTGGGAGGAAGCTAAGATGGCTTTGTGGTCTAGCACCCCCAGGTAAGCTACAATCACAGAACGATGAATCAGAAAGTGAGCAATAGAGAAATACATGGGGAAATGCCTGAAATTACCAGTTTGGGGAGGAAAAAATACTAAAGACCTTGAGTCTAAGTAGATAAACCAACAGGGAAGATAATAATAACAGAAGAAAATTAGCTAAATAAGCCCAGACATCTATAAATAATTACTTTAAGACAAAGGAAAATAAATCAACAGGAGATGCAGAAAGGGACCTTGTGGATTCCCAAGAGAGTAAGAAACACAGCAAGATATTCCTGAATGATTTAAAAGAGAAATAAGAATTTTGAATGTGGAATTCATGACCTGCATAATGGAAATCATTGGCAGAATAGAAAAATTTGAATGTGTGGTGGCAAGTCTCCCAAAACAAACAAAAGAGAGAATAATTGATTAGGAATGCAAATACACAGAAATAAATGATGATCTGGAAGAAGAGAAGCAACAAGTTAAGATAAAGAATAATCTTCATGCAAGCAACATATATGCAGAGACAATTTAAGGATTATGGATCTCCCAGAACACAAGCCAAAAGAAACCCAAACACTGTAATGGGAGAAGTAATACAAGAAAAATATCCAGAACTTTCAAACACAGAAAACAAAGTACCAATCAAAAGAATACACAGAACACCTCCAGAAAAAAAAAAATAACAAAACAAAACACTGCTGCAAACTCCAAGACAAAAAGTGGTTACATTTAACAATTCCAATGACAAGCAACAAATGCCACAATAGATAGACTTTCAAATATGAAGGAAAATAAATTCTAATAACATAAAACTATTCTGCACCAGAAACCACAGGAGAGGATGGAATATGTTCTTAAGAGCAAATGAGATCAAGATGCAACACAAATTGGTATACCTTGTAAATTTGACCCTAAACATTAATGAAAAAAGATAAACATTCAATAAAAGAGAGGAATTCAAAGCATTTCTTGAAAAAAAACCTGACCTAAACAAATTATTTGTCTTTCAAACAACTCAAAAAACAGAAATACAAAAAAAATAAGGAAATACAGCAACCAAGGACAACAAAAACAAAGTAACAATAGAGACTATTAAGAGATTTCTTTCTAAATGTACACAAAGAAAAGAAATTGAAGTGATGGTGGAGAAACAGGCCTGAAACATCATGGACTAAACCTCACAACCCATCTTCAGGTGAATAATTCAGTGTTTTTGTGGAACTAAATTATGGAATAGAAGGACACATAAAAGAGTGGAGGTGAGAAAAATATAGAGGGGAAAGTGTGATATACCTTAATGAAATCAAAGATTAACATTAAAAAAATCTATAGGAGAATGGGTAGGAAGGCAAAGGGAAGAATTGAAATGGGAGTTAAAAAAAGGGGAAATCTTGTTTCCGGGGGGTGTCATTAATCAATGTTCCCCAGGGGGGAAGAGAGATATTTCCTAAAGGGATATACAGATCTTACAACACCTACATTCATCCTATCTAAGAAGAAGGGAAATCAAAGTGAAATTGTGGCAAAGTAAAAAAAAATGACATTAATAAAAACTTATTTTTATAAAAGAAATCTATTGTCTGTTTTCATCAGCTAATTCAAATTTTCAGTGACATTTTTCTCAATTTACTATAGAATGTAGCAGTGGTAGGACCAAGACAGCTTGGGGAAAAAATGTTATAGGTTATTATCTAGTTTGGATGCAGTTAAGAATTTGAATTACAAATGGTTATCAGAATATATTGAGGAGTTAAAAAAATTACTGTTTTTCTCATTTCAAGGGATAAGATAAATATATACATATTCATATGTATTACATTATATATATATTACAAATGTGTATTACACATACATTTTATTCTGATTTTCTTTGGAAATTGAAACATTTATAAAATAATTCTTTATGTTCTCCTTTAATACATTTTTGATTGAGGCAGAAGTATGAACTTAGTTAAAACCTTAGTTTGTTATTGTTGTTTTAAATTAAAATAGTAGGCAGGAAAGAGAGAGATATTTTGTTTTATCCCCCATATAGCCCTTTACAATGAACCTGATTTTTATTTGTTATGGGATAACATTGACCCAAGAGATATCTGTGACCTTACCAAACAAGGGCAATGATTGAGTCCAAGAATGGCTATCAGTCACCTGACTTATTTTTTGTAACATGTGCTTTCTCTCCAGGGTATTCAAAAAGACAGCTGTGAATCCAATCAGAATATCACATGCAAAGTTGGCTATCCTTTCCTAAAAAGAGGAGAAGAGGTGAGCAGATTATGGAAGCTTCATCTAACAATGTGTATGTGAAAGTTGGTATGTTCCATGTCATTTGTATGATTGTGCCCGAAAATCCAAATGTAATGGTCAGAGGAAAGAAAAGGAATTCACAGGCATGTTTGCTTAGACAACTTGAAACCCTAAATATTTTATCTCAAAAATTAGTCACCAAGACCCAAAAGCAGGTTCTTTCAACTGAGCATTCAGTTGAAGATTAATACTGTATAAAGTTATCAGAATAAATGGGATGCTATTGGCAAGCATTAGCTATAAAAAAGAGCCTAAATGATGCCCATTGGCCTAGACTGTGGAAAGAAACAAATGGGTTTGCCTGGAACTTTGGCTCTAGAGATAAACTCAAGATCCAGATGGACTTAGGTGGTCTTTTTTCTGTTTCTGGAGATAATTCACATTAAAAAAAAAAGAGGAAATATATCTTTTACATAAAAGTAAATTCTCTTTCCAACATAATCAGTAGATTTTATTTGCAAAAAATAAAATGTAAATAGAATCATGAATAGCTTTTTTTTTCATTTTTGCATGTGTGTTTTTGTTCAAACTTGCATTTGACTCTAAAATATTTGGTCTAGTCATCTACTGACTACAGAGTTAAAGAGGGAAATGTTTAACTAATCAAAATGCCACCCATGATTAATAAAAAATGTTACCTTACTTGAACTGAAAAAAAAAAAGTGTGGGGATGGAGGGAGGATACTACCCTATAGGTTCCATTCCATGTCTTCTTTCCCTATACGTTAATTTTTTTTAGAACATGACAACAAGATGTCAAAACAGATTGCTGTTGTCAAGAAATGTTCAATCTAAACAAACAATAGACTAATGGCCTGATAGACAAATGGCCAAAGAAAAGAACTGTGGAATGGGCAAAGCCACAAAGCTTTGGTGAAGGCTTTCAGTTAACTGATTAAAATTGCAAGGAAGAACTCACCCTGAGGCCTTTTCCAGGATCACATGCGGCAAAGTGAAAAAGGAGTCATCAAACTGACAAAAATGTCCCTCTTAGCCATCACAAAAAATTACAAAAAGACTACTCCATCTTATTCATTATCTTATTCTCTTTAGTTTATGTATATTTATATATACATGATATTTCATTTTAATTTTACCTTATTCACTATACCTCATATGATCTTGGGAAGAGATGTCAAATGGGTATCAGTATCTTTTGTATGCTTATTACCTAAAAGTATCATGATGCTTTTACTTTTGATCTATACAATAACTATTTTGAAATATAGTGGCTTTATGGTATAAAATGATAATTCTTAAACTTCTTCCCATTTTTCAGTTTGAGTGGAAAATTTGTGCAAAGTGAATATTGTTGCCAAAAGTCAACTTTTTTTATTCATGTGTTTGAACTAAAAATATCTTTTTATTACACAGATATCTTTCAAAATACTATTTCAGTTCAATACATCCTATCTTATGGAAACTGTGGCCATTCACATAAGTGTAACAAGGTTAGTTTATTTTTTTCCACATTAATACTTGGGTACAGGGAAATAATTTAGGTTTTTGTCCATACTTGAGATTTCACTGGTGTAGGGAAATCCCTTCAACCAATGTACATGAGATATTTTTACAATTTGCAGTCCCGAATTGCTGCATGAGGCAATTAAAATTGAAGGGACTTTCCCAGGGTGTCACAGCTAGTCTGTGTGTCAAAGACAGGATTTGAACCATAGTCTTTTTAATACTGAAACTGACTCTTTATCCACTATGCTAAATGATCTCTAAAAACCTTTTGTTTTAGAAAACCAAGTCATTCCTTAAAATTCCTTATCATCTGTATGGTATCAGCACAAGTGTAAAGCACTGAACCCCATTGTTTTCTTAGAAGTGTAGTGGCAAAGGGTGGTATATTTGAAATGATGGTTTAGTCATTTTTCAGTCATGTCTGACTCTTTATGATGCTATTTGGGGTTTTCTTGGCAAAGATACTGTAATGGTTTGCCATTTCCTTCTCCAACTCATTTTATGGATGAAGAAATTGAGACAAAAAGGGTTAAGTGATTTGCCCAGGGTCACACAGCTAGTAAGGGTCTGAGGCCAGATTGAACTCAGGAAGTTGAGTCTTCTGGATTCCAGACCGAGCATTCTATCCACTGCACCACATGCCTGCTTGAAATGATAGATACATAAATAGACTAAAGAAGCGATGAGGAGAAATGAGGAAAGAAGAGGAGGGAAGAGGAGGGCATAGGAAGAGAAATAAAACACCTTATCCATATAAGATCTAGTAACAAAACTCACTATAAAAGTACAACCAGCAAAATAACAAAATTTAAGGGTAAACTATGCTCAATTCACCAGAATTAGGGAGGCAAAGAAGAAGAGGAAGTAAAGAAGGAATAAATTCACCTGGTTCCAGTGTGGGAGCAAATTCTGCACAAGCAGGACATTCCTTGAGCCTGTCAGAAAGCCAGGCAAGGCTACATCTGCTCCTGATTACATTCTATTCAGAGTAGCCACACCCTTCCCTGCAATTAGCTGGCTTCTGGTTCTGGCCTGCTCTTGCATACTCCTAGGCCCCTTTCATCTACATGGGATTCAAAAATTCTCGGAGAATCTGCCCTACCCTCCTCTTGCCCTCCCTATAATGCTTCAGTCCCTCCTATCAGCTAAAAAGAAAAAAAAGAAAAAAAAACTCTCTAAACTTTGTGTTTACACCCTTGCTGATAAGGGACTTCATACAGCCATCTCTATAACTTCTGTCATAACAAATTTTGCTTAAGTCCCTTAAAAATTCCAAAACTTGCTGTCGCTTTATTTCAAGATAATAGACTAAATCACAACTTCAATTACTGTCAATTTAACAGTAATTTTCATCAAAATCAGTCAACTCCTTTGACCATTATCATGGAACAAAGAAAATTTTTAAATGGCCTGCTCCACCATGACATCAGTCTGCCCCACATAAAAGCATTCATCACCCAAGCCACACTGATGCCTGCTCATGCCTTCCCTGGGTCCCTATCCCAACAACTCAGTTCTTCCTGGCTCCTCATCAACCAGTTAATGGATATTTATTGAGTGTGTAGTCCATATAAAATACCATTTTGGTTATTCAGGGTGGTACAATGTATTAACCATAAGGCGTTGCTCCCTGCTTTCAAGAGGCTTACATTTTAGATGGGGATAAGACATGTATTGCGAGAAGAAAACTATACTAAAGACTAAAGTGAACTTAGTGGTGCATTCATAGGGGGTAACTAAGGTGTGGTTGAAGGAGGGTTGCACTAGGCATCAGGGCACTGGGGAAAAGTCCAAGGCTCATCATTAATTTGCTGAGAAACCTCAGGAAAATGGCCTATGCTTTGTATTAGTCCAAATAAAAGTGTCCCCCAGAATCCTTATCTCCCTTCAAGATTCTGTTCAAATACCACGTCCTAAGTGAGGCCTTCTTGAGTTACCAGTTATTAGTGATTCCCCTCCATTCAGATGCCTAGAGGCAGCTTGGTGACACAGTGAATGGAGTGCTGGTCCTCCAGTCAGTAAAATCTGAGTTCAAATCCGACTTTAGACACTAGCTGTATGATCCTAAGCATATCATTTAACGTGCATTTGCCTCAATTTTTTCCAACTGTAAAGTTGGATTAATAATAGCATCTACCTCCCAGGGATATTTTAAAGATTAAATGAGATAATCATTGCAACGCACATAGTAAGCACTATATAAATGTTAGCTATATTCTATATTTATCTGTGTATTTGTTTCTTCCTCCAGGGGGAGATAAGCCCCTTCAGGGCAGATACAGTTTTGTTTGTTTTTTTTTCTTTTTATCTTCAGTGCCTAATATATTGTCTGGCCAGAGTAGGTGCTTAGTAGATACTTCTTAATTGGTGAATCAAAATATCGTCAAAATATAGCTTGTTCAAAATTTTAATTCCACCTAAAATCACATTCTTAGTAAGAAAAAACAAGTAATAAAGACAAAGAGAACAATGATAATAAAAATGAATTAAACAATTTTATTTGAATTCAAAGAAATATAAAAAGAATTTCATTGTAAATATATTTTATATAGCAAGCTTATTCAATTATTTTTCAATGAATACCTTTAGAGGGATAAGGACAGGACCTGGGATTTCATTGGCAATGGGAACTCCTGGGTGAGGATTCTCCCTCAATTAATGCAAGTTTTTATCATGTGTCACTTCACCTTAGAGATAGTAACATACCCAGGATCATACATCCAGTATGTGCATCAGAAATGGCACTTGAATCCAAATCTTTATGACTTCATATCTAACTCATCATATGTGTGTATATTTATATACATATACATACATACATATACACACATATATGTGCATGTACATATACATATACACACATACATTTGAGGATTATGACCTATACTGGAGAGCAGTCTGTATTTGGTATGTATGATAAAATGAGAAAATTGGACTGTAGAACCTCTCAGCTCCCTTCCAATTCTTACATTCTTTAACTTTAGTCTATCCAAGTAATTGACATAGATGTGGTTTGAACTGAGTCTTAAAAGATGGGTGGGATTTGGATAAATAGAGAAGAAAGAAGAGAGCATTTCTGGAAAAGGCATGACAAATAGCCTCCTTAAACAAAATAAAAGGTTCATCTAGAAAAGCAGTATGATGTAATGCCAGAAAGGTAAGCTGGGTCAGATATTAAATACCAGGATAAGAAGGTTAGACTCTATCCTCATTCATTATTAAATACTCTTATCACTTGCCCAACCTTCTCTTCTACTTGTCCTCCCTCCCTCATTTTATCAACACTATTAAGTGAAGGGAGGGATGAGAGTTCATGCCTATTTATTTAGCTCTCTTTTCTAAAAGAATGATTAGAATTTGAGTCACAGTAAGTGTGTTCTGTGATCTTGACCTAGTTTTTCTTTAATAAAAAAAGGTGTGTATCAGGTATAATTGATGTCACATTTTTTGCCTTCTCAAGGGAATTCAGAACCCCCCAAAAAATTTTAATGAATACTAAAAATAAATAAAAAAATAAAATTGGGGAAATTAATTTTAAAAAAACTAAATAATTTGGGTGGTGGGGAGAGAAGCAGCGGAGAGACTGTAAGGGACCAGACCTCTTGAGGATAGGCCTTGCTAAATAAATAGAACCCCAGGGCCAGAATGAAATAGTTTGGGGAAAAGAGTATAATGTCAGTCCATGCCAGGGCTGTTCAATAAAACTACAGGAGACATAGAGTTTTATTGTTCTAGCCCATGAAGGAAAGAGCTAGATGCCACTGGTAGCAGTCTCTATTTTTGAGTCTAGCATTCTCAAAAGTGTGTTTTTATTTTTAGAAATTTTGGATTCTTTCTCAAATGTGTAACAATATCTCTAAATGGCTAATTGCAACAGAAGCACTGTTCTAAAAAAAATCAAAACAAAATAAAATATCAGATGCCAATAGAGATATTATACAGGATATCTTAGTACTGTCTGACATGAATATGTTGTTCATTTTCTAGTGACAGTGAAGAACCTCTGGAGACCCTTTCTGATAATGAAATGGGTATTTCTATTCCAGTAAAATATGAAGCTGGACTCCAGTTTTCCAGGTAGATAAACATCTACTTTTTACTGTTTTATAAGGGGAAATATTTTTAAATCTAGAAAATAGTAATGACTACATTTTATAGGTTTACAAAGTACATCACCTACAGTACCCCCAATGAGATATGTAGGACAATTACTTTCTCCATTTTACAAATGAGGAAACTGAGGCTTAGAGATGGTGATGTTCTGGTACCATAACTCATGAGTCATAGTCCTTATTCTGTGCACTTAAGTGCTGATCATGCTGTCATTCTGGACAAAATAAAAATATGAAATCAGTTTTCATTGAAAACTATTATTTGATGATGAGCAGGATGCTCTCAGAAGAAACATGGAAAAACTTACATGAACTGATGCAAAGTGAAATGAGCAGAATGAGAACATTGTACATAGTAACAGCAATATTGTATGATGATCAGCTATGAATAACTTAGCTATTCTCAGCAATACGATGCTCCAAGACAATTCTGCAGGACCTATGATGAAAGGTGCTGTCCATCTCCAGAGAAAGAACTGGTAGACCCTGAATGCAGATCAAAGATACTTTTTCTTTACTTTCTTTTGTTTTCTTGGGACTTTTTTTGTCTGTTTTCTTTCACAGATTGACTTACATGAAAATGTGTTTTGTATGACTACACATGTATAACCTATGTCAAATTGCATGCCTTCTCAATGAAGGGGAGAAGAGGAAGGAAAGAGAGAATTTGGAACACAAAACTTGAAAAAAATGCTAAAATTGTTGTTAAGATTCTAAAAAAGAAAAACTATTATTTTGGTTTTCATTATTTTTCTTTCAATTATTTTAAAACTATATTTCCATTCCAGACTTCAATTTCTATTTATCCTTTCAAATATAACTTATTTTAATGAAACTTTATCTTTAACAAAACTCCCTAAGCAAAAGACAGTGCTAGAATCTTGCTAAGAATAAATATTAAGAACAGGAAAATTTTAATAATCAATGTCCAGCACAATTAGGAAGTCATAAAAGGAAGTCAGAATTGTAAGACATATAAGTCTATCTTTGTTCATGTTTTCTTTTTCCTTTTTGTAAATTCTTTTTCCAATCTGTTGTATCCACTTTTCCTAATACTTTGACTTTCTCCAAGAATTCCTTCCATTTATTGAAAGACAAATTCCAGTAAAGCATTTTCAAAAGGTTTCTTTTATTCATCTTTCCTTGACTTTCTACTGGAATTCTATTTAAGAAAACTATCAAAATTCAGTGGACACTACCAGGATGAGTGGATAAGTTGAATAGTGAAGTTACAATTATGAGCTTAGAGTTTTAAATTTTAAAAAAAAGGTACAAATTTTAAAAAATTCTTATTACAGGAAAATACTGCCTTTTGTGAATGTTAATTCATTAGCCACAAATGGAACTACAGAATCCATATAAGTTTTTTTTATTATTGTATGTCACTATGCCATGATTTTTTAAAACTATATTTGTTAAAATACAGAGATTCCAAATATGTGTCAACACTAATTGAATTGTATTCTCTGGCTCTTCTCAATTTCCTCAAGCCCTGATTATGTTGAAATATAAGGATTTAGACTTTCTGACCCTAAGTAGAAGGAGTAGAAGAATTCACCCTAGTCTATATGCATGCACATTTTTTGGAATTACAAGGCTTAGAGTAGAAAGAAAAGAATCAAACTGAATAAAAACAAAACATTTTTTCTTTTTCTTTTTTTCTTTTCATCAATACCTTTTAAGCTCTGCAAGTGAATATCACATTTCAATTTCGGCCAACGATACAGTTCCTGACGTTATTAATTCTACCAATGACATTGGAAATGAAATCAACGTTTTCTACTTGGTGAGAAATACTACTAAAATTGTATCTTCAAGGACTTAGTTGTAAGCTTTTAAGTTAGCTTATGTGTCATAACTTCTATAGAAACTGTTTGTGCTGACACATTAATCTTGCTGCTCCAGTTCCTTAGAGCCATACTATTTTTTCAAAAATTCCACTGTTGGGGGCAGCTAGGCGGCACAGTGGATAGAGCACCTGAGTTCAAATCTGGCCTCAGACCAAACACTTGATGTGTACTAGCTGTGTGACCTTGGGCAAGTCACTTAACCCCGATTGCCTCACTAAAAAAAAAAAATAAAAAAATAAAAACAAAAATTCCACTGTTTAATTTTTTTCAATCACTTATGTTGTTTACAATTTGAGTAAATGACAGTGTCAGAGGCCATCTTCAGTTGCCCTGATCTATATCTTGCCACTGGACCCAGATGGCTCTGGAGGGGAAAGTGAGGCTAGTGACCTTGCACAGCCCTCCCTCGCTTAAATCCAATTCATTTGCAAGTCATGGCCTCACTTTCCTGATGCCATGGTCTTCTTCAAGGACAAAGGACAAACAACAGCAACAACAAATGACAGGGTCATGAACATCTCTGACATTTTACAAGTAGAGAGATAATGAATGCAAGGGGTTCTTTATAAAAGCAAACCAAGAGGCTATTCCACATTTTGTTGGGCTTTACATCAATTATTTACTCATTATGCCTAAACTCATGATCATATGTTGTGAATATTTAAGCTGAGAATTCAAAAACAATCTTGGCCTTTTTTCTTTCTCTATTAGCAAAAGCTAAAATATATCTCTATTTATACACAGGAATATATGTAATAAGAAACTGTACCATTGTCTCCTTTGCTAACATTCCTAAACTAGTGCCTCATCATGGTTTAGAGCTGATCCATTGCTTTCAGAGGCTTCGCCTTTAAAGTCTGGTAGGTTTAGTCAAGCAGGAAAGGATTCAAGGAGGGGTCAAACAGTCGCCTGTATGTGTTTTTGTCCCAGGACTGGCCTAGCCTGGTTCAGAGAGGTTCAGCAGCAGAAACAGCCACCAGGGGATTTTGTTGAACCACATGATTCTATTCCCATGGGAAATCTGATGAATCTTTATGACTGTATGTAAAAGAAGCTCTCTAAAAACACACATAAAATTCACCTGTCACCTATCATGTCAGGATAAAGGTGCCAACTGACTTCAAAGAATGAATTAAGCTTGATATACAAGATTCAATTGAAAAAATGGAGTGTTTTCACTTCCATGCCATAGGACTCTGGAATGGCTATGGAATTCAGTGTTGTTAGGTTGCCCTGTCTCCATTCCCTGTTCCTGAACAAAATACCAGACTCAAAGAAGGTGAGGGAATATGAATATCCAAAGAAGTTTTGTCAAGGTATTCAGATATTTTGTTTCTTCCACCCATCAATCATCAAGGGTCAGAGTACCCCAAAGGTAAGAAGCAAGAAGCAAAATCAGTAGTCCCAGATACACCCTGGCAGGTGATTGTAGGCTTTTAGAACTAGAAGGCTCAACCTCATCTGAAGCCACCAGATATTAGCTCCAGATGTGCTGCGAAGTCCTTCTAGAAGGCCTAGCCAGGTAGAATCATCTCAGAGCGTCCAAGTGGAGATAGCCCAGATCTCTTGGTGTTCTCTCAAGTGGATGAGAATTAAAAAGGAAGCTACCTCACCTAAAATTCAAAATAACCTCAAAGAAATCCACAGAGTTCCTAGAAACTGACCTTAGGTCTGGAGATAATACCTAAAGTGATAAAGGTAAGTGAAGCAGGTCTTTGGTTTCCCACCAGATAATTTGACTTTACATTGGCCACTTCTGGGTAGACAGATATCCTTAGTTAAATGAATTCATTCTTCCTTTCCTCCTATCATTCATCCTTTCATGCCAGCCAAACTCTAAACTAGATAAGACTAGAGTACCTCAGTTAATGTTGTCCTTAGTTAAGACTATGGCCCCTTTTGGTTTTAAGATTCCACTAGAGAGATATCTACCTGCTTCTAATTCTCTTGAATGGAAAATTTTCCTGGCTGTGAAAATTCAGAGGTGGTAACCAGAACAAGAACATAAAAGTAGGTAAAGATGGCCAAAATTAGAAATAACAAACATGAATTAAGCACCATTTGCTTAAACAGGCTTTTCTTTTATTTTATACAGATCCAAAAAAGTGGACATATACCCATGCCAGAGCTTAAGCTGATAATTTCATTCCCCAACTTAACATCAGATGAATACCCTGTACTCTACCTAATTGGATGGTCATCTTCTGATGTAAGTCATGTTCCTTCACCATTTTTCACTTACTTTAAGACTATTATTACATTTGTATGAATTGTTAAACTCTATAGATGTATTGGTTGGTTTTGCTGAACTTTTTTGTTTTTGTACAAGGGATGGCTTGATGGGTTCGGAAAGGAGAAAGATATTTTCAGAAATGATGATGATTTAAATAAGCAAAAGAGATACATAATGGTTATTTATACATTCACTTATTTATTTTGGAGGCAATTCAGGTTAAATGAGATGCCCAGGGTCACACAGCTAGTAAGTGTCTAAGGTCAAATTTGAACTCAGGTCCTCTTGCCTTTAGGGCTGGTGATGTATCCACTAGGCCACCTACCTGCCCCAGAGATTCATAATTTTTTTAATAAAATCTATTACTACCGCTTGGTTTTGTTTTTTATCATGTGAGACAATTGGTGCAGAAACAAACTAAATGCCCTTCACATTTCCTGCCAAATGCTTTGCCAAAGCAATAATGGCAAAGCAAATAATAGAAACATAGGACAGCTGGATGGCACAGTGGATAGAGCACTGGGCTTGCAACCAGGAAGACCTATCTCCATGAGTTCAAATCCAGACTGGGATACTTACTTACTTATGTGAACCTAGGCAAGTCATTTACCCTCAGTTTCCTCATTGATAAAATGAGCTGGAGAAGGAAACAGCAAACCACTCCAGTATCTTTTCCAAGAAAACCTCAAAATGGGATCACAAAGAATTAGCCATGACTGAAATGACTCAACACAAAACAAAAGAAGTCTCCCCAATTAAAAAAATCAACTGATTGTTTATTACTTTAGTAGACTTAAATCAATTAAAACAAATAATAATTTACTATTATGCATACCACACTGATCATCATTTAACTAGGTTTCATTCATTAAGATCCCACTCTAATGGCTGCTCCTGGTTTGGAGATGACCTTGGATTCTCAAAGGTTATTCCAGGAGTATGCAAGCTGTGACAAGTTATACTAAGCTACATGGGCTTTAGGATTGGTCTGAGGGGTAGTTTGTATGTCTCACTTTCCAGGATCCATGTAGCAACATCTGGGGAGGACCATCACCAATTAGTTATAGGGTGATGACTTATTTTTGGCCACAGAACTTCTCAAAAGACATTTGACTGAGTATAGAGGAGTTACAGTTTATGTCAATGAAGGGAGTAAACCCCACTGATATCATCACAGGTCACTAAAGTTCTAAGCTAAAAAAGTGAATAGGTTTACAGTTATAAGGCAAATCTTAAGGTGGTTTCTCCTGGGAACTTTTGGTAACCATTGTGTAGGCCCCCTAGTAAAGTGATCCTTAACTAATGTCATAGGCAACTCAAAAGAGTAGGTATATAAAATATACTCTTTTCACTTTTTCATTTTATTCTAGAAAAGAATAGAATTATTAAAAACAGACTCTGAGCAGCCATGATTAATTAATATATTGATTTTTCTCTCATTTCTATAAAAAATGACATGCAGGTTACAGCAAGGCTTGAAGCAAAACTAGTATCCAGACATAACCATTGCTAGATCTTTTATAGGTCTTTAAGGTTTGCAAAGAACTTTTACAAATATCTCATCCTTATAACCACCTTGTGAGATAGGTGCTATTATTATTCCCATTTTTCACATGAGGAAACTGAGGCACAGAGAGATTAAATAACTTGACCAGAATCACACAGCTAGTAAGTATCTGAGCCTGGATTTGAACTCAGGTCTTCCTGACTCCAAGTCCAGCCAGTTTGACCACCTAGTGGCTCCATGAATATTGTAACCTAAACAACTGGGGCAGCTATGTGATGCAGTGATAGAGTGGTGGGCCTGTAGTCTTCCTGACTCATCTTCCTGAGTTCAAAATCTGGCCTCAGACACTTACTAGTTGTGTGACCCTGGGCAAGTCACTTAACCCTGTCTGCTTCAGTTTCCTTATCTGTAAAATGAGCTGGAGAAGGAAATGCAAACCACTTCAATATCTTTGCCATACCAAAATAAAATCACAGAAAGTCGGACATGACAGAATAATAACAACAAACCAAATTATCAAATAACACTGACTAAACTTTGAATTAATGTTACCCAAGTGTTGTCCAAGGGTTTTTTTTTCACAGTTCCTGACCCAATGATGTCTGTTTCACTCTAATCTCATTTTTCACTCTCCTAAGCAAAAGCTTGTTCTGAGTCCTTGAACCCTAAATTGTATCTGTCCTGTGGATTGACAAAAAGGTCTCCCAGATGGAGGGACATGGTCCATCCATAGTGTCTCTCACTCCCTTTAAGACCCTTCATGCAGAAATTTAATGTGTGTGTATCCTAACTTTTATTTATTTAGCCTTTTGCAATCTGGTATATTTCCAAAGACATCTTTAAGGGGTGGAACCCTTTTCCTCTCTACTCTTGCCTCTTTTAAAAAATACTATTTTTAAAATTTTATTTTATTTTCAATTCACGGAACAAAACAAGCATTTCCATAACAGTACAAAAGTACTGTAAAAAGTACAGTAAAAAAGATGATTGTACATGAAACTGCAAATCTACCATGTACAACTTGCTATTCCCTTCAAATAGAAAACAAAGTTATCATGTAAGTTTCTTTTTTCCCCTTTTTCTCCCTTCCCTCTCCCCCTTTTCCCTTGCCCTAGAGATGGCTCCCACTAGACACAAATAGGTATATATGTGGACCTATTCTGTACATCTATTTATCAGTTCTTTCTCTGGATACAGATAGCATCTTTCTTCATATGTCCTTTATTTTTAGTTAGGTATTTATGATACTCAAAATGACTTGGTTGCACAAAGTCATTCTTAAAACAATATTGCTATTACCATATACAATGTTCTCTTGGTTCTGCTCACTTCACTTTTCATCATTTCATGCACATCTTTCGGTACCTTTCTAAGATCATTGAGATCATCATTTCTTTTTTTTTTTCATCTGAAGACAAGATTTATTAGAACATCCATCATATTGGGCAGACTCTTAAGGAATCTGAATATTACTGAGATATTGGCTAGATAATAAGAATCTGAGCAGTGGCTAGATTTTAAGAATCTGAGTCTAGAGATCATAATTTCTTCTAGCACAATAGTGTTCCATCACAACCATATATCACAACTTGTTAAGCCATTTCCCAGTAGATGGGAATCCCTGCAATTTTCAGTTCTGTGCCACCACAGAGAGCTGCTATAAACATCCCATTCACATTCAAATTTATAGTCACTATTTGTGAATTTTCCTCCATCTTATTTTTACTCATTATTTTCTTTCTCAGCCTCTCTTTTTACCCTATCCCTGTTACTTTGGACTTCCATAACTTCTTCATTCATAATACTTGTATAAAATACTTTTTATCAGAAAGCAAGAGCTAGAACAGAGTAGAGGCACAATCAAAAGTAGCTGAGACCCTTTGAAATACTTACTCTTCCTCTATCACTTGCTGATAACTATGTGATTCAACTGCTGGATGTGTCACAAAATAGACTTCTAACAGCTTCCCATAGTCCCAAAAAATCAATTTGTGAGACACTAGAACCTCAGAGGATAAGTGGGGAGGTAATTAGGGAGGGATATTAAATCAATTAATCAATCAATAAGCATTTATTAAATTCCTAATATGTGCCAGGTACTGGGCTAGGTTAGTTCTGGAAGTTCAAAGACCCAAGTGAAGTGGTTCTTGCCCATAAAGAGCCTAGAGTCTAATATCCAGTCAAACATGTACATGTGTAGGTATTAGGAAAAAAAAAAACATATAAGGTAAAGCTACAGGAGAAACTAGCAACTGGGGTGGGGAGGGGTGAGGGACCAGGAAAGGCCTCATGTAGAAGGTGGTGTTTCAGTTTTGGAGACCAGAGAATTCAATAAATAGAGGTGAAGTTGGAATGCAGTCCAGGCATGGGGCACAGCCAATGCAAACACACAGTGCAGGGAAATGATGTTTCATATTTGAGGAACAAGAAGGCCAGACTGGCTGGATTATAGAGTGTGCAGAGGGGGGTAGTGTTGAATAAAACTGAAAAAAAATAGGAAGAAACCAGGTTGTGAAGAGTTTTAAATGACAAAAAGAGGAGTTGGTATGTGATCCTCTTCAGGGGGTCAGCAAACTATGGCTAGGAGGACAAATCTGGCCCATTGTCCTCTTTTGTACCCAAGAATGGTTTTTACATTTAGATCTTGGGCCACATAAAAGTAGTCAATGGGGCAGTCCCATCCTGTAGTTTGCCAATCCCAGAAATCTAGGTGGTAAGGAACCACTACAGTTTATTGAGAGGGGGTTGGTGGTTGGTGATTGGGGTGGGAAACTTGTATGTCACCATCAAACCAATGCTTTAAGAAATTGACTTTGCCAGTTGTATGGAGAATGGAGCAGAGCTCCAGAAGGTACTGGGAATTATTTTGTAATTGATGTTTCTCATTTGTTTGCCCACAACCTCTCGACCTGTAATTAAAGACAAGAAGCTAAGGAGGCACTGTGAGAGGCAGTTGGCATATCTTGTAATCTTGACATCCAACATTGAAATCCCTTGCTTCTAAACTCTTAGTGAGTTTTCCTATTAGCAATCCATATATGAGCCACTATTTAAAAATTAGATTGTTATCAAACATTCTACTTTTGGGGCAGCTTTTCACTTTCCCTTTATCCTTCAATACCCTAGGTATTTTAAAATTATGTACTTTTTATCCTGTCATATTTCATAAATCTTAATAAGAGTCAAGAAGCTCATAAACATGAACTCAAATTGATTTTGTGCATGGTGATATTATAGGATCCCTTATATCCTCTCAGAATGTTGCTATCATGCCTAGCCACTAATGGATGCTATCATGGACAAATATTATTACTTCCATATAGGTATGGCTATAGCTAATGACGCTGCACATTGAAACTTAATATATGGCCAAAGCCAGTGTTCACATCAGTGCCTTTCTAGAAGACCTTTTCTTTTCTTTCCTTTTTTTTTTGTTTTCTTTTGGTGGAAGGGAAGAGGACAGGACCCCAATGTCTGATAAAGCAACATTTTTGTCTCATAACAGAATGTAAACTGCAGACCAACTAGCCTTCAAGATCCTTTCAACATCAACTCTGGAAAGAAAATGATACCAAAATCTGGAGAACTCAAGCGAGGCACCATTTCGGTAAATTTCGACAACTAAAAGACAAGTACTAATTTTATAACAATCATGAATTCATATTTCATAATTTCTCTTCAGTCCTGCCAACGTCCCCCTATCCCAAGTGAATAATTCAACATCAAACTAAAGTGAACTGTTTTTGTCCAGTATCTGACTTAAAGTAGCAATGATTTCTAATTGGTTTTCTTCCACTCTCAAACAGAACTGCAATACCTGCAAATCTGCAACCATTATTTGTAATCTGATCCCTTCTGATGTAAGTCAAGTAAATGTAACATTCCTCTTGTGGAAGTCAACATTCATAAAAGTAAGTGACCTTCATGACTAAGAGAGTTAATGATGCAAACTAAATCAACAAATGCATAGTGATGGTAATAATAATAATAACTCACATTTATGTAGTGTTTTACACTTTGCAAAGATTCATTTACCTCCTTTGCTCATTGACTTCACAGTGCTAAGAATTGTGGGGGATATTGAAAATCCTTAATAGTTTTTTTTACTTTGAATTTATGAAATAAAATAAGCATTTCTATAACATATAATAATAAAAAGATTGCACAAGAAACTGTAACTCTATTACATACAATTTGCTATTCCTTTTAAATATGTAATTAATTTACCACTTAAATTTATTTTTCTTTCTTCTCTCTTTCCCTTTGCCCTAGAGATGGCTACCATTAGACACAAATATGTAGATAGATAGCTAGATAGCTAGATAGCTAGATAGATAGATAGACAGATAGATGTAAAATCAGTCTATAGTATCTATACATATTTCTGTTTATCATTTCTTTCTCTGGATATAGATAGCATTTTCCTTCATATGTCCTTTGTAGTTAGTTTGAATATTTATATTATATTTGTATATTTATAATATTTGTATTATATTTGAATATTTATAACAATATAATTTAATATGTTATATATAATAAAATATACTAATATTTTATAATAACTTATAAAATGACTTTATTGCTCAAAATAGCTGTTATAGAAACATTAAAAAAAAAACTAAGAAGGCTTGGGCTCTATTGCCAGCTCTACTGCTAAATGGTTGTGTAACTTTCAGCAATCCTCTCTGAGATTCAGTTTCCTCATCTGTAAAATGGGGAAAATAAGGGGTAGATGTCTGGCCTCCAGACAAACTTATATTCAAATCCCACCTCTGAGAGATTCTAGCTGGGCAAGGCCCTTAATTTCTCAGTTCCTCAGATGACTTATTAAAACTGCAAATTGAAAAATAGTTGCCCTTCTGAGAACGTTTCCTTCCCAAGGAGATGCTGGACCTATGAAATCACAGGTACACTGCCTTCCATTTGACATTGTCTGAAGGGAAATGCTTTATAAACTGGAAAGAGACACATAAATGGGGGTTATCATTAAAAGCTGTCAGATTTCTTTGTTACAATCAGATACTACAATAGCTGGACAGTGCTTCAGAGATCATTTAGTCCAACTCTTTCATTTTACTTTTTAAAATTTTCTTCCTTATTATGACTTTAGTCATCTAGAAACACAAACATTTGAATATATAGAAAAGAACAAAAAAGGTTATTTATGAAACTGTGAACTCATGCTATGGATAATTTTAAGTGTATGTTAAATTTAATAAGCTAGTTAACAACTTTTTACTTATTTATATCCCCTTCTGAATTTCTTTTTTTTCTCCTGTGTATTTGATAATGTTTTATTGATGCATTTTCATTTCTTTAAAAAAATTTGCATCTCTTTTATTAGCCACAACTTTCATTTTTCCAGAAGTAACACAGTGACCACCCAAGGTTACATAGTGATAGCAGGTTTCTTTTTTTCTGTCTTTGAAAATAACAATCCATTCTAGTTCAATAATATCACAAGATTTAAAAACCTATATCAAAGATAAACAACTGATACATGGAGGAACTCCTATCTGATACTCATCTCAGTGGATCTCTGCTAAAATCCACTCCACCAGGCATGGAGACAATCCTGGGATTTTTAAAGTTATTCTAGTAATCTCTAAGCTTTTGCAATTTCTTCCAAACTTGAAAATATTCCAGCACAAGCCTGTGTGTCTGTCATTCAAGAACCAGTCTATCTAAGTTCAGAAAAGAGCATTAGCAATAGAATTCAGCCACTGCCTGATAATTTTCCCCTGTATAGAAACTCACAAAGGCCATATACTAAGGTCAATAGAGCTTGCCATCTGCATCAGTGGAAGGACTATGCAGAGAGGTGAAACTACAGATCCTTGAAGTATTGAAATTGCTGATAATATTATTAAGACTAATACCTGGGGCAGCTAGGTGGCACAGTAGATAGAGCATCACCCCTGGAGTCAGGAGGACTTGAGTTCAAATCTGGCCTCACACACTTGATATTTACTAGCTGTGTGATCCTGGGCAAGTTGCTTAACCCCTATTGCCTTGGAGAGGAAAAGACCCATGTTACCGACACACTGTGAAATATCAGATTTTCAATGTCTATTTTGCTGGATATAATTTGACTCCTGCTACAGCCAGATGTGTATGATAACAAGTTCCACTATCAATCAATTAATAAGCATTTATTGAGCATCTATTATGAGTCAGTCACTCCATTAAGTACTAGAGATACAAATGCAAAATCGAAATGTCTAGTCTCTGACTTCAAGGGGCTCAGTAAATGTTTCCACCTTGTTAGGTACAGTTTTTACCCTAAAGAATTCTACTAATTGCTGAAAAACTGTAGGTTTCTTTTTTCCAAAGATAATTCTAATCAAGCTTATTTTCTATTTTTTTTCTTTATTCCTTTTCAAGTCCTGTTTTCTTAAGGAGAATAAAATGTCAGTGACCCAAGGAAGGAAAAAGACAAGGGGATGAAAACTCCCACACTTAAATATAAAGGTTATGACTTAAATATGACTTGGATTTAGTATGGTTGCAATAAATGCTAACAGAAATCCCACCTGTTTTCTTTGCAGGCAAGTTTTTCCAGTTTAAACCTTACTGTAAAGGCAGAACTTCATAGTGAAAACTCATCACTGGTGTTAAGTAGTGTTAATCAGAAAAGAGAGGTAAGGAGATACCAATTCTTAAAATCTTCTAAGTTTCATTCTGCATTTTATGATGTGAGGTTAATGATTATATATCCCACCTAAAACAGTGGAAGAATAGTATTGCTCCAGGTAAGTGTCAGGCACTCCTCTCCCCTCCTTGAAATTGGAATACATTAGCCTAGCATATGATTTTAGTCAGATTCTGAGGTATAGTAAACTGACACAACTATGCTATTTACTATTAACCTTTGACCTTAGGCAAGTCAACTTCCTGGGCCATAATTCTATTAAATCTGTTAACATACTGTGGTTACCATTTGTCTTTATAGCTTCTAACCATTGCAATAAACTCATGTTTTCACTATTCACATTGATTATCAAAGATACAACTAGAATTACCCATTCTTAAAAGAGACATTGGAACTGCAGTTGACATCTGAAGAGCATCCTTGAAAAGCATATTGTTTATAAGTGCTTGAATACTACACAGGTATGCATATAATTTTAAAAAACATTATAGATAGAATTATAGCACTGTGGACATGGAGCTTGAAGGGACCTTAGGAGCCATCTAGTTCAATCCCTTCCTTTTATAAATGAGAGAATTGAGGTGTAGAAGGTTGACTTGCCAAGGTCAAATAGGCAGTAAGCATCAGTGGTGGGATTTGAACCCAGGTTTGACTCATTTGACCTTAAAGGAAACTATTTCCAAAACTGATAACACTGACACAAATAGTTTATATTTAAAGGTTTGCCAAGAGGAAAAGAGATTAGATTTGTTATTTTTGTCCTGGAGGGCAGGACCAAAAGAAGGCAGATTTCAAAACACCATAAGAAAAAAAAAACTCGCTAACAATTAATGTTTTCTAAAAACTGAATGGATTGCTTCAGGAGCGCTTAGTTCCCATCCATGGATATCTTCAAAGAGAAGTTAAATGACCACTGCAAAGAAAATAAATGTTGCTTAGAGGATTTATAACATATTGAAGGGACAGTCAGGAAACCTGGCTTCTGATAACAGTTCTGATACTTGATGGCACCATGACCACGGGTGACAGTGTGGTTCAATGGAAACAACACTCAATTCATATTTGGAGAATGTTGAAACCAAAGCCTAGGTTTGAATCACTGCTTTGCCACTTGCTACCAGTGTAACCTTAAACAAACGATTTAAACTCTCGATGCATCATTTTTTTTTTCATCTGGGAAATGAGGGGCATGGAATAAGATGAACTCTAAGGTCCCTTCCAACAAATCACTCCCTTTTTCTCAGCCTAAATTTCCTCACCTGTAAAATTAAGATGCTGAATTACCTAAAATCATATTATTCTGCCTACAGAATCTGCTTACACTGTATATTACTTTGATGACTGGTATGATATCAAATGGGCAGTAGTCTACATCAGTGGAATCAAACGCTCTGTTGCAACACACCTGAAAACAGCCTGAACCAGATTAAAATATTTTTGGGAAATGTTTAACAAAATACATAAAAATGCAATAGAATGTGGATAATGTTGATATGTGGTTTTCTAAGTCACTGTGTGGCCCCTCCTTATGCATGGCTTAGTGGTCTCCATTTCTATTTGAGTTTGACGTCCCTGATCCACATGCTGTAAGTAGAGAGGCGCTGATGAGTGTCTTCTACACAAATGTGTGTCCCCTACTGGCCTGATGTTCATCATCAGCTCTCCCTTTGAATCAGAAAAACGAAGCCCCTTATCAAAATATAAATATATAATCCAAAGGGAAGTAATGTTAAGTTATTACTAGTCATTAACAAGAGAAGCTAGGTGGCTCAGTGGATGTTGTGGCAGGCCTGGAGTCAGGAATACTCATCTTCTTGAGTTCAAATCTGGCTAGATGTGACCCTTGGAAAGTCACTTAACCCTGTTTGCCTCAGTCTCCTTATCTGTAAGATGAACTAGAGAGGTAAATGACAAACCACTCCAGTATCTTTGCCAAGAATACCACAAGTGCGGTCATGAAGAGTCAGACACAACTGGAATAAGACTGAACAATGACAACAGCAATCCTCTCAGCTCCTAGTGCCTTCTCCCAATATACTTTCTAGTTATTTTGTTTATGCTGGCATACAATGGGATGCAAGCTTTTGTCTTCTAGTGCACAGTGCCTGGAATATAATTAACCCTCACTCAATAAATGCTAATTGATTGATATGTCTTTCATTTGCTCCTCACCATGCTCCATTCCTTGGGATCTCCCTACATATTTAGCAAAACAGGCTTGGCATCAGCAAGACAGGCATTCAAACCCTTCCTTAGAAGCTTCCTATCTATGTGATCCTGGTCAAGTCACTTAATCCTGTTTGCCTCAGTTTCCTCGTCTTTAAAAATGAGCTGGAGAAGGAAATGGCAAACCACTCCATTATCTTTGCTTAAGAAAATCCCAAACAGGGTGACAAAGAGTTGGACAAGACTGAAACATGACTGAACAACAGTAAGTCATTAACAGCTATCATGGACTAATTTAGGATCATATTCCTCTAGTCCTCCACTCACAATTGAGGAAACTGAGGCTCTGCAAAGTTAACTGAATTTACCTCTGTCACAGATACTAAGTGACAGAGGTAAAATTTGTGCCGGCATCCTCTGATCCTCCATCAATGCTCATTCCACTGTAGTACCACATCGCCCCTAGCTTCAATATTCTCTAGGGCTCTAAAATGGGAGAAACAGGAAAGCCACTTGTTGATAAGAGAGTGAAAGGTTGATATCATGGAAAATGGGAGGAGAGGTTCTCTGAGAGTCGGGAAGCAGTCTGACATCAGAGGAGAAAGGGGAAGAAAAAACCCAAACATGTTCACTTCACAGTCTTGGAGGATCAGCTCTAACCCAATGGAGCCCTAATTGTCAAAGAAAAATGCAGCCATGTTCAACATGAGAAACAGAGGAGAATCATGTGGTAAAATGGAAAATTGTTTAAAAAAAAACTCTGGATTGGAAATAGAGAGACAGGTTCTAGTCCCAACTTTGCCTCTCATCAGCTATGTGACTCTGGACAAGTAGAAACAAGTGAAAAACTCTCTGAATTTCCTGACCTGCATATTTAAAACATTAACTCTCTAACATTCCTTCCAGCCCTAATATCCTATTAGTTTATGTTCTCTATTCTTGATTTTTCAATAACAAAGTTTGAACCAAAGGTTTTCTGGTTAGTGCTAAGTCAATCCGAAAGTCAATCCCTTGCGTATTAGTTACTTGAAGTTTTGCTGCAAATTAATACTATGGAGGATGATATTGGGAATATAGTCATAATTTTTCAGTCATTTAAGTTGTGTCTGACTCCTCATGACTCCACTGGAGTTTTCTTGGAAAGATACTGGAGTGGTTTACCATTTCTTTCTCCAGATCATTTTTAAAGAAGAGGAAAGTGAGGGAGAAACAGAGTTAAGTGACTTGCCTAGGGTCACACAGCTATTAAGTATCTGAGATCAGATTTGAATCCAGGAAGAAGAGTCTATATGACTTAAAGCCCAGCACTCTATCTACTGTGCTACCCAGCTGCCCATAGTAATAATATCACCATTTACAGAGTGCTTAAAATTTGCAAAATGCTTTTCATACATTGTATCATTTGATTCCCACAATTAACCTGTGACACAGATACAGTAATACAGGAAATAGATATTGTCAGTAGCAGTGGTATAGATAAGGTAATACAGATATCATCCCCATTTTACAGATGAGCAAGTAGGGGCTCAGAGAGGTTAAGTGAGTTTCTCAAGGTTACTCAGCTAGTATTAGAGGCAGAATTTGAACCCAGGTCTTCCTGACTCCAAGTCCAGCACTCTAGTTATTGTGCTACAAATATCTTTTCATTGAATACATTTTATACGTTAGAAATTTGGGAATATGTAAATACATTTAACTTTATAATATATACTTAAATACTTGATATACTCCCTGCACACTGTTTAGAATAATTACATTGTTAAATAGGCATTCTTATACCTGCTATAATAATATTGTGCTTTTGACTGTCTGCCTTCATTATTTTCAGCTGGCTATTCAAATATCAAAGGATCTTATACCTGGCCAAGTGCCATTATGGGTGATCCTTCTGAGTGCTTTTGCAGGATTCCTGCTATTGATGCTCCTTATATTAGCACTATGGAAGGTGAGTACTCTTTCCACTTATTTTTCTATTATAGTTGAAGAAATCATCACCAATAGATACATGGATGGGAAATGCCCTGCATTAATTGGCTGTCATTACATGTACCTTCAAAATCAGATCTTGCTTTTGCTTCTGCGTTATATACGTACAAGTTTATATGTGTATATATGCATTTACATACATCTCTATAACTTACCTTAGTTAAAAGAAACATGCTCCTGAGAAGTTGTTTGTAAATGGAATTTTTGTGAATGAATCAAGATCCAAGGAGACCTATTTCACAAAATCTAATTCTTTCTCATCTCATAGCCCCTAATTGATCTTTTATACAAATCTGGTTTTTCACATCTAAAGCTCCATTACTGTGAAGGTATAAGGGAATATTGTGTACATTTCTTTGAATCATACTACTAGCATAATAGAGGAGAATTAATACCATTAAGTTTAGTAAATGAAGAGTCAATAGAAATTTGATTACACTGGTTTACCAATTGTATAGAACATTAAGTGGTAGATAGGTGGCCTTGTGGATAGATCTCTGAGTCAAGAGTCAGGAAGACTCCTCTCCCTGATTTCCAATCTGGCCTTAGAAACTTATTAGCTATGTGACCCTGGGTAAGTCACTTAACCCTGTTTGCCTCAGTTTCCTCATCTGTAAAATGAGTTGAAGAAGGAAATGGCAAACCAGTCTAGTATCGTTGCCAAGAAAACTCCAAATGAAGAGTCAGACAAAACTGAAATGACTGAACAACAACAAATAGAACATTGAGAAATGGACAGGAACAGAGACTAGTGATTTTACTGGTAGAGAGAATTCCCGAATGAAACTCCTTTTACCAATGCAGCTCATCACCTCAGTAACTGATAATCAGAAGAGTTGCCTACACCATGGAGGTTGTGACTCAACCTGAGTCACACAGCCTGGACATGTCTCTGACAAGACTTGAATTCAGGTTTCGCTGTCTCTCTCCTCTATATCATGGCTTCACTATATCAAATTTATGTTACCTCATATTTTACCTCCTAAAATAATGAAAACACAACCAAAAAAACCCAATGCTTTAAAATATAAATTGTCGGTACTTGTTAATTTGGGTACTTTCTCAATAATTAAACCAACTATATCATCTTTTTACCCTAGAACATACATTTCCAAGAAGATGTTGCCATATTTAATAGTGATAAAACTGATTAAAAGGGTATTAAGCCTTTGGGAAATATCAAGTTCAATATGAATCAATGGTTTGAGATGGCAGGCCCCAAACTTACTATTTAGAGATGGATTTTTAATCTTTTTGGGGCCAGTCTGGGGAAGACCAGAGGCATCAAACAGGCTATGTTTGCAGCCCACAACACTCACAAGTAGGGCCTGAAGCATATTAAAATGTGATTGAGAAATAGTTAACAAAATAAATAACAATTAATTAATGGTAACATGTAGTTTTCTAAATCAATGTGTTGCCACAGGGATCCTTATGCATATTTTAGTGGCTCCAGTTTCTATCTGAGTTTTCACCACTTGGAATCTTTCTGAGAATAATGTAAACAAAAAAAAAAAAAAGGAAACCAATTATGTCGAGAGTTACCAAAATGTATGTTTTTTTTTAAATCCAAGTTTGTGTATGCTATGTTAAGGAGCCCCCAGTCATGAGAGTGTCCACTCTAATTCTGAAATTCTGGAAGTCTGTGATGTGTTGCTGGTGTGTTATTGTTACTGTTTCTCTAAAAGAAATCATTCTTTCTCTGTCCTTTCCAACTCAAGTTATTTGTCATGTGGTACACAGCATCCCTTTTGGGAGTGGTAGGAAAGGAGGAAAAGGATCTCCAAAACCATTCAAATCCTAGTTGACAAGTAGATGCAATCTCTGGTCTTTCTCCAACAAACCCCTGGGGAATAAGGTTTTTTTTCACCCCTTCTTACCAGAACTGTTCCTACTTTGCTTCAAGAGCACTTTCTGCAATACCTCTCTCAGCCACAGTGTGGCGCACAAATCCTGGTTTACTGTTAGTGTGATGGGGCTCAATTTCAGGCCTATCTTGTACCCAGTTTCAATAGTTCTGTATACCTTCAACTGAGATGGTGGCCACTGTATATTTATTTGAGTGTAACCATTCATAACATAGTCTGCTACTCATGAGTTATAATGATTGCTTGGCCTTCACTGACTATTACTAAGAATGCCACTTTAAAAAAAAGAAAGAGTATATTGGATATCTGGATAAGCTCTGAGAGGTTTGTTGCTGTGACTTCTTCCTGGACTCTTTAGTGGAGAATGTAAACAAGTACCAAAAAACATTTTGTTCCTAAAATTCCATCCCCCACTTTATGTTACCAGGCTACAAGAATACAATGTATAGCTAAGAATATTCAGTCTCTTATAGGATATCCTGTTGAATGCATATGATAAGTTCTTCAGATGTTTCCTGATTGCCTTCATAAGGGGAATGCTAACATACCAGAGAAAACGAATATGGCACAGGGTAAAGAGAGCTATATTTGGACCCAGGGAAACTGGGTTTATATCTAGGGTCTAGCACCTAGTACCTGTGTTTCCTTGGTCACAATTTCCTCATCCAAAAAATAAATGTTGAACTAGATGACTTTTAAGGTCCCTTTCAGATCTCTACCTTTAACCCTGAGTCAGAATTTGACTGTGTTCAAGAGGGAGGAAGCCAGGGTAACCAAAGCATTATCTTTAGTCTTCCAGCCAGGTAGACCCTGACCTTCACTCAAGGAAGGCACTAGGGAAACCTTGGGGCCTCGATGACATGTGGGCTTAGTCTGGAGCAAGCACAGGTCATCCGTACTGATCTATGGCCATGAGAGCCCATAAAATTTATCCTGGACTAGAACAGACCCCTCAGAACCAGCCCTTGACTCCCTGGTTCCCTAAATTTCCCTAAAGAAGAAATTCGGACAGAGCAGTGGTGATTCTCCTGTGATTGTAACCAGTTTCTAAAAGTCTTGAGTAGATGGACCGATAGAGCATTCGTGGAGTTTCATTGTCCTAGCAAGAGTTTCCTTCCCTCCAGAATGAAATCACCATAGGCATTAATGCCATGCTGAGAGACAAGCTCAATCAGGGTGCCCCACACCCCAAAATGCCCTCTTACCTCCCTCAAATATCTTTTATTTGAACTATTTCAATAATAACAATAACAACAACATTTTTTGATTATTTCAGATGCAAAGGCCTGAAATCCACCACTGATTTCTACATTCCTTTGACTTAATGTCATGCTCTCTATAAACATTCGAATCTTCTCAGGAGGGTATTATACTTATAATCTTATCAGTCATTTATACATTTCCATGAATGATTTCATTTCTGAAAATAAGTTTTAACAGAGGGAACTTCAAGTCACCTGGGAGAAGGGGTGAGACAATGGGGGAGAATGAACAATGTAAGGAGAGGCTAAGGACCTAAGGAAAGCCTGATTCATGACTTTGCCTAGAGTCCATAGGCTCATTGGATTTAGAGTTGAAAGGAATATTCAAGATCATCTAGCTCATTTCCTTTATTTTATAATTGAGGAAACCAAGTCTCAGAAAAACTAAGTAACATAGGCAGGATTTGGACCCAGGTCCCCAATACCAAAGTGGGTGTCTTTTCAGCTACACCACACTGTCCAGTCTATCTGGGAAAGTAAAGAATAAAATGAAGACTATTTACCATCTGACTTCTCTGAGGTCATGATACAAAAACTGTCATATTGGACCATGTGGCACACCTATGCATGTTGTATGTAAATAAAGGAGTGCTGGAAGCCAGCTCAGCTCTCAAAAGTGGAGTGTTTCAGTCTAGTAATCACACCTTGAAAGCTGACAAATGCTACAAATCAGGACTTTCTTGATTTATTATTTTATTGATTCTCTAGACTTAAGAAAGTGTAATAATGTTGCTTAAACTTAAAAATATGTTGTGGGTATGTTATTTTTTCATAGAGAAACAGTTGTTTAAAAAAAATTAACAGCAAAGAAACCCATGTCTGTAAATGTTGTTATGAGACTGAGATTTTTAATTGATGGAGAAAAGTAAACTCTTGGGTGCCTCAACTTGGAGCTCAGTAGGCCCAAGGTTCTCCTGCTAGAATCCAGCTGCTGGTGGTAGGTGTGGAAAAGTGGAGATGGATTTCACAGTGACTCTAGGACAACCATTTGGGGGGGAAATGATACTTCTCTTTCAAGTTAGTTATAACTACACATCCCAGAAACTCTTCTCAAAGCCAAGTGTGGAAGGTGTTAGATTGCAAAAGCATCAGGCATCTTAGCATGTGCCTCCATGAAATCGAATTGAAAACAGCTAGGCAAAGGCCTAGGAAGAGGGATGTGGGGATGGCAGCTGCCAGGGTTGGTGCACCCCCTAAACTGGAAACATATACCACCCTCCCTCAGGATATTGCTGCCACTCTAGGGTGTAACCCTTACGGCCCCTCACTAGTCACAACTGAGTCAGGTTCATCTAGCTTAAAAAATGCTTGTTGAGAAATTGATTGATCTAGTAAAATGAAAATTGGTACTTGTCCAGCTCCACTGGAACTGCAATTATTGGTAGGAGAGCTTTGTATAGTGATTTTTAGAGTCGCATTTCTAAAAAAAGCCACATTCCAAAGAGGGGAAAAGTTAGACAAATGGAAACTCTGTGTCTGTAGTGCCCAGGTAGCTAGATTATACTGTTGATTAAATCACTAAAGGCTTTAGGAATGTCCTAAGGTTTGAAATGCTTGTTTACCTCAGAGCAGATGGGTTCATTCTGACCCCCACTGCACAGATGACTGCAAGATGGCGTTTGAGTTTGGTGAGGGGTTAGGGGAAATCTAAATATCCTTACAAAGATGGTAAAAACTAGGTAGGAACTATTTTACAGATGGAGAAACTGAGTCTAAGGGAGATGACTTATCCAGGGAATTGTTACTAGTAAGTATCTGAGGCAGAATTCTTGACTTCCAGCCCAGTGCTCTATCTGCTTGCTGCCAACCAGCTAGTTACTAGTTGTGTAACTAAAGAAAATCTGACACTAAAAAAAACCTGGTCCAGGTGCTTAGCAACTTGTACTCACCCTGGCTGTTGCTAGACCTGGCTAGCATATCCTTAGCTAACCTTGTCTTATGTCCATCAGATAGTTGCTGGGGTATTTATCTTCCACTTTGAGAAAAAGAAAAATGGAAAGGGAGGAGAAAGTACCAGTTATGGGGTGTGCCTCACAATTCACTTATCCATGTTAGGACAAGGCTTATTTTGTCATTTTGCTGGGAAAGAAATATCTTTGATCAACCAAAATTTTCTAAGTGTGGCAGTAATTTGACAGATGTTCAAAGTACTTTGGCATATAGTAAAAATAAAAATTAACCTTTTGTGAATTGCTAATAAATGACTAAAGCAAATTTTTCAGACTTCACTGTGATCTCATTAGTAGTGTAAGGAACTCCCTGTGAGGAAAAGCCCTCTATGAACACTGGTCAATATTTGCCCCGCTTGGTGTTCAGTTGTGTCTGACTCTTCATGACTCCATTTGAGATTTTCTTGGCAAAGATTCTAGAATGATTTGTCATTTCCTTCTGCAGCTCATTTTACAGATGAGTAAAATGAGACCAACAGGGTTAAGTGACTTACCCAGGGTCCCACAGATAATAAGTATCTGAGGAGAGATTTGAACTCACAAAGATGAGTATTCCTGACTCCAGGCCTGGCACTCTATCCACTGTGCTGCTTAGCTGCCCAACTTGCTGTGTTAGTTATAGTCTTAAAGGGTTGCCTAGGGCACTAAGAGGTTAAGTGACTTGCCCAGGATGACACTGATAGTATGTGTGAGAGGAGGGACTTGTCAGAGGTGATTTATGGCACACAGAAAATTCTGGAGTAGTTTTCTGTCACCTTTGTTAGGATTTCTAACTTCTACTCTCTTTTCACCAAAAAACCACCACCCACCAAGTCAGAGTCTTTTCTGGGTTGAGGCCCAGAACTACCCTGAGACAAATACACCTTTCAAAGAGTTTGAAAGAGTTTGTTAATTTAATCAACAAAGGCCTGGGGCTACTGTGAGTATCACAGCTAAAGGGTTTTCATTTATCAGATTTTTCCTTTTTTGAAATGTGGCTGTTTTTCAGTTCTCTTTTCAGTACGCCCTTCTGCCCTTATTAGTGATAATGCTCATCACACATTATAATCATAATGTTATTGATTATAATCATAATTGTTATGTTAATATCATTATTAACATTTACTTCCCAAATCTTGATATCAAATTATATTTATATTTTGTATTTTCTTTACAGATTGGATTCTTCAAAAGACCACTAAAGAAGAAGATGGAAAAATGAAATTTCACACGAGAGGGAAAAAATTGCAATTGTTCAATGATCTGTCCTCAGGCTTGCTTCAGATTTGTGACCAGAAAAAGTCTAAATGTAATGATCATCTACAGGGTCACATACCTTTGTTCCATCAAGGAATTAATCACCTAGGGGGAAAAAAAACAACAGATCAAGAATGATTCCAAAAGACAATCATAAATTTAAATTTGTAAAATATCAGGAAATATTTTAAAACAATTACTCATTTTTGCTGAGTAATTGAATGTATGATTACAAAATGTTTTGAATAGGAAGGACAACCTATTCAAATGTGATTCAGGAATGAAGGAAAAGATGTTGTCAGGCTCATGGAAACATGTTTTGTTTTGGTTTTTTCCTCCAGAAAAATACAAGTTAGAATTTCTTTCTCTGACCCCAGTGGAAATCTAGACTTTCAGAGTTTGAAAATGCGTGTATATGCCAGGAAAGGGCTCACTTGCTAGGGTCATTTCCCATCATGCACAACTGATCTCAAGGGAGAGGACATTCTGTAACATGGACTCGTGACACAGAGAAGACAAAACACAGAATGAAGCAGGGTCATACAGCAGGTAGCCTTTAGGTCAATTTCTGTGCATGGAAATATTCATTTCCCAGGCTGTCTAGAAAGCAAGGTCTCTCCAGCTGAAATTCTGTCCTAAATTGAGAATGATGCACCACCAGAAGACAAGCACACTGAATGGCTGGGTTTATAAGCTTTTACCGGGCACACTGACCTTGCATTTTGAGCTTTAAGAATCAATGTAAAACTTCATGGTAGTGAAAGAAGCACTTAAAAAACAATTTTTAATTTTATGTGTGCCTTTAAAAATGTGATGTGATTTATTCCCAAAGAATGCAGTGTGAGGGATATGCTGAAATGAGTTTCCGAAAATGGGATGTGGTTGGCAAGTGACTATGAAGTACCTATTGTACCTTTATGAATCTGCTTTGGGTTTTGAGGGACCCAGAATTCCCATTTTCTAAGGCAGCCCAAAGAAGGAGTTTTCTTAGGTCCTTGGCACAGGGTTGGTCCAATCCAAAAACTAAGACAGGGTTTTTATTTTATTTTGTATTTTTTATTTTGTTTCTTGAGGTTTATTTTTTCAAATACATTTCTTTTATTGTGTAAAAGACAAAATTCCATTTTAGAATAAGACCACCAAAAAGTGTTTTCAGTGCATGAACTACATATATATGTGTATATTTATCAAGTAACTGCATCACTAGAAATATCTTTAAAGCATTTTTGTTTGAAAGCTGGCAACAAGAAGTTACTGCTTCATATTTATCTTCTTTTCTTTTCAAGTTATTTTCCTAAGGCAAATAGAGTTAACCAGAACACCAGCTGCCATGGACAATCCTTTTATTTCCTGTCAGTAACACCAAATGAATGAATGCACAGTAGTTCTAACAGTCAATTAAATTTAGTAAGCGCCTACTGTGTGCCAGGCACTGTGCTAAGTGCTGAGAATACAAAGGAAGGCAAAAGATAGCTCCAGCTATCAAGTGCTCACCGTCTAATAAGGGAAAAAATATGAAAACAACTATGTATAAAAAGAAACATTACAGGATAAATGGGAGAGAATCAGTAGAGAGAAGGCACCAGTATTAAGAAGGATCAGGAAAGGTTTCTAGCAGAAAATGGGATTTTAGCTGGAACTTGAAGGAAGCCAGGAAGTATAGATAAGAGGGGAGAGTATTCCAAGCATGGCAAAATGCCCAGAGACTGGAGATAGAATGTCTTGTGCAGGAACTGCAAGGAGACCATTGTCATTGAACCACAGAGTATGTAGGAAGGAGGGAGGACTAAAGTGTAAAAAAGACTGGAAAGGTAGGAGACCAGATTGTGAAGGTCTTTGAATGCCAAGGATCATTCTATATTTGATTCTGGAGATGAGAGCACTGGTGTTTATTGAATAAGGAAGTGACCTGGTCACAGCTACCTTTTATGTGTGGACTATACTGTTGCAAAGTACATACAAGTTTTAAAACACTTTTCCAATTGTTACCACATCCCATCTAGTGTGATTTACTCGAATAAAAACTCAATTGACCAGAACTTAGTACCTAAAGAGGAGCTTCAGTTAACCAGCATTTTTCTATGTTCTTTTCTAGGGAAAAATAAAGCAAATAACAAGAAAATAAGCCAATAGCAAAGATTACTACAAAGCTCCAACTTCAAGGTGTTCCAATTCAAAGTCAGCCCACTTTTCTAGCATTTCCATGTCTATATCTGTACTATGATTAATAGTAAGATTAATCATGCCCTCTCATCTTCCCTTTCTGCACCCCTTATACACTTATTAACACCTTCTCACTCTTGCTGCCCATATAAACAATACTTTCATGGCACCTAATAATTGCTTCCAAACCTCCACCTTCTCATTCCCTTCACATGTGCCATCCTTTTACTCCAAGATTATTACTTTCTATTGATTCCCCTTACTTATCAAAATTCATATTACCTCAGTGTTCTGATCTCAGCTGGTTCTTAGGCAGAAATCAAACTGATTGGGATAATTAGCCTCTTAGCCTCAGTTTCCTCAATTTTAAAATGAGGTGGTTGGACTAGAAGACTTCTAAGGTCCCTGTCTAACACTGTATCTATGATTCTAATTCATACTAAGGTGATGCTTCAACTTTCCATAGGGTGTTTTTGTTTTAAAAGAAAATGCTTACTGATCCACTGGAAGAAAGTTTCAGTGGTAGAATTTCTAAATTCTAGTGAAATTTTCTAGTGAAAAACACTAAGAGAAGTATTTAGTATCTAGGCAACTTCCAAGTGCCCTTCAAGTCATACAAAGTATGTGATTACCTGTTCTTTCTACCCAGAAGTGGTTGCAACCCCATTTTCAACCATAGGGTGTAAACAAAAAGTAATATCTGTGTACTAATAAGAACTTCCATTTTTCCCATGTTACTTCATTAAAGCTTTATTACATATGGGGTATATGTGTGTGTATATACATACATACATACACACACACATACACACACACATACACACACATATATATATTCAGAGGTGAGACAGGAACCCAGGTCTTCTTAGCTTCAAGGCTAGCTCTATCCGCTATTAAAGCAGATAATCAATTAAGTATGACATTTTCATATTTAAATACAAAAAAGGTAAAAATGAAAAAAAGTTTTCTTTGCTAACTTTGCATATGATCTCAAACTTCATCAGTCCTTTGATTTACCTTACAGTATGGCAGTTACCTAAACAACATTAATTAATTGATTATACTTTGAAGTATGACTAAAAATTAAGTAGAGAAACAGCAAAAGTAGGTTCCTAAAAAGATTTCCATATAGTCTGTTTAGCTGCACATTATGTATGTATATATAGATATATATGTATATGTGTGTGTTTGTGTATGTATATGTAATATATACACATATGTGTGTTTACATACATATATATGCATTTAACTGAAGGAGTAAGCATATTAAAAGTTGTGTGAGCAGACTGGCTAACAGAATATTTTATTTTAAAATGTTACTAGTGTTTTTATTCAACTGGTTGCCTTAGCTCCATTTGTGATTTGCTTTTCAGTTCCTTCCTCATACCATAAATTTTAAAGACACTTAAGATTTAACTGTATTGTACAATATTGATAATATCGTGTGTATGGGACACATTGCCAGAGCTCAAGTTCCATAGCCCCCAGGTTATGACATTAAGTTTGTATTAATAAAATTTCTGTACTTAAGAAAAAGAAGAGATGGAAAATATATCTGTGCAAGGTGACACATAGCTTTCTAGGATCTACATGGTTTCAGAGCCATAACTAGGCATCTATGTGCCTTACACAAGTGTCATGAAAAATAGATAACAAATGCAAGTGTTCTTGGAAAACCAACAACAAGTATGGAAGGAGCTCACCTACAGGAGAAAATGAAAATGAAAAAATATTTATTAGGTGTTTACTATATATATCGAGCTATATACTATATATATACTATATATTAAGCACTGGAGATATAAATAGAAAAGCAAGATATCCCCTCTCTCAAGGAACTCACATTCTAATAAGGGGGAGGCAAGTTTTCAGCTGAAAGTCATATGGTAACTTCCTATTCTGATTAATTATTTTTGTTAACTAGGTGATATGATTGTTTTGATTTTTTTTTTTCTGGCTACTGATGGACTACTGCAAGTGTCCTCCATTCCTTATAAATTTTAGTGTGCAGGGACAAAGTCCAGTCTCCTTGCCCTAATTATGGTTCTAATAGCTACCAAGAAGAAAAATCATTTGCCTGTCATATTCAAGTATCTCAAGACACTTATTATTTGAGAAGGGACATTCTAGTCCCTCCCAAAGAGTTGTTAGTCAGTTTGGATTTCTTTCTCAGTGTCCAACATTATCAATTTCATTCAGCAAACTAATTTCATGGAAAATACCACTTCCAAATGTTCAAATTTGTTGTGGGTGTGAATGAAGCAGAAAGATGCAGGAGATGCAATGAATTTTCAAAAAGAATTCTATATTTGAGCTTGAAGAAGAAGAAAGAGGAACAGAATTATCCTCTTTTGCCTAATTTTAGGTTTAGGCTTAGGTGGAAGAAAGAAATGTTTGCTTAAAAAAAAAAAGACCAGTTTGTGAGTTAGTAAATTTGAGGTGGCAGCAGGTGTCTTGAGCAGCCCTGCTTACAGAATCTGCTCCCAAATATTTCTGAGGCCCACATACTATTTACAGGACTGCTCCAAAAAGATTCTTCACAGTGCTATCTAGTGCCAGCCAGGCTTTGTCCTTTCTTTGTCTAATACACTGTAATCTGCTGCATTTGAATTTCATGTGCAAATTAAGCCAAAGTTAAGAAACCAGTAATGGCCAAACAGCAGATCTAGTCTGTATATCTTCATGATTTTTAAAATATGCTCTGAAATATTCGCACTGTTTAAGAGGCAAGGGGGAGGGGTAAACGGGAAGTGCTTGTTCTGACAGATGATTTTACAGTATTTTATACATTGTCCTTGTATTTGTAACTGTTCCCCATCCTATACCCTCCCCAGCACACTCCTCCCTTGTCCCTTTTCCTCCACACTTCACCCCTCAAAGAGGTTTTCAAGGACTCGTGTTATAATAAATCTAGGTCTATTGAATTTCAATAAAATGTGTATTTTATTTAAATTAAAAAGGTTTGAATCAATGGATCATTTTCGGAATACCTCAGCGTTCTATGCAATCACTGTATAATATTGGACAGACAGCTCATTCATCTATAAGTTTCCACAAGCATATCTCAGCAGGTTGGAAACCTCATAGCTAAGTAGAACTCAGTAGGGGAGTTATGATACAGGCTGACCCTAAGAACATCAAATATATTATACTTTAGAGATAGCTATCAGGGGCGCTAAATAATAATAATAAAGATTAAACAGGTATCAGCAGAAAATATCTGTTTTTTTGTTCATCAGAATTCCCCCCAAAACTATATTTGTTCTGCAATAGTTATTTACTATCAGGCCTGGAGTCAGGAAGACTCATCTCTGTCAGTTCAAATCTGACCTCAGATATCTGTGGGACTTTGGGCAAGTCACTTAACCCTGTTGGCCTCAGTTTCCTCATCTGTAAAATGAGCTACAGAAGAAAATGGTAAATCGCTCCAGTATCTTTACCAAGAAAACCCCAAATGGAATCAAGAGCAGTTGGACAGCACCGACTGAACAACAATGGCAAAGTCATTTACTATACATAAATATGCAGACTGCTTATAGACCTTGTTTTAAACCCTATCTCAGGCATGTCTTACCTGTTTGACCTTAGATAAATCATCAGCTAGTAAACTACCCTGGATCTCAATTTCTTCATCAGTAAAATGAGAAGGTTGGACTAGATCAGGGCTGGTGTAAAGTTTGGATTCAGTCAAAAGGCCACACCTGAGGACCTAGAGGGCCTCATGTGGCCTTGAGGCCGCAGGTTTCCCACCCCTGTCCTAGATAGATGACTTCTCAAGTCCCTTCTATCTATATCCTACGGTTAATTCAAAATCTTTACCTCTGTCCCAGCTGCCTGACTTGAAACTTAATCCAGAAATTCAGAGTAATTGGATCTTTAGCTGAAAACCTTATTGTGAAATATCTTACATGGGCAACGTTTCTGACTGTGCAGTCCCCACTTCTAAACTTCTGGGAGAATATTTGTCTGCCAGGAAAACGGTGTTAAGATTAACCCCCTATATTCTCTAGCCAGGGATTCCCTGCACCACAACAAGAGAGTCCTACAATAATATTCCTTGTTACAATCATCACTCAAAAAACAGGGAAAAATGAAAAGGAGAATTGATGGCATTTCAAATGCTTTACTGCCTATCGTCAGAACAGCTTTATATTCATTATAAATCGAAACATTGTCCAATAGCAGATAAGTCACCCAGTTCAAGGCTCTGAGGAATTCCTTGCTTTTTTCAAAAGCCAGTGGCTGGGAAATTTCAATGCCATGAGAACTGGGCAATGGGAATGAGAGGCCTGATTTGAATGAGAGGCACCCATGATCTCATCGTGCTCCAATTGGTTTCTCCTCAGCCACTCCACAGTGGGAGGCTTTTGTTTTGGTCTGGGGCTTCCTTGGCAAGGCCATTATCTGCCAAGGTC